ATTTGAGTATTATAAGGTCCCACCATTTTGGGATAACGGTACAAAAATAAAGGACCTCCAGAGGGAAGGAGCCAAGGTCTCCATTAATGAGACCACACTACAACTCCACATGAAGAGACTCCCATTACCCTGTGGAGGTTAGCCTTGCCCAAGTCGATATCCTTTTACTTATCTGATCTTGAATTATTAATAATAGAAATCAAAATAAGTAAAAGAGACCGACTTGGCCAAGGCTATGTTGGGGTGAATACTTTAAAACTCACTTTGTCCCTCACCTATGCATTTGGCCAAACTATGTTTATTAACTTTCTAAAATAAAAGTATTCCGAATGGTTCCGTTGATTATTTTAGAAGTTGAATATAGTGGATATAGTGACTTAAAAGATACTGAATTTGGATGACCAAAATGAGTTGAAACCAATTGTTTTTCTAAACGGGGAAATAACATTGTCAACACTCATCTTAAGAGAGTTCAGTTTTCATTTCAATAACTCATTGATATATCAAAATAAAGAATATTCAAACATGACCGTGCTCTATTTGAATTTCTAAACCAATCAGAATACAGCATAGCCAATAATGAACGTTCATTATTTCTCCATATAGGCAAGACATTGAATCTGCTTCAAGGAACTTATATCCATGTATTGTGTGACATCACACCTGGGAATGGCGAAAATAACAGCAAGTTTGGTCATTCCTTAAGTAATGCATTAAACATTGTGAAAAATGATTGCATTGCATTGGTGAAGGGGAACATCTTTGAGAATGTATGTTCATAGGTTGATAGCTAGCTAAATACATGTATCTCCCGAGTTCGATTGACTTTATTACTCCAGATTTGCCTCTTTTGTTTATTCTTGTTCTTTTACTGGTCACGTTTTATCAACAACTATAAGGTATCTATTCAAGACAATTATATGGTCAATAAAGGTACAGTATCTAGTTGGTAAGAAATGGGATCAAATTTATATCTAGGCCAAAGGTCAAGAACTAGGTGAAATCCAGTACTTTGTCATTTTTTCAATTTTCTCGGTCATCATTCAATATTTTCGCTCTGTTTTTTTCATTACGTTCCTTAGAAAAAAGCTAATTCCGAGAGGCAAATCGTTTTTTGATTACTCTTTCTGTTTTTGAGATATGGCGTCCAAAAAGTAGGTCACAGTATAAAATTCTCAGAAATCAACATATGAGTTATGAAATAGGTGTAGAATTTCCCCAGGAATCCGAATCTGAGTCAAAGGAAGGAAGTCAAGAAAATATTGAAAAAATACCAGTCCAGTCCATTTCCAGGTCCAAGTCCAGGTCCAGGTCCAAGTCAACGTCCAGGTCATGTCCAAGTCTAGATCCAGGTCTAATCAGGTTTAATCTAGGTCAAAGGTCAAGAAGTAGGTCAAATCCAGTACTTTGTCATTTTTTTCAATTTTCTCAGTCGTCCTCCAATATTTTTGCTCTGGGTTTTGTCAGTCATGTTCTTTGGAAAAAAGCTAATCCCTTCATGCAAATTGTTTGTGATCACACTTACCGTTTTTGAGATATGGTATCCGAAAAGTAGGTCACACTAAAAAGTTCTCGGAATTCAACGTATGAGTTATGAAATAGGTGTAGAATTTTCCAAGGAATCCGAATCTGCAAATTGAATTTTGATCCGACTTCCGGTTCGGAAGTTATGGCATTTTGAAATCTCAAAAATCGCTATTTTGGTATCCCATGTTAAGTCAGTAGGGCTTGAGAAAATTATCAATTGTAACAACACTAGATACAGCTTGGATGTAGCCAACTTAATAAAAGCCTACAATAGAAGCCGTCCTCAAAATCTACTTTCCTTCAAAATTTGGACTCTAAAAGGCCTAGGTCAAAATCTAGGTCAAATTCATAGTTTTTCCTAATTTTTGAGATATCGTGTCAAAACCAAAAATTCTCCACATTTAACATATATGAATTATGAAATAAGGGTAGAAGTTTCACAGCCAACTTAATGAAAGCCTTCAATAGAATCGGACCTCAAAATATACTTTTCTTCAAAATTTGAACACTAAAAGGCCTAGGTCAAAATCTAGGTCAAATTCATAGTTTTTCCTTATCTTTAGGATTCTGGCACTGCACTTTAATAATATTCTTCGAAATTTGGTATACAGATAGCAAAGAGTATGTTTAAGCGTTAGCTTTTTGCTTTACCAGTCTTCGTGGTCGGAAAGTAGTCACAATCCGAGATATGAGCGTGTGAAATTGTTTGCGGTAACGTACGTGCTCCTTTATTTACTAATTACACGATTTTTTGGATATATTGTTCGTTGGACTTTGCTCGGTGGAGTTTCCGATTTTCTAAATGACTTACACCGAAGTCACATTTGTCGTACGGAGGGCGTGCGTCGACCGCAGATCAATTAAATCAGTGTATTTCTGCGGCGAGCGTAGGAAAACTACGCTCGCCTTGCGGCCTCCGAACGGCGTATCCAGTTTTTTACAGGCCGCAGAGTCGCCGTAGAAATTATAACTCGGAGTTATAATATTTGTTCATTTCTGAGGTCCCCGTAGAAATCAACTGACTAAACAAGATTGAATCATTATTTGTCAATGTTTCACGATCACTTTTCATTTGATATTACATCCTAGCACTATGAATAACATTTATAAATTGTCCTGATGTAAATAAAATGAAAAAAAGTATCATTCATCAACAGAAATTTAAAATTCACCGTGCGGCTGCCGTGGGAAATGTGGCTGCAAAAGTATGAGATTGAGAGCGCAGAAATTCTACGGCGAGCGTAGAAAAGCTACTGGCCGCAGAAATGATAGACCGCTTGGCGGCCGTGGGAAATGTGACTTGGGTGTCAGTAACTTGCTCTCCCTGCAGTTTCTCAGTGTTTATGTCTTGTACTTTCTCCTGGACGTCATCTAAGAATAAAAAGAAGTAGTTGTGTACGTTTTTGAATAACGTGCTGAATGGAACATTTCACGGGGCAAGGAATGTATAAATTGTAACGCATGTAATGCCACTGTTAATTGAAGCAACCCATGAATCACAGGTCCCCATCTGGATATTTGCAAGTGCACAGAGTATCAGCAGAACAAAATTACTTTCTGATGAACCTAGCTTCGATTGATTTAGCCAAACGAATTGATAAATAACACAATTATAAACAACTACAAGAAACTATGGAGAAATGGGTAGGTGACCGGCGGCCCCCACAAAACAATCATTTAAAATCAGACAAAATGCCGGGACAGTTTCTACTGTAACCTAATGTATGCCAAGTGATTTTGGGCCAACGTATTAAATTCAAACACACGGGGAGCAAACAATGTCATGGTAGTTATTGATCTTTTCAAAGATTCCAATCAAGGGCACAGTCAGTCAACAACTCGTTAAATAGAAATATTAGTTATCGTTTATGTAGCTGTATCTGTCCGTTGTCGTATTATCATCAATTTTCAATCAATTCGTTTATGTAACCAAAGCGAGGAATTATTTTGGCGTTCCTGCCATCCTACAAACTATTTCGAGCAAAATCACTTGGTTGTCCAGAAACATAAATTGCTTACCCATATTTTGGCCAAAAAGATATGGATGATTCATGCTGTATCTCGAGATATCAAGGAAAACGAAAATTCTTACCGTTTTCTTCAGCCGGAACGGCAGCCATTTTGTTACCAAAACGATTCGTTTTGGTAACCAGCGTAATCGAGCGGATCACCAGTGATCTGGTACAGTAGAAATCAAAGCAATGAACACACGCACTTTTCCAATAAAAGGTTGTAAAAAGAATATTTAGGGTGGTCTTTGTATTAACGATTGCTATAAGGTGTGAAGATCATGCGAATTGCCTGGTTATTAATCCAGGGAAATAAAATGGCTGATAAAGACCTTCACGACGGATATTACATCCAATAAGTCCAGGCTTGGCCCCTATCCACCACGTCCATTGCATTCTGATATATGCTCATTGATTTTGTTTTACAACTCAAATATGACATCATATAGGCCCATTAGGTTATACATGTAGAAATAAACTAAATAGAATAAATGCCACGTTGTCCCTTATCGTGCATATTAATTCAATTCAATTCAATTAATTTCAATTTATTATTCAATTCTAGTTTTCATACAATATTAATTTACAAGTGATATGAAAAGGACACCCATAGTAATGCAAACTAGGGTAAAATAAAGGACCTCATCTGTCCTAAGGTTCCAATACACCGTTGGAAAGCTGAGAGTGTCAGACCTCAGCTAAACAAATAAAAAATACATTTTTCACATACAACCATCCTCCAACCCTCATATAGTAAACTGCATGAACTGGGGAGAGAAGAAGTCACACAATTGATCACATAGAGAATGGCACAAATATATTCTTTATGCAATTAAGTCAATGAAAAGTATACTAGTATGTAAGCTTATTTGTAATCACTGCAACTTGAATTGGTATGTCATCCCTTTTTATGCACATAAAATATATACATTTCTCAGCAAACAAGTTTGTGTTTTTTCTTGAGTTTTTTTTGTTTGTTTTTCTTGTACCCTTAACAAGATTTGGATTTTGCCAGGTCGCAAAACAAAGAATCTACAGGCCAATAACAACACTGAGATTCAGATTCTAGATGCAATAATATCGGTTGAGAAATTGGCTTTCTACCATCAAATTAATGATAAACCCATCTCCACTGCACCGCCAGTTACTACTTTAAAATCTAAAATTAAAAAGAGCAGTATCCTAGTGGCACTTCTTGTTTTCCAACTGTACCCTACCAAGCCTATGTCCAGTAGGGCTACTTATTTCATACCCGATACATTTCACAATTTGATAATAGATGGAGCTAAGCTGCAAGGTACCGCCCACTTTTCTGACCAATCAGGTTTTAATATTATGGCAGACATGACGTCATTGTTTTGTTGTAGCAGACGCTTTTTCGTGCATGGCTCAACCACCTGCCAATTTGGTAAGTTTTCTTATTTTCTATTTGCTGATTTTCAAACAGCTTCTGATTTCGAACGTAGAAAATGTTCAAGCATCCGTTCCAGAAGAGACAAGTTTTGTTTGAGAATTATTGTCAATTTTTTCCATGTTTTCAGGTATTCTTTGACTGCTGACAAATTTTAGAACTGGGACTGGCAGAAATTGGGCGAAAATGAATGAAAGTGAAACCGAAAGTGAAATTGAAAGAATGATTGCTGAAGCTAGTACAGAGGCAATAAACTATTCACTTACTTTGGGAGAACCAACATCTTCGATAGAAATGGACATGCCGCTAGCTGTTAAAAATTGCAACAGTTTTAAAGTAACAACCCCACCAAAACCTTCAAGTAGAAAAAGATCGAGGAAACAAAGTCATCAAGATGTCAAACAAGATGATTGTGAATTTATTGAGATGAAAATAAGACTCCAAGATAGTCCAGACAATAAAGAATCGCGTGAAGCAAATGACATATCATTGAGGAGAGCATTTGACATTCTTGACAGCATTGCAGAGGATAGTGAAAATGACAAAGATATTGAGAAACACATCATGGATGTTTTGAACTCAAAAAACTTCAACAGCTGGCATCATGATTTGGGGTCACATCTTCTGAACAGTTATGGGAAAGATGAGGATATATTCCAAACAGCCTCCCTTGATGAATTGATACAGATGCCCAAACTTGGAGAAACAGGTAAGTGCTGATATACCTCTAATCAAGACAATCATGGACTTTGGTTCCATTCTTTGATAGATTTACTTAAGGTCAGGGTGCATGATGGGAAATGTTCTGCATTCCTCAATTGAGTCACATGTTATTTTTCAAACAAGAATCACACCTTCCCTTCATTGTCTATATCTTCCAGTTTTGCACAAAGAGTGCACTTATGTTCCTACAAAAGACTTGTGAGAAGAATGTTTTGATAAAGTGTATAAAAAACAAGAAAATTCAGTGAAAAAAATCAGAAAATTTTCAGAAATTTTTTTCACTGAATTATCTCATTTTTTATACATTTTACAAAACAAACCTTCTCACAAGGCTTTTCTAGGCACAGAAGTGCACTCTTTGTGCAAACCTGGAAGATGTAAACAATGTGGGGAAGGAGTTATTCATGTTTGAAAAATAACATGTGACTCAATTGAGGAATGCAGAAAATTTCCCAACATGCACCCTGTCCTTAATTTGTAGGTATAGGGCCTAAGTCTAACATAAATTGCATAGTTAGTAATAATGCAACTGCATGATGCAATAATGCAAGTTGAACAATACAAATTAAAAGAGACATCCTTCCCAATTTTCGTTTGGGGCATTTTCACAAAGTTTCATTATGGACATGTTTTAATTTTAGACCTTGCCACAGCACTTGGCATCCCTGAAAACCAAAGAACACCAATAAAAACCGACACTAGACAGGACACAATTGAAAAGAAGATTAAAAACATAGAAAGAGGCTATGAAGGCAGTTTTGGAATGGTAAAATGTTATGTCTGACTCATTTAATGAGTTTTAAGCTTTAGATTTGCTTCTAAGTTTGACTGTGTGACTGTACATTTGACCTCAATTCAGTTTTGAGTCATAAATTATGATTGTAAGATATGATTTTTGCATGGGTTTTTACGAGTTGTTGCTTTAACTCAAAAAGTAGTGGATACTCGAGTAGGAACAATTTTGCTATTAGATACAAAATCCATAATATTCATATGATATCATATCAGACCTGCCAACCTCCCATTTAATATGGGAATTTCCTGCTAAATTGTTTGGGCCAGCTATAAAACACAATCAAACTGTGGTACCAATATACCCAACTATCTCCAACTTGAAATGACATCAATCACACAACACAATTGGGCACAACCCGATACCTACTTGATTTGGCACAAACAGACATCCAACCAGCATAAGACAATCACAACATAACAAATTAACATGTCAAATTAACATGAAACAATTGGGAACAATCGATACCTACTCAATTTTGAACAATGTGACTCAACCAGCATAACACAATCACAACATAACACAACCAATTGTCAAATTAACATTAAACAGTTGGGAACAACTTGATGCCAAACTAACATAACAAACCAAGTACAACCAGATGAATGACCACCAAAACACAATTGACTGTCACCCAATCGGAAATAACCCAAAAATGAACCAACACAACACAGCCAAATCATCATAACACAATCTAGCACAAATAGATAAACAATGACCAAAACACAATCGACTATCAAAATATCACAACCCAATTGGGCACAACCCAATATTAGACCAACACAACACAGGCAATAAAACCAAACTGAACAGTTACACAATAAATTGTTGAATTGATACAACACAATTAGCCACAACCATAGCACTTAATACTTAATTTACAACAGGTAAAACACAAACAAACATGATTACACCGTTTTTTGAAAATTTATCTATAAAAAACAAAGGACATCTATCTCGTTTTTTGAGAAATTGACCAAAAACTAGTTTTTTGAAAAATCTATCAGAAAAACTACTGATTTTTCAAAAATATACCACAAGTACTTCCAAATTTTCAAAATCTGCCCCTGGGCACTTATTACAGTGGATACTGTTTAAACCTATTTTTGAAAAAATTAGCACATTGAAATTATGGGCCTCAATTTTTGATGAAATCCTTCTTAGCCCGGAGGGGATTTTCAGTAATAATATTTGGGCTTTAGTCCACATTCCTTGACTGATACATACTATAACAGACTCATTAATTGTGTTACATTTTCAGCTAGAAGAGTATGATATCCACAACAGAGCAGAACACTATGTTACAACTGTTACAGCTGACCCAACTTTCTATGTCTTACCAGATGACATTGTACAAGAAGATGAAATCAAGTACTCAAGCATGAATAATCGATCTTATTTCCCTCAAGGGAATCCCCAGCTTCACAACAAACAGAGCATGTTCATCCATATGCCTCACCTTGGTAAAACAAAGAAACGAAAGTCATACGATAAAATGGATTGTTACGTGCATCATACACTGCACCAGCATCATGACCCCACTGATACCAGCACTGTTCTACCTGAAGGTACGTCCTATTGCTGATGCTCTTTAGTGACCAATAATGCCCGATTAACAACTAGTCTGAAATCCCCTGCAACATTCAATGTTTCCACATTTACATCAATAAGTAATTTTGATGGACTTAATTGTGATTATAAGCCACTAACTCACAATGTTGCCATTGACCAACATTTGTTAAGCCAGATATGTTTCCTTTATTTTATATTCTATGTAATTTTAATCCATGTTCCAGGCACCAAGTTGATCAAGCCACCTAACAAGCTGGTTGAAATAGTGGCCCAAGCCATTGATGGAAGTCCTGATAAATTATTACAAGTTCAGCAGGTCTATTCAGTCTTACAGTAAGTTTTTATATTTTTTATATTTTATACTACATGTACATGTATTAAACTCAAGAACAGGTTTATACATAAAGGGGGTGGGGTGGATGAGGGTCAGCAATTGCATCACTAGGTTGATTTACATAACTATAATCTTTGTTAACAGTGTCATAATGGTCAATACCATGGAAGGTCATCTAGATTTAAGGTCACATTGAGAAGTCAAGATCAGCTTGCAAAAAGTAAACACTGCTTAAGTCAAAATATAATAAGTTGTTCTAATAGATGTCACCTAACATCAGTTTAATAGATAAAATATAAAACAAAGTACATGTCTTGTAGACATTTTAGTTTCTGAAAAAGCACTCATGATGTGATGAATTCTTCACAATTAATGTGTTCATATTTTTTCCAGGAACAAGTACCCCTACTTCAGATATATGGACAAGTCTGCCATTACAAGCTGGAGGGTAAGTATTTTGATCACTAAGAACTCTTGACTTGATTGTTGAGTTTATAAAAAATAGTTCATTACCTTTTTGCAATATAAACAAAATAATTCCTATTTTGACTTAGACATAGCTTTAATATAGTACACTCACGCCCGGTGATCGTACAAAATTGATGGAGGGGGGATTAGGCGATTTCTGCAAGAAAACTCAACAAATTTGGAAGATTTATTTTTTCAAGAGAAAATTTACAACTGAATTGCCAAATGAATAGGCGCAGTGCATGGCAAAATATGTTAGGTCATCTAGTATTTTTTTTTAACTGATACCCTTCTAAGATATGAGATCTATTAAAAAAGGCGCATCATCACCAATGTGCAAAGGTCAATGTTTTTACTTTAAATTGGGCAACAATGGTCTACACGACCTGGAATAAATAGGTATAAGTTATTATCACAATACTAATGACATTGCTCACTTTTTAGAGTTAGTTTCAATGAGTTATACAAAAAAATCAAAATAAATTATGGAGGATGGAGGGGGGGGGATTTATATGTCTTAACGATGGAATAAATTCACAAGAACTCGTTTATTTCAAAAAACTAAACTCAGTACCCCAGTAAGAAACTGGATATTATATCTTTGGAGAACGAAAAATGGGAAAATTTGGAGTCATAAGAATAAATTCAAGTAGCATGTCTTATCATGTCTTATATACATGTGATCCCCTCCTCCATCCGATCCCCCCCTCCATCCAATATTCATTTATTTTGATTATTTTTTGTATAACGCATGGAAACTAACTTTAAAAAGTGAGCAATGTCATTAGTATTGTGATATTAATGTCCCTTATACCTATTTATTACAGGTCTCAGGGGCGGATCTGGGAACCAACAAGGGGGGGGGCCCAAAGTTCTTGTCTGAGAAAAAAATGTCCGCCCCTAAAACCAAAATGTGGGCCCAAATTTTGAAATCTTGAGGCCCATTTTCTTCAAAATTTGGCCTAAAATGAAAAAATAAGGCCTTAGAAGGCCCATTTATGACCAAAAAGGCCCACTTTTTGCGGCCACAAGGCCTTTTTTTGCCCAAAAATTTTTTTGGGCCCAATTTTTTTTTCTGGGCCCATCCAAGGGGGGGGGGCCCGGGCCCCTGGGCCCCCCCCCCATATCCGCCAGTGGGTCTTGTAGACCATTGTTGCCCGATTTATAGCAAAAACATTGACTTTTGCACGTTGGTAATGATGCACCTTTTTTAATAGATCTCATATCTTAGAAGGGTATCACTTCAAAAAAAAAACTGGATGACCGAATATATTTTGCCATGCACTGCGCCTATTCATTTGGCAATTCAGTTCTCTTGAAAAAATAAATCTTCCAAATTTGTTGAGTTTTCTTGCAGAAATTGCCTAATCCCCCCTCCATCCATTTTGTACGATCACCGGGCGTGACACTATTTCATTAAACAATGTCATAAGTTTCATGTCTAAATTCACTTTTTGAAAAAATGCTAAGATACCTGAAAATAATGAATTTCTGAATTTATTGTTTCTACTGCAGTTCTTCTTAAAATGTTATTTTTGTAGAGCTCAATCCGACATGCCTTGTATCAGAAATGGTTTGTGAAAGTTCCCTTTACAACTGACCTGATCAACTGCAAGGGAAGTTACTGGTGCCTCAACAAGATGTATATTCCCAAGGAGTGGAATATGCCAGGCATGCCAGTCATTCCCAAACATGGTGAGAGCTTTTCTAGTGTGAGATAGTTTTACTTGATACTGTACTCTGACAGAGAAAAGGAAGTTTTTATCTAGCAATTGCAAAATTCATTTATCAGATGTATTTTCTTTAAGAACTTTGTGATTTGACAGAAAAATATTCAATGGATTATCTTACAGAATCACTTTGAACTGAGAATGGGTAACACACCTACCATGTTATGAAGTGCACTGGTAGGCTGTCAGTTGTGAGCAGTCAATCATCTTGTCAGACCTAGATTGTGACATTTGACCTCAAAATATTTGTGATATTTTTCAGTTGTGCCCCCAAGGTCAATGCCAAGGAATGGATATGCAATGGATATAGAGAACGACCCGAACAAACTCGAAGATCTGGCTGCTGTGCAGACACTCACGATGCAACATGCAAACATCCATACCAACTTCCCAGATGTCTTTAACATCGGTGGCCAGGACTTTCCCTTGTACACCCCTGCTTCAGTGAACACAACTTTCCAACAGGGTCCCCAGTATGGATACAGCACAATCACTACAGCTACAGGGTTCAGCACACCTACTGTTTTGGATCTTAGCACTACAACATCTCTGGGACTCGGTACCACTACAGAGAAAAGCAGTACAACAACCAGTCTGATTCATATCAACCCCCCAAGAGTATCAAGTATATCGTTACCAAAATATAGCTCAACTCCAACTGGAAATCTTGAATCTTTGAATTTAACATGTAGTGATGTAATGCAGGATTCTGCCATCGGAGACTCTTTGTCAAACACATCCAGGAGCCCAAAGGATAGCCCTGCAACACAAGTCTCAATTTCAAGCCCAGTCTTTAGTTTCACAGAGCCAATAGATCTCAGTCAAACCTCAAAGGTATGTCTTGTATAATGCAAAAGTTCAAAAAGGTAAAAGTATTAATACAAGTGTATCATTCAGTTTGTGATTCAGTTATATTAACTGAACTAGAAAATGAATTTTCAGAATTTTGACATTTGGGTTATTTTGGCTAAATTCAATATCAATATTTTTTAGAATCAGATCCAGACGATGTTTTGTATAAACCACATTCAAAATTATTAAATTGTATATGTTTTTGATTACAAATCAATATAAAACCACCTTGACAGCAATGTATCTTTCTTGTTTCCTCAACCTTCGACAGCCAGTTTAAAATAGATTTGAGTTTCAGGGAATTTATCTTAAATTTTGCCAAATTCTTCAAAATAAAATGGGTGCCAAATTAACCAAAATTACAATAAATCATTGTTCATGTAATTTTAATTCATATATATAAGTCTGACGTCATGTAGTACATATTAACAGTAGATTGTCAATGCATTGATTAATTTGCTACTCCAGGAAAACAAAGAGAATAAGCAACCCTCCAGTCTGTTGGACACTCCAGTGAGGAAGATACCGAAGGGGGACCAGATCAGGTGCTCCCTCAAAATCAAACAGAATGTGCCCAAGGAGAAGGCCACAAAGGGAGCAAAGCTAATTGATAAATTATCTATAAAGCAACATCATCCCGATCGATCTTCCCTAGGTAAGTACTGATAAAGTAGTGTAGATGTATATTCAATGCTCTGAAGTCATAGAGGCAGTGTATATTTTTCAGGCAATAAAAAATGGTAAGAAGCATCTGAATCTGAACCACCCTCATAGCAGAACAAACAAGTTGCACATACAGCCATATTGTTTTCCGATTCCCCCATATGTGCATGCATGGCAGAAGGCATCGCTATGTAAAGTCCCTAAAGGCATGATCTACCAAAACTGAATTTGTACTTTTATAAATAATTAATGCTACTTGATTTCAGGTAATATGACCAGTAAGCCCATATCCAAGTTCACCTCAAGCTCCCGCCCCAAAGGTATCCCTCTTAAAGAGTCCAAACAAGGAAAGAATGGTGAATGTGATGATCAAGATAGTGGATATAGTGGAAGTCCATTCATGTGGGCTGAAGACTACAAGGGAGAGATCCACCCCATTATGTACCCAGGGCCTGTGTATTATGTACCATTCATGCCTGAAGGGCAGTCAGGGCATTACCCGCCAATGTATTATGCCCCAGATCATCCGTATGAAGAACATTGGTAGGGACAGCAATACACACAATTGCAGGCACACAGTGGATGGCTAATGTGGGCATAGAGGAGGTGATAAGTGCGAATATCACCATCAAGGAGTGTAGTATGTATAAGCTAAATGCCATATCATTTTTGGCTCACACAGTGAGCCTATGGGATCGACCAGGCATCCGTCCGTTGGTCCGTCCGTCCGTCCGTTGGTCCGTCTGTCCGTCCGTCCGTCAACATTGGCCGCACAAATTATTCTGCCATTCGGATTGAGTCATTTCCACATTGATTTTATGCATATCCATAATGCCTATATATCAAAGCTCTTGGAATTACAGTTTTTGGTGTTTACTAAATTTGTGGGTCAAAAAAACAGTAAAAATAAGTTATTTTTCAACTTGCTTCAATTTGACCAATTTTTTGGGAAATCATCTACAAGTTGCCAGAAGCTCAAATCTGACATTAGTTTTAGGATTTGACCTTTACTTGACCTTCAGTGACCTTCGAAAAGTCAAAAAAGTTGATTTTTCAAATTGATTTTTGGATGTAAATTTTGGTCAGCTTTATCACAAAAGACCTTACTGAGCTCTGAATAAGTAAAATTTTCAAGGTCAAAGGTCATCAAACTAGGTCACACAACTGTGCTATCAAATTTTATTTCTCAAAGTTCGAGACTTCTAATCCAAATCAATATTTTTGTTTAAAGTCAAGATATACATTCCTCTGAAGGTTCCAAACTGTGTGAGCACAGGACCGTGGGTCCTATTTTTGTGATATACATGTACATGTATGAAAGACCCTGGCCAGTGGCCAGTTGGCAGTGTGTGGCTAGCTATGAAAGAACTCAGATGTGCATTGTTAGAATAGAAGTCAAGTTATCATATACTTCCTTAGAAATGGGCTACCTTTGAAACTTCAGATTTGAAGCTAGAAATAAGCAAAAAAGAAACAGATTAACAAAATGATGAGCTACAGAACATTTTTAGAAACTATATTACCTTTTTAGAAACTGTATGTGGTAAATAAAATATGGGAATACAGTTGTGAGTCAATGCAATTATAACGCAATGGAATACCAATTGTAATGCAATAAAATTCCAATTGTAATGCAATGAAATATCAGTTGTGATGCAATGAAATTCCAATCGTAATGCAATGAAACACCCATTGTAATGCAATGAAATACCAATTGTAAAGCAATGAAATACCACTTAAAATGCAGTGAAATACCAATTGTAAAGCAAAGAAATACCACTTAAAATGCAGTGAAATACCAATTGTAAAGCAATGAAATACCATTTAAAATGCAGTGAAATACCAATTGTAAAGCAATGAACTACCATTTAAAATGCAGTGAAATACCAATTGTAAAGCAATGTAATATCCACTGAGGTAAGGTTTGAAATAATTGGATGAATGGGACATTCTATTTAATACATTTTCAACTTTTTTCTTTTGACACCTTCATTTGTATTCATTGCAATTTGTAATGTTATTCTGTACCTGTACCACTCTATATGTTGATACTTAACATGATATGTTAGGGAATATATCACCACTGATGACGTTTTTGTGCAGTGCTTACATTCGGAAATGGGTCAAACACGTTATATTATTAGAAAAGAACTCATTGTGGATAGTCTTGATTTTTAAGTATAAGAAGTTGATTTTTTCCTATGGAAAATCTATCAACAAATTAAAAGTTTCAGTATGACAAAAATACTGAAAATTAAAAGGGTCAAAGCCCCATACATGTGTTTGACAATTTCTTTTGAAGAGCTGAAAGCTTATTTAGAACATGGATGTTTGTTAAAGTTAACTTTATTTTTCATAACCAATGCATGTAGCATGCTCTAAGCTTTGATTTTGAACATGTCTCTTTCAATTAAAAAAGACTACAACAAAACCAATATGGTTTTAAAAATAATTTCCTTTGCAACATTAAACTTTAGCAATAAATTGCTATTCTCATTTTTAGTCATTGTGCATTGTAAACGATGAATTTGTATTTCTTATTGTAGCTTTTATCATTCTTCTATTATATTTCACATTTGGTTATTTCAAGAATGATCAAAATAAATCAGTTGTATCCAACAACTTTATATTATAATTGTACATATGATGCGTAAATTATGTTGTACATAAGATTAATTTTGCTGTAATTACTGTAAATAATAAACATTTATTTCTGTATAAAAGTATGTAATTTAATGCACATTCTATATACACAATGTATTATACAGTATATTATTTAAACTAGAAAATAATTTATTGCAAATATTTTGTATAACATTTTGGTTTTTATTACTCAAGGGAGCAATAAAAGAAAAAATAAATGAATTTGACTGTTCTGTATAATTGGCAATAATATAGAAAATTTTTCGTTGAAATGGTATGAATAAAATTGAACGCTCATTCTCCTGCCAAAGTATCTGTCTGAAGTAATGTAATAAATGGTTAATCATTTTGTCAGTCAAAAATTTTGCAATGTCATGTAAAACTTTGTGGTGCTAAATAGCGAATAATTTGTTGGAAAGTAGATTTCAATTAATAATATAAGGTATTATAAAATATAAGGTTTTCTGGAATCATTTTTGGAAATGTCAATGTCTAATTTTAACCCTTGAATGTCCAGGCCACTTTCTATTGTAAGTTTTCAAATAGTAGAGCAATACCCTGACCTCCTCCAATACAGGCTGATCCAATAGCATATTTACTAGCAGTGCGTCTGAAAATACAAGTAAAACACACATAAGTATGAGCATATAAAACAGAAATGCATTCTTTACATTTAGAAATATTTGAAGATATTGTTACTCAGCAACAATGTTAACAATGAGTATCTTCATTTGGGAATGGTGTCAGGGGCACCCGCTAGATTAGGTTGGCTAATGCTGTGGAATAGTGGTAGATATGAGATTTATCCCCCTGAAGAACCACTAAATTAAATTGATGCAAATATGTCCTATATCCCAAAATCAACAAATTTAGCTATAGCGCAAAATCAAAGACAACCAATATAGCCACATCCTATCACATAGCCATTGACTAGATTTTGGTTGACATTTATAATCCCATACAACATAGCCACACACAATCGCATTGCCACAGATATTGTATAGCAACAGCCAATCACATACTGTAGTCAAAGACTGTGGAATGAAAATAACACACATATTCCCATTTTTCTGATCAAACAGCCATAAAAGACCCCTGTGCCCAAAACATTAAAAGTGATTTAATTTTTACAAGTACAAACTCTTACTTAAGTTCAGCTACAAGGTGAGCAGTAATTCTGGAACCTGAGCAGCCTACAGGGTGACCTAGAGCAATGGCACCACCATTAACATTCAGCTTGGACATGTCTATACCTAATTCTTTAGCGCAAGCTATAGTCTGAGGTGCAAAAGCTTCATTTATCTGAAAAAGAGATAAAAATATATATTTTAATGAAAATACACATTTTAGTTTGACACATATTAGTTGTCATTCATTTCATTACAGGCCTAAATGATAAGATTTAGTCCCCTCTATATTAAAGCTTTTGGTAGACATTGAAATAACATGTTAATATTAAGGTTGTTTTTCATGAAAAACATTGAAAATGTGTTACTTCAAATAAAAAAAAACAACAAGAAGGTGCGTTCAACTCCAAGCCCTCTTCCAAAAAATAGGTTTTGCAAAATTTTGCCATGTTGTTCCATACCTCAACAAGGTCAATCTCAGCTAAAGTCTTCCCTGTCTTCTGGAGCAGGTTTGTGATTGCTGGTACTGGTCCTATTCCCATAATGCTAGGATCACAGCCTATAAAAAAATAATGGAATAATGGATGTGTGTTACCATAGGTACTAAGCTCATATGGAAATTATCTGTGGCAGCCATTTTGATTTTGCAAGAATACAGTGTTCGCTTCATTTTTTAGTTATATGCTAACTTATAAAAATCTGGAACAAACAAATCACTGCAATTGTTGATTTTTGACAAAATAGATTTTAACTATGAAATTTTCCACTAATGTTTGTCCAGACCACTATAATAGCCTTAAATAACAACAAGAAATTTATACAGCATTCAAAACCTAGCAATGCATGCCTGGTAATGTGTGAATATACATTACTTAACCCAATGGTATACCTGATATATGGTATCCTACTATTCTAACTAAAGGAGTAAGATTGTGTTGCTTGACTGCATCTTCACTGGCAACTATTACAGCACCTGCTCCATCACAGATTCCCTGAATTCAGAAATAATACTGATTAGTTAATGAAAACACAGGATGAAATTCTGGGCTAACATATATGATCAACGCAAGTTAGAAATAATACATGTAGAAACAAAGGCATCTTTTATCTTTTAAAAGTACAGAAAATATACAAAAAGTACAAAAATATAGTCTAAGATAATAAATTGATGGTCAAATAGTGACAGAACATAAATTAGTACTTAAAATGAAAGAGAATGTCCAAAATTCTACAGAAGATTAACTATGCAACCACTTGCATTACAAGTTGCGTACGCTAAATGACAGTTAATGTTCTGTAAAATACATTTCTCTGTATAATAAATTGAAACTTACAGATGCATTTCCTGCATTGACAGTTCCGCCTTTCTTGAATACTGGGGGCAGTTTGGATATCTGAGCCATGGTTGTCTCAGGCTTTGGGTGCTCATCAACCTCAAATACAACCTCACCCTTCCTGCTCTTTATTGTAATAGGAGCCATCTCCTCTTTGAATCTACCACCATCTTGGGCTGAAGGAGAGGTCACAAAATCAGTCATTGGGTGGAAATTATTAATATGAGTTGTGTAGATGAGTTCTAAAATGCATCGAAATTAGAAACGAGAAAACAGCAACTCAACAGAGTAGCAAATCTCACTGAACAAAAACTGTTTTGATAAATGGCAGCCATCTTGAAAATTTCTTCTTGAACAGAGCTCCCTTGTCCACGCCTAGCCATCGCGTAGGTAGGCGTCACCGTACAGCGTCAAAAAATAGCGGAGTACAGTTTTCTGTACGGTGACGCAAATCAACTGCTTTGAAGCAAAAACTATGACATGTATTTAAAAAAAATTAATTTGATGAAAACTAATACGATTTCATGTGAAATAAAACAGCATTCTCTTAGGAATGGTTTTAACTTTGTAATTATGATAAATGTTTTACGAGCACTGTTCGGATTTTTTCTAAGTGAATCGGCCCACATAATCGACCAGAGTGAAAAAAGGTTGTTTTTTCACATTTTGTTTGGTTATTATTTTCCCTGCCGTCTGAGAGTATGGATTATTTTTATGAGAATATGTATTTGTCGACTACACATTTTAGAACGGGCGAAGATTCAACAAACAACCATTCATTATGTATATTTAAAAAATATCAAATTTGTACGGTGACGCATCAGCTGTACGTTGACGATTCATTATAATTTGTGAGAAGTAATATAAAGAATTCATTATTTATTACTTCAAATCACATAAGTTTTAGCGTGGATGTTCAAATGTTGATCCAATCAAGTATCCCTCGTATACATGTTGTCAAAATGATCAGTGAAAGTTACTGCAGTCACTTTTGCATTTAAGATGGCGGACAGGAAGTGTCGATCTCAATATTTTTAGTTTTCATCGAATTCTTTAAAGTTGGCGTTATGCTTTGATGAACTATGAGACTAGGCTTATATGAAATGGAAACTCTGGAGTATGATCATTTGTTCATATATAGTGCATGGGCGCTACAATTCAACGATATCTTCCATCGCTTAATGGAAGGTTACTGGAAATGTGTGATACGGTAGGGGTCATGAAACCAAAAAGTCAGTATATTTGTTGCTATGTTATTATTGTTTTAAAACAAGGGATGTCACAAGTAAATCTCATCTTGCACGTGTGACTTTTAGGATGAAAGTTGTAATATCTTGCATGGGGTAAAAATGGCTATGTAGGCTATCTTTGTTAGTCATATGAGAAAAGCCTGGTCTGTATTTCAAATGATATCAAAGCATTGCCTCAACTTTCAAATAGTTAATTCCATGAAAACTAAAAATATCGAAATTAATACTTCCTGTCCGCCATCTTAAATGCTAAGGTGACGGCTGTAACCTTCGCTTGATACTTACCAGTGATAATGTAGATCTGACGCTTCTTTACCTCTTGTTCGAACAGTAAGCTTAGAGTTGAATGTGTTTCAGTATTTAATCCTTGTTATCAGATATACGAATTGATCTCTTCAATGTTGAATGAGATACAGCATTTGAATTTCCACACAAAAACTTATGGAATCTTAAGTTAATTTTGAGGTCATATATTACACTTCATGAAATCTAAGGAATCGTCACCGTACAGCAGATGCGTCACCGTACAGATCTGATCTTTTTTAAATAAATGCACTGAATGATTATTTGCCGAATATTCATCTGTTCTAAAATGTGTAGATAACAAATACATATTCTCATAAAAATAATCCATACTCTCAGACGACAGGGAAAATAATAACCAAACGAAAAGTGAAAAAACAACATTTTTCTCTCGAGTCGATTGTGTGGGCCGATCCAGTCAGAAAAAATCCAAACAGTGCTCGAAAAACTTTTATCATAATTAGAAAGTTAAAAACATTGCTAAGAGAATGCTGTTTTTATTACACTCGAAATCGTATTTATTTTCATCTAATTAATTTATTTAAAACCCCCATTATAGTTTTTGCTTCAACTCAGTTAATTTTCGTCACCGTACAGAAACTGTACTACTGTATTTTTTGACGCTGTAGGGTGACGCCTGCTTACGCGATGGTTAGGCGTGTTGTCATCAGCATATAAAATTTGATTCAAATCTGTCAACTGGTAAGTAGGTTATCTAATATTATGTTTTTTTAAGAAAAATGGCTGCCATTTTGAAATTCAGGTACCATCTTGAAAATTCCTTTATCTCAAGACATCAGCATATAAAATTTGAATCCGTCCACTGGTACTTGAGTTATCAAAGATTATATTTTTTATAAAAAATGGTGGTCATTTTGAAATTTTGTAGTATTTTGATAATATTTTTTCGAGTGGAAGGTTTAATGCCTTTAGGCATCAGCATATGAAATTTGAACCAAGTTTATCCACTGGTTTTTGAGTTATCAAAGTTTATGTTCTGTTACAAAGAATGGCAGCCACTTTTAAATTTAGCTGCCATCTTGAAAATTCCTTCTCGACCAGAGCTCCTGTGTCCCTCGGTATCAGCATATAAAATTTGAACCAAGTCCTGCATTTCAGTTATCCAAGATTAATTTTTTTACAAAAAATTGGGGTATTTTGAATTGAGTGGCCATATTGAAAATTACTTCTCGAGCAGAGGTCCTACACTCATAAGGCATAAGCACATAAAATTTGAACAAAAATCTGTAAATTGGTATTTGAGTAATTGCCCCGTCACACGGACGGACTGACGGATGGATGGACGGCTTTCCTATATCCCCCTTGTACTTCGTTCAGTCGGATAATAATTTCTAGGTTATCATCTTTGACTTCTTTTTATACCTATCTAAATGAAAAATGTTTTTCATGCATAAAAACTGGAATTTGGATATGAAAACTTCCTACATTCACATAAAAAGTCTCTGTGAGGAAAAAACAAAACTTAGACTATAGGCAAAATCAAAATCTGTGATTGCAGCTCAAACGCTTCCTTGTTTCCTAAACATACGAGTCTCAAAAGGGCCCTACCTGCCTTCCATCTAGATTGAGATTGGAGAGCAAATGTGTCGCATTCTTCTCTGGAAATGTTGTATTTCTCAGCCAGGTTCTCAGCTGTAATTCCCATGGGAGTCTTGATATGGAGATCTGTTAAGGTTGCCCAGAGAGTATCCTCTAGCTAAAATGAATAGAGAAATGTTTAGAATATTTGCTTGTCATGTCTGTTTTCTAAATATCCCAATAATGCATACTTTATTTGAAAAAAAAGATTGTACAAATATCTAAAGATTGTGCAATTATTGATGCAATCTGTACATTTTGCACCAAAAAATTGGAGAGAAAACATGCATAAATCATAATTCTAAGTTCTTACTTTTAAATCCTGTCCTAGCTTAGTGCCAAATCGTGCCCCACGGAGAGTGAATGGTGCTCCACTCATGTGTTCAGAGCCACCTGCTATCCCTACATTGGCGTCATTGGTTAGGATATCCTAGAAAAGGAGCATATCGTTTAGTTAGGATAAGCATTCTACTGTATTTATGTACAGTACGCAATGTGGTGATGTGTTCTCTAAAGTTCCCAAAGTAAAGTCTCTAAGTAAAACTTCTGATTTCTTTTCCTTTAAATTGATGCAAGTTGACACAACCTCCAAACAAATCTCAATACAATCAAATTATAGGGCTTAAAGCTAAACTAAAACTGTAGAACCTGCTTCATTAGTATCAATTCTTCAAAACTAAATTAATAAATTTTAGAACAAAAAATTAAAATTAGGTTCTAAATACCCAAGTGGCTGAGACTGCAGTCTTGGAGAATGCCGGGTCACATTTAATTACAGTGTACTTTCAATTCTTCAAAACTATACAGACATAACACTGAGCCTGTAAATACCCAAGTGGCTGAGACTGCAGTCTTGGAGAATGCTGAGTCACATTTAATTACAGTGTACTTTCAATTCTTCAAAACTATACAGACATAACACTAAGCCTGTAAATACCTGGGTGGCTGAGACTGCAGTCTTGGAGAATGCTGAGTCACATTTAATTACAGTGTACTTTCAATTCTTCAAAACTATACAGACATAACACTGAACCTGTAAATACCCAAGTGGCTGAGACTGCAGTCTTGGAGAATGCTGAGTCACATTTAATTTCAGTGTACTTTCAATTCTTCAAAACTATACAGACATAACACTAAGCCTGTAAATACCCAAGTGGCTGAGACTGCAGTCTTGAAGAATGCTGAGTCACATTTAATTACAGTGTACTTTCAATTCTTCAAAACTATACAGACATAACACTGAGCCTGTAAATACCCAAGTGGCTGAGACTGCAGTCTTGAAGAATGCTGAGTCACATTTAATTACAGTGTACTTTCAATTCTTCAAAACTATACAGACATAACACTGAGCCTGTAAATACCCAAGTGGCTGAGACTGCAGTCTTGGAGAATGCTGAGTCACATTTAATTACAGTGTACTTTCAATTCTTCAAAACTATACAGACATAACACTAAGCCTGTAAATACCTGGGTGGCTGAGACTGCAGTCTTGAAGAATGCCGGGTCACATTTAATTACAGTGTACTTTCAATTCTTCAAAACTATACAGACATAACACTGAGCCTGTAAATACCCAAGTGGCTGAGACTGCAGTCTTGGAGAATGCTGAGTCACATTTAATTTCAGTGTACTTTCAATTCTTCAAAACTATACAGACATAACACTAAGCCTGTAAATACCCAAGTGGCTGAGACTGCAGTCTTGGAGAATGCTGAGTCACATTTAATTACAGTGTACTTTCAATTCTTCAAAACTATACAGACATAACACTAAGCCTGTAAATACCTGGGTGGCTGAGACTGCAGTCTTGAAGAATGCCGGGTCACATTTAATTGCAGTGTACTTTCAATTCTTCAAAACTATACAGACATAACACTGAACCTGTAAATACCTGGGTGGCTGAGACTATAGCCTGAAAGCCTGATCCACAGAGTCTGTTTACAGTGAGGCATGGCGTGGAAACTGGCACTCCGTTTCTCAAAGCAACATGACGCCCCAGATATGCAGCATCAGGAGAATTCTGAAATATACATGTATGTATATTGTTTTACAGGGTGTTTTGTAATGAGACTCTGATTGGCTGTGGATGGGGGAAGTCATTATGAAACACCCTGTATATTAGCAATTATTTAATATTTAAGTTGAATGATTTGTGTAAATTCTGAAAAATAATTGCTTTATTGTTCATAAACTGAATTTCTCGCAATGACACTTTTCATCTTAATGCTCGTGCGAGCAACAGCTACAATAAAAGAACTCATGTATTAACTAGGAAAATGGCAACTTTCTGGAATAGCAGATCCCACCAAACAAAACACATTTAACGAATCACTTAAAATTTTGATTGATTTTGAATAAACAGATAGATGTACAGATTATTTATCTCCCTACTCGAATAACAATGTTCAGTGGGATATTGAGGCAAAAACTATTAGATTATAAATTATGTAACCTCCTTTCTCCTATAAGCCCTGGTTCTTATTACGAGAATGCCCAGAAATGGCTGATCATACAAAGCAAAAAATCTAATTGAATTAAAAGTCTCGAAAATATATACCAATGTCATGTAAGAATGCCTGAGATACTGACACAAAATATTAAAAAATAATGTCACTTGAACTATTGAGTGTAGATAAAAAATGAGTCATATATGTTCTAAGAAGTTTAACTCAAAACATTTAGAGCGAAGAGGTGTGCGCCACAAATGGTTAGACGTCCCTGATGATAAGTTAACTGAGTTTAAGTACAACCAAAGTTCCATTATAAATTATCTCATAACTCAAAGTCTACTTTTGTAACTCAAAGTTCAATGTTGTGTTTGATTACAACACTTTAAAAGTTCTAAAATTAAATGAATAGACGCCTTCTGAATAAATATTTTAACTTGGTAATTAGTTTAATTCTTTTTAAATTCTGTTCACACAAGAGAGTTTAAATAGTATTTACAATCTCATTCATAGCTGATTTATAGTTTTCTATTATATATTTCCCTATCAAAGCACATGATATAACTTTAAGTTATGAAATTTAATGTAAGGGTTCTACATTATAATTTATGAAATCAATCCTCACTAGTAGCAGTTTCTTAGATTTAAATATACAGAAATTCTAAGAAATTATACAATACAGGAATATTACAAAAATAGCCTAGTGAATAACTTCTTGATCTAATCTAATAAAAAGAACATTCATACACATTCACAAAAATAAATAATTATCTCAAAGTTCTTAGAATATAGACGTCAACTCATTTCTTTAGTTTTTTATGTGACTCAAACTTTTGCATTAAAAACTTTAAATATTTTTAAACAAGCAGGCTTTTTAAATGGGAGTTATTAAAATTCCTATGGTATGGTTAATCCAGGAAAAGGTCTTGCTTCTGGTCACCACACATTCTTTTAGACCTCCCTGCCAAGCTATCTTTTTGAAAATGTCTATCTTTTTACATACAAAAATATAATAGTGAAATGAAATGGCACAATCTGAAGAGCTCATATGGTGTAAATTTTTCATTTAATTAAAAAACAAGTCAAGTTTTCACTCAACATTTCTGTTATCTATCTACGGACCAGACACACATTGTTTTTTTCTTGGCTTTGTATGATATTTTCATTCATCCCAGTTAGTTTCAAGCTAAATGTGCAAATCTGTCATATGATGATAAGAACAGTATTGTACCACTTTAAACCCAGCATGATCTAATTGCATAATGAGTGTTAATAATTTATCACAAATGCACCCTACCTGTCCAACACTGCCTACAACACATGTGTCAATGATTTCTGGGTTGATACCTCCTGCCTTTAATGCAGCCCCTGCAGCAATCGCTCCTAAATCTACAGCTGTAAAGTCTTTCAGCTTACCACCAAATGCACCAAATGGTGTACGCTTAGCTGCCACAATAAATACGCCTAAAAGCAATCGAAGGATACATATCTCTAGATCTACAAATTTTTGCTTTGAAAATTCATTTAGTGTTATTTCTGTTGAAAAATTCAATGTATAGTACAGTGTTTTCCACAGGATTTTTTATCAAGTTGGTGCAAAGTTCTAATTTCACAATTCAGATCAAAATTGATCAAATATGCCCATCTTTATGATTTTTCTCATTTTCAAGTGCGTGTAAATTTTCAGGTGGGTGCAAGCTTGTTTTTAAAATCTCAGGTGGGTGCCGGGAGAGTACATATATTTGCATTAATCTCATCAATCATTACTTTGCATATATTCACGCCCGGTGATCGTGAATATGGGACGGAGGGGGGAGCAGGCAATTTCTGCTAGGAAATTCAACAAATCTGGAAGATTTATTTTTTCAAGAAAAAGTTTACTATTGAATTGCTAAATGGATAGGCGCACGGTATGGTAGAATATGTAAGGTTTTCTGGGATTTTTTCTGAAACGATACGCATCTGAGGTATGAGATCTATTAAAAAAGGCGCAAGGCCATCAACAGGCACAAATCAACGTTTTTGCTATAAATCAAGCAACAATGGTCTGGACGACCTGTAATAAATACTTGTAAGTGATGTTATCATAACTAAATTAATGTCATTGCTGAATTTATAAAATAAGTTTCCATATGTGAATTAAAAAATAATCGAAAATAATGAATTTGGGACGGAGGGGGGGGAGGGGACGGAGGGGGGGAGCAATATGTATATAAGACATGATTAGAGATGTTTCGCGACTTTAAGTCCTTTTACTCCAAATGTCCCCATTTTTCAGTCTCCAGGGGTATATCATCCAGTTTCTTACTAAGTTAATGAGTTCATTTTTCAAATACAAGAATTCGTGTGAAGTTGTTTCACTTTATAGAATTATTACTCCCACCCTCCGTCCCCTCCGTCCCATTTTAATTATTTTCGATTATTTTTTATTTTACGTATGGAAACTTATTTTATAAATTCAGCAATGACATTAATTTAGTTATGATAACATCACTTACAAGTATTTATTACAGGTCGTGTAGTCCATTGTTGCTTGATTTATAGCAAAAACGTTGATTTGTGCCTGTTGATGGCCTTGCGCCTTTTTTAATAGATCTCATACCTTAGATGCGTATCGTTTCAGAAAAAATCCCAGAAAACCTAACATATTCTACCATACCGTGCGCCTATCCATTTAGCAATTCAATAGTAAACTTTTTCTTGAAAAAATAAATCTTCCAGATTTGTTGAATTTCCTAGCAGAAATTGCCTGCTCCCCCCCCTCTGTCCCATATTCACGATCACCGGGCGTGATATTGAGATATTACTGTCAAAACAAGGACTCAAACATGGATGACAACCCAGGTGTATATGTAAATAGATGATTGATCATCTTGGATTTTCAACCCGAATACCAAACAACCAAACTGAAATGAGAAAATCCAAAATGGTAAGACTGGCTTGACAAAGGTCTTGCTTGGTCTGCCTAAAGCAATAGACATTGTCAGGTTAAATATACCACAATACAATACAAATGATACAAACTATATGTTAGTGCATAACAACATGTTAATTACTATGTATGAGGACAGGGAGGCGATGTCATCCATGTAGGTAGTTGTCAGACAATGGACTGCGCTGAATGTCGCACAATTACAAACATGGACGACATTGCCCCCTGTCCTCTAAACCATATATTAGAAAATGTTATAAGACGATCAATCCAATAACATCTATATACTCCGGTCCTCATCTAGCAAATCAGTCAGTCCATGAAAAAGGTAGTAAGTAAAAAAAATTCTTTTTGTTTCTTATTCTCTTCAACAGTTGAATGAAAAACAGGAATAATTTACATTCTTTTGTTGTTGAGGGTGCCTGAATTTTTACCAACAGACTAAATGAGAATTGCTACTTTCACATCGTAACCAAATGTTTCAGTTGTGATATTGGTCTGGTTCAAGAATGTCTTGAGCCTAAGTTGGGTCAGGCTAGGCTTGGTTAACTACTACTACTTTTCCCTTGGCTTATGCTTTTAGCTTAGTTCACTGCTAATTTTGAATAATTTGTTCTGAAAATTCAAATTCAATTGAAGAAATATTTCAATTTTTATTGAAAAAAATATTCAGTCAGATTTAGAAACATATTTTTATCGGTTTTCGAATTGCCGAAGAAAATGTAAAGTATTGTTTTCGTAGAAAAGTGTCGTAATTATTTAACTATTGCAATATTCTTATTTGAAATACTACTTAAGGTGATTTCTATTGCAAAATAGTCCTGAAATGTTTACCTTTCGAAAGTGCCATTTTTCACTTAGAATCTCAGGGATTGAAGAGCTCTAGATCTAATAAATTTCACGGGTGAAGAACAAGTAAAGTCGTACACCCTCGGTGCAAGGATAATATTTTCTCTTACTCATAATCTAGGCTATCAAGGAGAATATTTTATCCTTAGGCATTAACTTAATACCTAGACTAAGTTTTTTTCAAACTATGCTAAGTAAATAGTAGATTCTACACGATTTCAATATTCAAGAAAATAATATTCTATTCCCGGGGATTTGTTCAGCACACTATTTAATCACCATGGTAGTCAAAGACTTATATTACAAAAAATTAAATTAGGAATTCAATTTTAAGTGTTCGAAGATTATTTGTAGTTACAGATGCTCATTATTAATTCAATAAATGCCTTTAATAGATATCAAATTGTCCCGATAAAAACCTCCCACTGAACGAAATTGGGTGTTATGTACTGGACGAAACAAAGTCAATTTCGCGGAAATGATACTTTCTGTTTCAGTGCCAGAACTGGAAACGTTTGTGTATTTATCACAGTGAATCATCATATTTTAGTGTTGTGCGCATTGTTATATGATGGGGCAGTTATTCGGGATCATTTCTGGCAATAAGGAGCAGGAGAAAAGGTAACAAAACCATGTTAAATGAACTGTAAAGAAATGTTATGTTGTAAAAATATTTTTTTAAATGGATGTCAAAATCAAATTGCAATAGCTATTCCATTTCCAATAGCCTAGAGTCTAGATCTAGTGGTGAATACCTTTTCATGAATTTTCCTGAATCTATGAATACATGAGCAATGCAGATCTGGACAGGCCTGAATTGAAAGTCAGGTCAGCAGGAGTGGATCTGGGAACCAATAAGGGGGGGGGGCAAATGTCAAGTCAGAGAAAAAAATCATATCCGCCAGTAGGTCAGAGTAAATAGGCTTTGGGTTTCTCACCTTGAGCCAGGCACCCAATCAGATTCAAAGTCGCGGTTTTTAATCTAGAAAATCTGGAGTTCCTTTGGTCAGGTAACCATACTGATACCGTAGCAAAGTAAATGACCAAGCAGATAATATATGAATTTCCCAGGTATCGTCATGTGTCAGCTAATTAATTTTGACAAAAATAATTTGACTGGTCAGCACAATCGGAAAATTAGCACATAAATCAGCTGATTTGGGGATTCTTTGTAAATAGTAAATGACCAAGCAGATAACATATGAATTTCCCAGGTATCGTCATGTGTCATCTAATTAATTTTGACAAAAATAATTTGACCGGTCAGCACAATCGCAAAATTAGCACATAAATCAGCTGATTTGGGGATTCTTTGTTGGTATAAGTGGATAGGTTAATATGTGATACGGATTGACATGCAAAAAAGTCCAGGGGGATTTGATTGTGCTTTCCCTGGGGTGCTTTCCTATCGCCAGGTCTCTCTTTAAATACTGTAATCTGGCTCACATTTATTGGGGTGGTAGCAAAGAGAACTACTTACAACTTATCTCTTTCAAAGGTTTCCTACTAGGCCTAGACTATATACTAGATAGATGTCTAATTAGTAATTGGTTGACCAAAGTAGTGCTCGCCTGGAAATGTGTTTTAAGTGGAACTGTTTCCTTAAGTCTTAGTGTTTCTCGTCAAATAATAAATTTATTGCATGTACATTGAGTAAGTCATACATGTAGGTGTTCTCCTTACCTCTTCTTCTAAGGCCATCTCCGTTTGTTCCAGCTCCAGAGTTCCAACTTGTACTTTCACCCTCTTGCTACTGTCATAAACAGAATTGTGTTAAAGATAATGTACCTTCGTGTATCTCTTGGTAAAAGATGCCAGTTCATATCTATACTGGTTTTTATTCATTATCTAGGATATAAGAAAGCTTCTGTCCATTTGTCCATCTGTTTACCCTTCTGTCCGGGCGATAACTCAAATACAGGTTGATGAATGTAGTTCAAATTTTATAGGCTTATGCCTTATGGGTGTAGGACCTCTGCTCAAAAAGGAAATTTCAATATGGCCACTCAATTCAAAATGGCTGCTTTTTTCAAAAAAATTTAATCTTTGATAACTCGAATACTATAGTCAAAACAGAAATGTTTGTGACTACTTTGAATTAAAAAAATAAGCAATCAAATGACCATATTGAAACAGTTTATGTAAAAATAGAAACATTTATATTCATCCTAACTTTTGTATATTTCAGATAGTAATGTATCATGTGCAGCAAAGCTGTGGCCTTTTGTAATTTAGGGAGTTTCAGCCATGTTAATTTTTCCGAAAATAACATGGCAGAGAAGTATCAAAATATAAGAGGACACAGATATGATAGCTAAACTACAAAACAAACCAAAATATACAAAAGTTAGGATAAATATAAATGTTTTTATTTTTACATAAACTGTTTCAATATGGTCATTTGATTGCTTATTTTTTAAATTCAAAGTAGTCACAAACATTTCTGTTTTGACTGTAGTGATGGATTTGGTTCAAATTTTATATGCTGATGCTTAAAGACAAAGAAGCTTTGCTGAAGAAGACATTTTAAAGATGGCTGCAGATTTTCAAAATGGTGGCCATTTCTTGTAAAAAATGTAGTCTTTGATAATTCAAGTACCCCTCCACTCAAGAAGACATTTCAAAGATGGCTTCCAGATTTCAAAATGGCCACACTTTTTTGTAAAAACTTAATCTTTGATAACTCAAATACCAGTGGACAGATTTGGTTCAAACCTTATATGCTGATGCCGAAGGACAAAGGAGCTCTGTCTGAGAAGTTTTCAAGATGACAGCTGAATTTTAAAATGGCTGCCATTTTTTGTAAAAAATGTAATTGATAACTCAAATACCAGTGGATGAATTTGGTTCAAATTTTATATGCTGATTCCTAGAGACAAAGGAGCTTTGCTTGAGAAGAAATTTTTAAGGTGGCAGCTTTTTATCAAAATTAGTGATTTCATTTTGCAAAATGATCAGCAGTTATTTTGTTAACCTGCATAAATAGGGATTCATTCTTAATTTTCCAATTGAGGCTTGAACGAAGCCTTTAAATCAAGGTGACCTGATAGAATTCTGATTTAAGTTTTTCATTTATTTGCATAGGCATACTATGTTATTATGATCTCATGAAAGCAAACAATTTTTGGTCTTAGTATATCATATACAGTTCTTTGTATGATTGAAACTAATGGCTGTTTCTCAGAAATATTAATTTTGAATTATTTCTCAGAAATAGCCATTTGATAGTATTATTTATAAACTTTGTGGTAATGATAACAGCTGATAATCAGCGTGCATGTAAAATAAGTGCAAACTTAATATATCTTTTAAACCTAACGATAACAAAATAAGAGCAAAACTCAAAATTATATGTGTTAAGCATAATCAATTATGTATTTTTTTAAAGTATGTAAGTATGTATTTTCATAAAGTTTAATTTTTGCATTTGAATATTATCTCAAACTTCTCAAAACTAATTTAACTGTTAGTTTCACTTTTGGTTTCAGAACTTAACCTTGTTGTTTAGATCACTTATTTTACTAATGCTTTTGGACATATCTAATGACAAACACTGCTTTAATTGTATGCTTTACACCTGGAAGGAATGAGAAGGAAGTCCTCAACTTCTTATTGGGGAGGTTGAAAATTTAGATTTTTGATATAGTGTTGGAGCAATCTGGGGATGTCTGATATATCTTAATAAAATTTTTCCAATTGTGTAGCATGCATTGTGTGCATTAGGCACAACAGACACTGCACCAATGCTAGTTTTCCTATTATTTTGTTTTACCTGACTATTACATGTTCATTAATTTCCAATGGATCTGGAGGGAGGGTGAAATCCTATATGATCCAAAGCTTAACTTTCTGTTCTGTTTTATTGTTTTAATGTTTAGATTAAATAGGAACAAAGCTGACCAAAACCTATAACCAAGTTGGTGAACAAGGAAGACTGAACACCATTCAAAAATTACAACTGCATGAATGTGTGACACCATTGTGATCGCTTCTACATGCATGGTGTGTAATGTTACAGCAGAATGGTGAACTGCTAGAACTGACACTAATTGAGGTATTATTGCTTGCATGCCGTAAATGTTTTTTAGTAAGAAGTTCACATGCTATAAAAATAAATGTTCAATACTAACAGTTTCAGATATAAAACTATTTTGACAAGTGTGCACACATACTGATGTGTTTCATTCAGCACACAAGTGTTCATCCATTTGTTGGTCCGATTGTTCGTCCAGATAAAATTGAATACTGCTGTCAGTTTTGGTTTATATTTTTTAAGTTGATGTCTTGTTGGCATAGACCCTTGATTAAAAAAGAACTTGCAATATGGATGAAACATGCCTCCAAGTTAATGTTGTTGCTTCATTTTAAATATTGTTATTGCTTTGAATTAAATAGGCAAGTTTGTTTCTTAGTGGCATTTATTTTATGACACGATAAACTCTCAATTTTGAATATTTTGTGGCTTGATACAAAATTAATGAGTTTCAGCTTATTTAGTTTGTCAATTTATAAGTGAACTAATCAAAAAGTTTCAGAGCTGCATTTAAATAGTATGACAATATTTGATATATGATTTATTACAGTGATATACCTCAAGCTGAAGATGATCCAGATCCTACAACTGAGGATTTAGGAATAAACACTTGTGAACTTTCGACTAATGATACTCAACTGTGGTGTAGCAAGAGAGTACAGAAACAAAGAAAGAACAGTGATATAACTGAAATAAATGATACTGTAGAATATTCAGTAGTTACAAGTAACATCTTTGGAAGTGACTATCAGAAAATGGCAGATGGGCAGAATGTCCCATCAGAGGATGTAGATCCCAATGCAGTGGTAAGTAAATGCTCAGGATGGAAAGACTTTTAGAAAACAGTGCCCATGTCAAATGACTTTAAAAACAATTGTTTTTTGCCATTATTTAGTGTTTTGAAATTTAAAGTAACTCAGCTTGTACTTGCAAATGCAAGTTTCAGCTGTCGACTACTGAATTAACCTCCTATTTTATGACCAACTCATTTGAATATGAATGGAATATTGTCAGGTTTATTTGTTTATTTTCAAATGAGTTGCCCATAAAATAGTAGGTTAATCCAGTAATTGACAGCATTGCATTGTGAATACAAGCCTAGTCTCTGAGTTTGGTCATTAAAGGTTCCTTTAGAACTAACTGTAACTTGCAACATAGACAAACCTTTTTATGTCTCCACCACATAGTTAGGGGCCATATTGTCGGCCTTTGGGCGTCCATCCGTCTGTTTGTCTGTCTTTCTGGCTGTACATCCAACAGTTTTCTCCAAAAGCGCTACAGGTATCACCTTCAAATGTTGAAACAATCCATGCATTGAAGTAAATTGTGTGTATTCTTTAATTTTGTAGTTGCGTAATTTGGAGGAATTATTATCAAGAGCACAAGAATGTTTGAACACTAGATCCTATAATCCTTATGAAGCAAAGGCGTTACTTTTGAATAGCCTACAAGTACTGCAACATCATAAAGACCTGAGGAAACAACAACCAAATGCTAGTTTATTTCGTATAAAGCCAAAACTTCACCAATATTTGGGTTTGACTTACATTCACCTGACCAAGTACAAAGAGGTAAGAACATTACATTAAAATTACTTGTTAGTAGCAGAATGCGTTTAGGGGTAGATGGTGCTACCTTCTCTTTCAATATTACTGATGAGTATCAACATGTTTGTTTCCATTGGTTTAAACCACTTTCAATTGACTTTGGCAATTGAAATTCCAGCTTAGTCAGCGTATAAGGCACAAAAGGGTAAGTTTAGAATCAGATCATGTGTTCTGATTGAAGAACAGGCAGTTGTGATTTCTCAATTAAGTTTCTACAACTATGTATTTCATTGTCTCCAGGAGAAGATGCCTATCTGTCATGTAGCACCCCTTTCAACCCATCTCATACAATAGATCTTGATTCTCAAAAATGGTAGTCCATATTAATTAATAAAGTTAATAATTTCCATTTTCAGGAATCTAGAGCCCAGAATATACAAAGTGCTTTTGATGAGTTTTCAAATGGTAAGCATTTTTCATTACATGCAAATTGGAGTTCATTTTGGTGCTATTGACCTTTTATTGTGGTATTGGGTTAGGTTGATCACATGTCAGGGAGACCTTAACTCAAATATTTACATACTTTTTCTGATATAAACAGGCTAGCATGTTTGCTTTGTATTATGGGGAATTGAATTCTTTTTATATAGGCATGTTTAAACATGTTGAATCACGCCACCTTTCAAATTCATCAGAGGTAAAATAAAAAACAATAACATGCACATTTGCATTGGAAGTGAATAGCAGAACATCAGTTCAAAATCAGAGATAAAATTGAAATGCGTAAACAGAAAATACAGGAAATCGAAACCATAAACCATATGGGTAATGTGAGATGAAGTATTTAAAATATGATAATATGTTTCCAAGGCAGATGGAATTCGATTTTTATACAATAAAGGAGACAAAGGTATAATGATTACAAATAATAGACTGGTAAATCTTAGCATAGCACTGTCACTCATATTTACTATAATCAATCATCGTCAAATTCACAATTGTCCATTCTCAAACCATGGCATGTAGGGTACAGTATTTATATAAACAAAAATGTGACATCATGTACATGCATTAAAGCTGAACACAGTGGTGAACTGAACAGTATATAATTACAATCATAATACATTGGATAATATTATCAGAGGTTATGTCACCATGACATGAAATATGCCTAAGTTTCACCAATATAGGTGACCCTTGGGAGGCTCCATATTTGGGCAAGAACAAAGGCAGGCCTGTCAACTGTCCCGCAATTTGCGTATTTGTCACGCATTTGCTGAAGAATTTGAATGTCACGCAAATACGCATTTTACCTGGTAATTGTCAAGCAAAAATATTTCTGTAGAGAATTTTTCAAAATACGTTTACGATACGATAAAAATACGAACGTCGAAAAAAACCGAACGCAATTTGTTTGGATTTGTCACGCGAATCCCGTATATGTCACGCATGTTTATTGGAAATTTTCGTACCTACCTTTTCAGACATTTTTGGCATGGTCTCGTAGATAAAAGATGAAAGTTTTTTCCCCTATACACAGTTTTTAATTCAGTTTTGCCTTTTTGATACCCGTTACCTTTCACACCACATATTCAATGTTACCTAATATTTCAATGACAGTCTGCATCCTTACTACTACATTGTTCATCACATTTGATATATCTGGTGGAATGTTTTGATTTCTGTGCAGATGCTGGTCTTAAGTTATTTTAGGTTTCTTAGCTTTGGTTTAGCATAAAAATGGTCCTTCAAATAGCCTCAGAGAAAAAAGTATGGGCCGTCAAATATGGTAAATAGGAAGGCCCTCACAATGTCTTATAGCCCCCTTATACAGAGAGGTCAGAGGTTCAAGAAACTGCATTGCTGGGGATTCTAGTGTAGCTTTTGTTTGTGTATCAATTTTAGACCACTGTGTTTTCATTTGGATATGATTTGGTCTCCATGGTAACTCCTGAATCATTTGCAGAGAATTGACCTGATTATATGTGTTTTTTTCTGCCATCGTCATCCTCAAACATCTTTTTCTGTGGCTATTTGAAGGAGTGTTTTAATGCTCATTCCAAGCAAAAAGACCTAGAACAACGTAAGGGCAACATTCAAAGATAAATCCAAAACATTCCACCAGAATTATTATCAAATGTGATGAACAATGTAGCAGTAAGGATACAGGCTGTCATCGAAATATGAGGTTACATGGATTATGTGGTGTATAAGATAAAGGGTTAAAGCATCAAAAAAACAAGACTGAAATAAAAATGGTGTATTGGGGAGAAAACTTTCATGTTTTGGCTACATGACCATGCAAAAAATGTCTGAAAATATTGATTGGTTTATCTTTGCTCTTGATATCCTTTTGGGTACATTTTTTTGAGACACCCTGTATTTCACATCATAGTGACGTAACTGATGTATTACATACCTTTATATCAATGCAATGACGTCACACATCAAGTAGAATTTGATCAAAATGGAACATAACGCTGTGATATTGTCATGGTTATTAAAGAAATCTGATATAAAAACGAGGTATGCGGGCTATATCGGCGTAATCGGGCAATATCAGTGGATATAGCCAGCCAACTTTTCCATTGACTTCCATACAAATGCTTCGCTAGGTATGTAATACACCAAGGTATTGATCACCTTCATTGGTAGTAAACAAATACTTCATATGCAAATCAATATGATGCAATACTATATGTACAAAACTATCATCAATACATGATATGACCACTGATTTTGCATTTTTAGCCCTTTGCTGCGACAATTTAACTCCTGAAATTATATGTGATGTCACCAATCCACTACAAATTCTTGTGAAAGATAAATGTCTTTCCTGGTTGGTAAGTAAATAGTACAGTACATGTATATATATGTTAATGTGGAAGAAACTTTAGTATTTCACTTTTTACATGTTCAATAGAAGTGCTGAAAAAAGAAGGCTGTAAGTTTTTTGTTTTCTATGTTTTTAGAAAAAGATTTATGCAGTTATTATGTCACCACACCACCAAAAAGTGGCAACATATTGTTATGGTCTCCGTTTTTTTTTTTTTAATGACAGCGGTTGGCGATCAGTGGTTGGTGGTTGGTGTCTGTCGCAAATTCTTACAACTTCCAATAACTCCACAAATACTGTTTAGACTGACTTTAAAATTTTTCAAAATCATCTACAAGTTCTCAGAAGTTCCAATCTGACTATAGATATGAGATTTGACCTTCAATGACCTTCTCAATGTCAAAAAGTTATTTTTTCAACTTGCTCCAAATTCATCAATTTTTTTTAAATAAGTTCTCAAAATCCCAAATCTGACTTTAGCTTTGGGATTCTCAAGGTCTAAAAAGGTCAAAAAGGTATTTTTCAACTTGCTCCAAATTCACCAAATATTTTTAATCATCTACAAGTTCTCGGAAGCTCAAATCTGACTTTAGCTTTGAGATTTGACCTTCAATGACCTTCTCAAGGTCAAAAGGTCTTTTTCAACTTGCTTCAAATTGACCAAATTTTTTGGCAAAATCATCTACAAGTTCTGCCTTCAATGACCTTCTCAAGGTCAAAAAATTAGGTCAAAAAGGTATTTTATCAACTCGCTTCAAATTGACTTTTTTTAAATTAAACATTTACGAAAAGTCTTTTTTCAACTTGGCTCAAATTGACCAATTTTTTTTTCAAAAACATCTACAAGTTCTCAGAATTTCAAATCTGATTTTAGATTGAACTAATAATATTGTGATCAAGTATGTGGTGACATTTTGTCATGTTAATGCCCTGTAATATTGTTAATGTGCAGGGTGTTTCATATTCATGCATCCCCCTCTGCATAAACTCATACATGTAGCATTGCCATCCTATCATGTTATTTATCATTCTGTTCCTTACATAATATTGCAAAGTCAATCAAGGGACGGTCCTGAAAAAAGATACAATGTATGGGGGTATGGGGTCATTTAGAGAGCAATTTCTGGTCATTTTTGGACTCAGTCTGGTGATCTGTTCCATAGGCCAATAGTTTACATGGGTCAATTTCAAATTTTTGGGTATAATATTCAGTGAGATTCTGGAACTGATAAGGTTTTGGGCATTCTGGGGAAATGTTAGGTGGCCATTTTGGATTTTCCATCCTAAAATCTTGTCTGTAAAGTCTTGTCTGTCTACATGTTTTGAAGCAAATGGATTTACGGATGATTTTCACATTTTCACGGATGATTCTTGGTATAAAATCTAGAACTGATAATACATTCTTGGTAAATGTTTAGGTGGCCATTTTGGATTTTCTATCCTAAAATCTTGTCTGTAAAGTCTTGTCTACGCATTTCCAGGCCAACTGTTTGACGGATCGATTTCAAATTTTCGGGAATGATTTTTGTATGAAAATTTCAAACTGACTGCCTTTTGGGATTTTTGGTAAAGGGTAAGGTGGCCATTTTGATTTTTTTTCTGAAACGTTTTCTTCAACTAATTATTATTTGGCATTCAGGATGAAATTAATATATAGGATTGCCCATTGGTGGGGACATATTGTACACTTTTATGTTCTTGTTTTAGGATGTTGACACTACAAACTCATATGCCAAGGTCATCAAACTGTTACGTAAATGGGCAAAATCCAACTACATCTTTGTAGAGTTGCTATTGCATTATCTTATTGCAACCAGCAAATTGACACATGTTCGAGAAAATGAGAAATCTGAGTGTCTACTTTTCCAGGCTAGATTGTCCAAAGTTCAGGTATGTATTACATTTACTAAGGGTTAAGCTATTTTGATCACCCCCCATCTTTCCGTTCAGTCGTCTGTCCATCTGTCCATCCATCTGCTGGTATATCAGTCTGTCTGGTCCATGTTTGATTGAATTTATTTTTTCATATTGAATTTGGTATTATGTGAGGGGCTGGGGACTTTTGGTGAGGATTTTTAGAAGAGTTTTTAAAATTCTTTGAACTACATTTATTCATTCATTTGTTATTTTCAGGGCAACTCCCAGAAAGCCATACAGTTATGTGATAAAGGTATGTACTTGGATTTAATTGATTAAAATCGCTAAAGGTCTATGCTTTGTATATTTGAATGCATTAACAGGAATAAAGAAAAAAAAATGTTAAAGGTGGAATGCATAAAAAATGGAGTCCCTTATCTAGAGCCACAATGTAAACAAACTATATCTAACATTTCAAACTCTGAACAGAGCCATGCAGATTTTATTAAACTGACAAAATCAGGGTGAATCTTTTTCAAATATCAAGTAGAAATATAAGCCAAAAAATTAAATGGTTATCTTGGTAGATTATTAGGTTACCATTGCAGTAATTGTCTTACATGTACCTATATATGTTTTATTTAAATTGTAGCCAAAGCATTGGCTAAATCAGAGCCTGTTGAGAGAGAATTAGCCAGAGTTGCCATTAATGCTTGTTTCAAAGAAGGTGAACTCTTCACTGCACTATCTTACCTCCAAAAATTTAAGGTTAGCTCTTTGTGTACCTGTTTTTATGCCACCAATTTTTTATGTTAACTACATGTATTTGAAAATTTTCTAGTCTGGCATTTTGAATTTTGTTTATTTTGAAGCTAAAATTTTTATGTCACCACCACAAGAAGTGATGTGTTGTTAGTCCACCCGCTATGGCTCAGTGGCAGAGAGAGTCAAGGTTACCAATTTCGCTTGGCCCCGGATTCGATTCCTGGTTCAGACAAGTTTGTTTGTGCGTTATGTAATTCTGGGTGTTTGACTGAGTGGTTCACGACTCGTATAAAAGGCTGTGGTGTGTACCTGTATGTCTGTGTACCTGTGCACATAAAAGAACACAGGGCTCCTCCAAGGAGGGGTCTCTGGCTCTATCTTCGAGTGTAAAATACGTAAAGTACGGAATATACCAATGAGGTATTGCTTGCCAAATATGGCGGTAACCAAGATATAATAATAATAATATGGCATCCAACATTTTCATGGATGATGTTCAACAGTTGATGTTTTGTCTCTGTAACAAATGACAGGTGGTGATATTTTGCCTTGTTTATGTATGATTTAAGTCCAAAAACTATGTATTTTTATGTCACCACAAGAAGGTGGTATTTTATCATGTAAATCCCATATCTGTGAAATATTTAATAAGATCCAAAATCTGATAAATCTTAGTTCAGCCACCTTGACATACATATGTCATTTCTTGTCATCATGAGTGACATATTTTGATGCTAATGTTTCTAGGCCATCCTTCAATCCATGTTATATAACACTAAACTCATTTTTCAGGAGGATGATAAATTTGCTGTTTTAAGTGGAGAATGCAAAGCCAAGGTGAAGGAAAAGGTTAAAGACCTTATTGGCAAAAATCAGATCAGCAGTGCTGAGTCGTATTTGAAACATTATGAGGTAAGCCAACTCAAAATCTTGAATTATTTTGTGGAAAATAGTTGCCAACTTTGAGATTTGAATTTGGTGAAGGATCAAAATTGATTCAATTTCACATTGACACTTATGACCTGTCTCAGTTAATTTCTGAGTTTTTTATTTTATGAATTTTTTATTTTTAATTTTCATCCCAATGGGATTACTTCATTTGAAATACATAATGAGATAATTCACAATCATAATACCAATTTGTGTCTTAGTCCGGGCCCTCGGGAATATCATATTGTTACAAGGAATACATGTACTATCTTGCAATCCATCAAATTCCTATTTCATATGAATCAAACTTAATGTTAAGAGATTAATTTCTGGGGAATCTACGAGGGTTGTCCCAGTAGTAATGCACTTTATAACATACCTATGATGATGTATAGTGCAAAGTGTACACAAGACAGCGGGCCAATATAAGTTTTGAAAAGCCCGCGCCCGCTAACTTTCTGATTGGTCAAGGCGCTGACGTCATAACCTATCAATCGAAGATAAAACTGCACGAGCAATTTTTATAAACTCATTTCAATCATTTTCAAACCATTTGTTTGTCAATTCTATAAGAAAACGGTACTCTCTGACCAGTCTACATCATCATAGGTATGTTATAAATCGTTTATGTCACTATCGTGGCACATATGCCCTCGGTTCTCAGAGATCAATGTCCCTCCCAAGGTCGGGCCATATATCACTGAGACCTCGGGCATATATGCCACGATAGTGACATAACCTCTAAATATGCTCTAACTTTCTTTAATATACTTCAATTCAGCTGAAATTTTGTGTATATAACAATTGAAGTTTTATCTATAATATCCTGAAGTTTCAGCATCCAACATTAATATTAAGTCTTAATATGGTTGCTATAGCAACATGGGGGTAGGGGTGGGCGGGGCAGGTACCAATTTTTCTAATTATGAAAAGATCCAAAGTGTTATTTTATTAATATTTCTTTATTCTAAATGATCAAAATGTTTGGGAAATTGTTAAAATTCAGCATGATGTTAACCAAGTACAAATAATGACATTTAGCACTGTGATGTCATAATACCACAGTTCAATGGTCACAAATTCAAAGACAGTCATGGTCAAGAAAATACAAAAATGGCTGCAATTCTCACCTGATAACAGAAGTCCTTGTGTTTAGTGGCCTAATTTCATACTTCACTTGGACTCAAAGCCACGTAAAATTTGTGCTACCATGAAAAGATTATATAAGGAGTATATACCAGATAGAACTACAATTATGAGGTGGCAGAAGAGATTTAAAAGAGATTACTGGACCCTGGATGACAACTCCAAACATGGGAGGCAAAAACTCCACAAGTCACAGTGGAAGAAATTGCCAAGAGTGTTTGACCTGACAGGCATCAAAAGTACATAACATGCAAAAGGCGATATTTCGAGAAAATGTGAAATGGAACACTGTGCAATATACATCACTTAAATCTAAGATGTGCTCATAGTAATTTAGTATCTTATAATGTATATTTGAGCCAACTTCTTATACCTACACAAAATGGTATTTGTTGAGTAATTATTTCATATTTTCAATTTTTTATTCCTTTTGACGTGACTGTATAACCTGCCCCACCCTACCGAAACACACCAACTTGATTTTATTATAACATCAATATAGTTTTATCAGTCAACATGAAAATTTGTAGAATAATCAAAATGTCTCTAAGGAACATTTACTGAAAATTTCATGGAAAAATATTAATTATTGATAAAGTTAGAGCATATAGTGCATTACTTCTGGGACAACCCTCGTATATGATACAGTTTCACCATAATTTTTGTTCTGTGTGGACAATATAACTGAAACGCTTGTAGAATGATTTTGTTTGTTTTTAGTGTGTTAAATTTTGAATAAATTAATTTTGTACCATGTACATTTACTTCTATTTATCAGCACTTTTTTCAAAATAGAACTGTAAAATTGCTGTACTTGACCATATAGTGTTTTTTGAATGGGAGAGTGCATATTGTAGTTGCAAACATACATGTACATTGACTCTAAAGACTCCAAGAGAAATCAACAACTTGGGCATGAACTTTGAATTTTGTAATAATAATGAAATTCCTATACTTCCTGACATATATATTTATTGAATCAGTATGGTTTACTTCAAAACATGTCCATGTACAATGTTCTCTATGTATTAAACAGGAGGATGGGGAATTTGCTCCATTACATGAAAAGTTAAGAAAAAAGCGCCAAGAATGGGATGATTTACTTCAAGAACGCAAAGAAGAAGTTGATGTTGACTGGCTTCCCCCAGAGATGCTGAACAGCAAAAAGGTAGGAGCAATGAATTCCCCTGAATGTTAATTTTCATTTTATATTGTAATACTTGTACATGTGCTAATAAAGCATGAATTCTAGATCTTCAATATTATGAAAACAGGTGTATTTCATGTGTATGAGGGTTGTTCCAGAAGTAATGCACTATATACTCTCACTTTCTTTAATATTCTTCAATTCAGCTGAAATTTTGTGTTGAAATTGAAGTCAGTTACTCAGATGCTTATTCAATTATGAGTTGTGATGTCCAGTTATAGTCCATAGGTTGTTGTAAACATTCCTGTATTTGTTAGTTTATTTGTCCTGAGTGTACTCAAACCTTTTGTTTTATATGCTTCCATTAGATGACATGCTTCCTTTAGGTGACATGCTTTATTTAGGTGACATGCTTTATTTAGGTGACATGCTTCCTTTAGATGACATGTTTTATTTAGGTGGCTTGCTTTTTTTTCGTGAACCATTTACAGTGTACATGTACATGTACATGCATTTTTGATTTTTCACATTTCACAGAACCAAAACCAATGGAAGACAATATCAAAGAAAACAAAGAAGAATACAAAACCAGTCACAAATCATGTAAGAGAAGCCGACAATATTACTATGAAGGATGAGGCTTGTTCTCAGCCAGTTAAACAACATTTGCAATACACAACAATCGACAGTGATAAGACCCAGGCTGACTTAATAAAAACATGTGTAAGGACAATTTATTATCTACCCGATCTTTCATCATTTAATAGGGAATTATATTAAAATTGGTCTTTTATCATTAATTAAGCCAGGGATTACACTAGAATTTCCCAAAACAGGCTTTAAATGAAAACAACAGGCAAAAAAATTAATGAAAATCATAAATTTAACATGGAAAAGTTGAAAAATCTCTAAAAAACAATATAGTGGGGGGAATTTACCCCTATATTAGGCAGAATATTTCAGATGGTGATACAAGTATAAGCTTTGGCTTTTCTGCTTCTTAAAACCTTTTTCAAAAAATCTGTCCCTGTGATCGACGGAATATTTCACTTCTTCCCCCCAAAATCCTAGATGGCCGACAAAGTATGACTTAAATAACATGTAGGGTGGGCAAATTTTTTTTTTTTGGAAAATTCATGCTCTCATGGTGAAATGTTGTTCTTTAAGGTGAAAATAGTCATGTGAATTTTTTTCAAATTTTTAAACTGAATTTTAGCCCTCTCCCATGGCTCCAAAGTGTGACGATTTGGCGTAAAATGGGAAATAATGTTCATTTTCTAGGTTCAAATAAAGAATGCAATGACAAATAACATTAATTATTATTTAAAAAACATCTAATAACTTTGCCTGATACTACAATATGAAGGTTTCAATTATTGAAAAATTGAAAGTATTTTTTAAAAAGCGTTGAAAGTGCCCTACCCCATAAAATTGGAAAAAGGAAGTTGTGGTCAATTTTATCATTCTGTAGGATTAAGTTAGAAAAGTGTATCAACAGAAAACAAATAAGTACATTCAGACCATCTTCAAAGATAACTGGATATTATAATATGATTATTATTACTATATAGGACACAACATATTTTATATATGTGTATGATTATATGTTTATGTAGTACATGTATCACTATGTAATGTAATGTAATCATAAAATAGAGAGGTTGCTATGATTTCATCAGAGTATGATTAGACATGTTTATCTCTATGTTTAGAGCTGTAGTATACAACATACGCACAAACACATAATACTGTTATGAACTCAAGTCAGAATAAATAATTACCGGTAGGAGTTAAGCAAGGTTCATTCCTGACACCCTTCTTATTTTGTATACTCACAAATTGGTACAATGGATACTCTATTTAATTTAATGAATTTAATATCATCGGTACTACTGTTCTATAATTAGGAATATGCATTCACTAATTTACAACAAAATCAGTTTTTAAAAGTCATTATTACATAGGAGCCGTTTAAGGTTCACTTTTGACACCCTTCTTATTCTTTACACTTACAAATGCACTAATTTACAACAAAATCAATTTGTGTAAATTGCCAAAACAACTGAAGTTGCCAAAACAACTGAACATTGAGTACTGAGTGAGTTTTGCAGATTTATCAATGTATTTACCATGTTTTACAACTACAACACCATTACTTTGACACCAGCAAGAAAATAATTGCAGAATTTTGACGTGAGTTTAAACAATGGAGTATCATTGCTTGTGGCACTATTGTCCTTCAGGTTTTGTTGTGATTAGCAGCTTTAGTCTTTTTTGTCAGTTTAATTTCCATTTTTTCTGCTTCTACCCCTAAAGCTGCATACAAACTCAGAGAGGTTGGAAACAGGTTGATCAAACCTCACTCAGTTATTCAGCCAGCTCTGCACAATGCAGCCATAGTCACCATTTTTCTGTTTGGCCTATTTCTAAGAGAGCCTTGTTCCACTCTGTTGCTGTAACTCTAGCAGAATTTAACAGCCAGGAAAGGGACTATCATATTGTTCTGATGTGATGACAATCAAGTCATTTGGGCAATACATGAGTCTCATTGTAATAGTCATTACAATTAGTCACCTTCCAATCTGTTGCCTGAATCACATATGTTGCTTTGGGACTCTTTAGGCAGTTTGAAGTACTTTTGACAATTGGGTCAATATGTTGGATGTTCTATTAGGCCGTCCTGGCTTGCCTAGCTGGTTGGGTAAGTTTTGTGTCATTTAATGTTCTATAAGGAAATGACAGGGAGCTTCCAGGAGACTGCAACATTTGATATGATTCCCAGGTTACTAGGTTTTTTAGTTCAGTGAAGATACAGAGAATGGCTATTTCAGTGTCATATGCTAGAGTGACCCCATCAATCCATGAAAATACTAGTATGTTTGATGTGGGTTACCATTTCTCATTTTAAATTCATTGTACTCCTTGTGGCTCCTTTCAGAAGGATGTTCATAGCTGCCATGGATAATAATATGCAGCCTGCCATGATTCCCTTCTCTAAAGGCTGCCAACCAGTGGTGATTGTTTCAGTCAAGAATCTCAACTGAATACCTTCAAGGTGCTCTTTCTCAAGGCCAATCACATGTTGAGGAACGTTATAATGCTTCAAAGCTGTTGAGTTCATTTGTGTGGTCCACTGCTGCCTTAGTTATATCAAGCCATATAATTGGCAAGTTGGTTTTGTGTTGATTTGTTTCTGCTATTAGCTGTGTTATAGCTGCAACATCACATGGCCTTTACTGTTGACCTCACTGTAGACAACTCGACACGGGGCTCTAAACCCAGTAAGTCTCTAGACATGTTTAGTTTGCTTTTGTAAAAAATCTGTACTTAAATGTACAGTATTGTGCAACTCCACATGTAATTCTGTATAATTGATAAGTTCTTGTCTACCTGCCCTTATTTCATCATACTATTAAGAGATTGTGATAATAATGGACTAAGGTAGAACCTTGGAAGACTACTTCAATGTTTGCATTGATACTTGGTTGACAATATTCTCATTTAAACTTGAAATATATTCTTGAATTATGTCTTAGATATTAAACGTATTAGAGAATGTTATAAAGTAATTCAAGTTCTAACAGAGAGGGCCAAAATAGAACCTTGAAGAACTCCTATAAAACTCTTTTTGCCAAAATTCAAATCAAAGAGGATCATAGCATTTCTTAATATAATTGCATGTCTTAGTACTGAGTGAACCTATTGTTTAACCATATTATCTCTATGTATGAATCTAAGGTGTCATTTTTACCGAATTATGTACATATTTCAACAACCTTAAACTTTTTACTAAAATAGTATTAGGTTTGGCTGATTTGAGGGATGGGATTTTTCTTATTTGCATAAATAACTGACTAGCCCATAAATTTGCATGTATCGCAATTTTGAATATTTTCCACCGAATTCCAAGAGATTGTGATAATAATGGAGTGTAGAAGAACCTTGCGGGACTCCTTCAAAGTCTCCTTGGTACTTGTAAGACAGTGTTTTCATGTAAACTTGAAATATTAGATTGAATTATGTGTGAAATATCAACATTATTCAAGAAAACAGGTTTAATGACTAAAGTTGTTGCAAAATAAGAGTGCTCCCAAAATAGAGCCTTGTAGAATCCCTATATAAAGGCATTTTGCCCAAATTCAGCTCATTAATGAATGTAACTGTATTTCTAGATATAATGTACATGCTTTACTACTGAATCAAAATAATTTTAAACAATATTTATCTCTATATATGAATCTAGAGTGTCATTTGTATCGAATTACACATATACGGCAGCCATCTTGAATTTTTTCCTGAAATAGTGTTCAGTTTGATCGATCACAGGGACAGAATTTTTCCAAAAAGTTTAAACAACAGATTAAGCCAATAAATTTGCTTGTATCACCATTTGAAATATTTTCCACTAAATTCCCCCCACTAATAGGCAATTTTTTGAAAACAACCAGTGAAAATTGCCTGCTGCTAATGAAACCCCTGAAAGCATTGAATTTGATTCCTTTTTATGTCCCATTTTATCACACCACTGGTGGGATATAGTTGTCATAGTTGTCGTGATTGTGGTCATGATCATGATTGCCATGCTTTTTTGTCATCGCCATTTCAGGAAAACCACTCATCAGATTTTCTCCAAATACACACACATGATAAAGGATACCAAATTCTAGAGCTGATTAACTTTTGGGTGACAATCCTGTTTTCTGGTGGTAATTTTTAAGGTTTTTCGGAAAATCTTGATATCGCCATGTCAGGAAAACCACTCATTAGATTTTCTCCAAATTCACTCAGTAATGATAATGGATATCAAGATCTAGAGCTGATTATTAACTTTTGGGTGGCCATCTTGCTTTCTGGTGGCCATTTTTAAGGTTTTTGGAAAATTTTGTCATCGCCATTTCAGAAAAAACACTTATCCGATTCTTTCCAAATTCGCACACGTAATAGAGGATATCAAGTTCTAGAGCTGATCAACTTTTGGGTGGCCATCTTGTTTTCTGGTGGCCATTTTGAAGATTTTTCAGAAATTCTTGTCTTCGCCATTTCAGGAAAACCGCTTGTCGGATTGTCTCCAAATTCACACACATGATAGAGATTATCAAGTTCTAGAGCTGATTAGCTTTTGAGTGGCCATTTTGTTTTCTGATGGCCATCTTGAAGGTTTTCCGATAAATCTTGTAATCGCCATTTCAGGAAAACCGCTTGTCTGATTGTCTTCAAATTTGCACACATGATAAAGGCTATCAAGTTCTTGAGCTGATTAACTTCTGGGCAGCCACTTTTTTTCTGGCGGCCATTTTTAAAGATTTTTGATGGTGTGATCTCTTTCACGTCATGTGCCTTGTTTGTTGTTGGTGTTCAGTGGTGGGCATTTGGCAGTCAGTGGTTGGTGTCTGTAACAAATGGCAGGTGATGACATTTTGCATGGTAGTGCCTTGTTAATTTTTGTAGCAAGAAAAGGTAGTAGCTTTGTAATGAGTTTACAATTTTTTTTTCATTTAGACTGATGGTGTCAATTTTGGAATTGAAAATGTGGACACAACTTGTTTTCCTGGTACTTCAAATTTTATGGGCATGCATTCAGAAAAGTTGAGAGGTAATGGAGACAGCAATGTAGACACAGAATCAAGTGTAGAAGATTCCACAATTGATGATTCTAACCTTGGGCCATTCACTGTTGTAAAAGGTAAGAAAAGTGGGAAGGCCAGAATTCAGAATGACACCAAAAGACAATCAGTAAAAGGAAAAGCTCCAGGGTTACCAATGTCTCAAAAACCAAAACCTAAGCCACCTGTGAAAGTCACCTACAAAAAGGGACACAAAGAAAGAACAGAATGGAGTAACTTTTGTATACCTTGTAAGAAGAAATTCAATGCAAAACAACAGTATGAAGAGCATATCCAATCCCAGAAACATCAACGTAATGATGCCTTTTTTACATCAAAGGACACTGCTGGGAAAGCGACACTCACCCAAAATAACAAGTTACAACCACAAATAGAACCAACTGTCATTCCAGGCCCTCATGATGTGAAAGAAGGAAACATCTTGAAAACAAATGATACAATTTCTGACACCAAGGCAAGCTCTTCAAGACCAGAAGAACTGTCTGAGGAAAGGTTAAATGGATCCAAAGATACAATGCTGCTTGACCAAAAAGATATGCTGCAAACGCCGACTATTATCAATCAAGAAGAAAGAAAAATGAATGATGCAAAAGTAGATAAAAAAGTTGTTGAAACTAATGCAATCAATTCAAATGTAATAATGCCATCTGGTGAGGAGGAAGAGGTAGAACTTGAAGGTCCATTCAAGCAGCAAAATGGTGAAACTGAAACTAGTTGCGGTGATATTGTCACAAAGATAGAAATGGAAAGAAACAGTGGACTAAGCTTTGTTTTTGATGATGATAAATCTGATGGTCTTTCAAGATGTAGCAGTAGGGCTTCAGGTATGAAGAAGATAAATAAATCATATATTTATCATATTTTTCTTTTGTTTTGAAATAGATCTTACATCATATGTCCTGAAACATAATATATTAAGTGGTAGCAAAGAATAGAAAGCAAAATGAAGCAATGGGAGTAATAATTTCAATAATCATGTTGATATGTTCATTTGACTCCTGAAATTAGGCCTGAAATTAGGCACTTCATGCACCCTAGTCCTACACCCATTCTTACTTCATCATACCCCGTTCATTATGTGTGCAAAAAGGAAAGGACGTGATGTACCATACCTGCGTTAAATGTTTATGTAAAAGTATCGAGTGCTAATATCTATAAATATGTTTTAGTGTTACAAGAAGACCCAGCTATAATGCAAATAAAAGACACTGTCCCTGCTACAATGTCTTTGCAGCAACCAACAGCTATCAAAGAACTACAAAGAAAACCTGTTTCAAATGAAGGTAAAAAAAACAAAAAACAACATGTTATTAGGACATCCTTGTCCAAGTGTCTGCTAACTATGGTAGCACATTTCAATATTTCGACTCAAATAAGATTTCTGAAATTTCCCAAATAGTATTTTGTCCTCAAGTTAGTAAATGGCTGTCATTTGTATTGTCAAAGTCACCTTGCATTATAAAATGCTCTTCTCTTTTGAGAGGAATACTGGTATTGTTTTGGCAGATTGTTGCAAATTTCAAAATAGGTGCAATCTATATTGTTGTAAACCAGAGTATGTGTACAAACATACACAAACTTACATTACTGAAATTCTCTTTTAGTGGTTCAAGATAACTCATCCATACATCCTGAGGCGCAAACACAAGACAGGGTTTCAACAACAACTGCTTGGCACAAACCAATTGCCATCAAAAACATACAGATGAAACATGTTTCAAACAAAAGTAAAGCTTCTTCATTTATGTAGTTATAGATATTTTGGAGAACATTCAAGAATGACTTGGTTACGAACCATTCAGTACCCGATAAACAGTCTCTTAAATCAAGTCTTATGTCTCTGTTTAGTTCAAAAAACCTTAACATCTGTTTCACAGTAAGTGAAAAAGTTGTAAAAGTTGTACAAGGTCAGTGATGTAATGGTGAAAATGAAGTTTTGATAAATATGATCTCCATGGAATCTGAACTTGAAAGTCTTGATATTGTTTCTCAGACATCAATCTTACACAATTAATCATTACAGGAAAAACTGGTATTCTTCAACTTTTGCGATGTACTTTTAGGAATACCAGTTAACCAGTCATCGAGAAAAAGGCACATCCCTAACCATTGTGATATCTGTCATAAAATATGCAATTCAGAGGTGCAATTTGGATACCATAAAGGATCTAAGAAGCACCAGAGGAAAATGATAAAGAAACGAAATGAAAGAAAATGGAACTTTAGAACTTTACCAAAAGATTGCACATTTGAACTCTGTGACAAACATGACAAAGGGAATAAATGCGAATACTCATTCGTTGAAATGAAGTTCAATAAATGTGATAAAGCACATGGGCAGGATGAACTTGATGAGTGGCATGAGCAGGATGACCATAATAAAATGTTTGACAGAAAATACCACAACCTGATGTCATACATACAAGACATGCAAAATGGGAAATCAGATCAAACCATATCTGTAAGTTTGGGAGTCATTTTGGAATCGTGAGATAAGCAAATAAACATATTTTCTTAGTAGACGAATCTATAATAACAAAAATGTTGCTCACTCCTTTTTTATTATTTATTCAGTTTTATTCATATAAAGTAATTATTTCAAAATACAAATACAAATAGCAGCTCACTCTGATGCTGTCTATGTACTTTTCTATACCATATTCTCTATACTACTCGATACTGCCCTCAATAAAAGATAGATATCCAAATCTGATTTTTAGCTTGAGCTTGTGTTTATTCATTTATCTGAATTAGTATTAAATATTGCAAATAATTACATGGGTTGAACTCTTTTTTTTCTCTGCTATGCATGGCCATATGTATTGTTTACATTTTAAAGAACTACCCTCACATTGTGTATTCAATTTTAGTTACAAAACAAGGTAGAGGGTGTCCAGTACATGATCAACAATAACACGGTTAAAACTGATGGTATCCAACATATTGTTCCAAAACAAGAGAAAGTAACAACTGAACAATGGGAGCTGACAATTGAGACTGATGTAAGTAAATGCATAAATACGTATTGTATCACCCTAACATGAAATCTTGGAAATTATGTGTATAAATTAAGAGAAGAAACAAAGTGCTTTGCATCTCTATAGAAACAAAATGAATTATATCTTAATTTCAGAGACCAATCGAGAAAATTTGTCTCATACAAGACAGCCAGCGCTCAAACTTTGAAATGGAAGTACCTGAGGAATACACTGGAGAAGGATATGAAGAAAAACAATTTGCTCTTATTACATACCCAACAGACCAAAATGAGGATTTTGATTTGAGCTTCAGCCTAAAATTCAAGTCACATTGCTTCGGAAAATTTGAACAAGACATTGTTCTTGATTTTGGCGAACGCACAAAATTGATAATACCTATCAAGCTAGAGATTGTCTCTGCTGACACAAAATCAGCTGAGATTAACAAAAAATTGTCTGAATTAATTGAATCAGTTGAGGAACAAGCACAATGGAAGTACCTCATACCATTTGGAGAAGAAAGAAACAGTACTCTTAAAGAATTAGTCGAAGATATTACATTTCAAGATCCGAAGCAAACAGAAGAGAAACTATCCGCTGACACTTACGAGCCAATTACGGTAAATCTGATACACATGGAATGGAAAGCCTACAAGACAGCAATAAAAAGGTGATTAAAATTCATCACAATATGCTATACATGTATATTGTAATTAGTAGTAGACTAGTTGAGATTTATGGTAAAGTAAAATATTTAAAATCAGAATTTATTTTGTGCTATCTTTTCAGATACAACATCTCAAGTGTTGCAAGAATGAAAACATACAAAAATGGGTTAATTGCAAAAGTACCACTAACCAGTGATATAATGAAAGGCCAGCATTTACTTGAGACTGTTGAGTATGTGGCAATTTCTAAAAAGAATGAAACCCAACTGTATGAAGCTTGTATTCTGAAGGATGTCAGTGGTGAGCAGATAAATGGCAGAAGTTCCCTTTGCATCGTTCTGTCAAACAGGTGCTGTGAAGACTGGATACTAAAGGAAGGGGATGATGTTGATCTTACAATTCAGTTTATACCAGATGAGTTGAGGTTCAAACTGATGAAGTATGCTGTAAGGCAGATTTCATCCTCCAATCAAAAATCTAGACTTATTTACCCATGTACCAATGACATACCGAGGGACTTGGAAAAGGAAAGCATTCAAGATAGGGAAAAACTTACAGGGTAATATTCTATAATCTAAAATTTCACATACATGTACATTCTAACATGTTATTTTAGAATGTGTTTTATATCATAACTTAGAGGAGAATATATTTCATCCAAAACAAAATGTTCAATTAAATGCTTTTTTAAACCTAGAGGTTACCATGAATGATATAAACTTCAATCATAATAGAGTAAGCGATTAAACTATGTATTGATATTTACAAATTGTATTTCAGTCTAACAGAACAGCAAAAGGACGTTGCAATGTGCATATTAAAACAAAATGCTGCTCCACCCGTAGTTATATATGGTGCATTTGGAACAGGGAAGACTCAAACATTAGCACACTCTGCAGTCATAACAGCTATTGCTAATAAGAAAAAAGGCAACAAGAAAGCAGTTCTGATATGTACAAATGATAAAAGGTGCGGTATAATTTTAGGGGTATATCATTTAACAAGAAGATTCTAGAAATTAATAAACAGCTCATGAATAAATCTTGCATTATTTGAGGTAACCAAAAGCTTTGAACGCCAAGTGAAATTTCCTGTTTAAGAACCCCTATTCTAACTAATTGGATTGATTTTAGATGTGCCTAGTAACATATTTCTGTCAATTGAGTCTAAACCAACCAATATTCTGAGAAAATGAAGATTTTAGAAAGGGTGTATTTTAAGTTATATTTTTAAAATGCAATTTTTATCCCATAGACTAAAATATTGCATATTAAATTCAAAACCTCTTCTGTTGTAGGCTATCATTAATTTAATATTTACCTTGTCTGTATCTCCATTGACTTAACATTGGGATATGATGATATTCCCATGTTATCATCATGCAGATTTCATGAAATCCTCATTATCCCAGAAAAACACTGGTTGATTGAGTCTCAACCAGTAAATGTATTTTAAATTCTAATTGGTTGGAATAGGGAATAGGTTTTAACCTAGTGGAGCCAATTATTAACATAGGGCTTTAATTGCCTCTATACTGTTATTAAATGTATTTCATAGTTTTATATAAATAGATAAATTCATTGTTTTGTGTCATCGAAAATTTGAATGGCTCACAGAAACTTTCCAACAATACATTTTTGTAAAGATTGCATATTATATGGAGTTATATGGAGTTTAAAAGTGTTCACACATTACTTTTGTAGTTCATCAGATTTGTTTGCTACCCTATTTGATGGATTCAAGGAAAATGGTCTTTACAACTCAATGAAAGGAGTAAAGTATACAAGAAACTCAGTTTCGGACAAAATCAAATGTTCTAACCATGACATCATAATCACCACTCTGAGGGACTCCCTTGGTATGCATGCAAAGGAAACGAAAAGGCCTTATTTCTCCCATATCCTGATTGATGAAGCCACATCATCACTAGAGCCAGAAACAATCATGCCATTAACATTCGCTGATGAAAAAACAGTTGTCGTTTTAGCCGGAGATCATCTACAAGTCACCCCTACTGTTGTAAGCGAGACTGCCAAAGAAGAAAATTTTCAGTTGACTTTATTACAAAGACTCTACAGTCATTACAAAGCGAGAGATGAAACCAACCTCTCTGAATACAGTCACTGCATGAATAAAAACTTTAGAAGTCACCCACAAATTTTAGAGTTTCTCTCCGATTGCTTCTATGGTGGAAAACTGGAATCAGGTATGACAGAAAAGGCTATGATGGAAACCTGGAACTTGAATGTGAAGCCTATGACATTTGTTGACACGCGTGGTGATGTGAAGAACAGTGAAATGTGGTCTTGCTTTAACATGGCTGAAGTGGATACAATTTGCCAAGAGATTAAGAACCTAGTTGATGAAAAATCAATACATCTGGACAAAATAGCAATCATCACATCATCCTATGCACAGGTAATTTATGCCAAGAATTGTAGAATGATATGACTTTGCCTGGGAGAGAATTGGGGGAAGGGGGGGGGGCAGCATGTAAAACATTAAACACATAGTTATTAGACCATAGTTAACCAACCTCAAAAAATATAATGCAGTATCTTTATATTTAAGGTTATGAAATTCAGAGAGAGGCTAGAATACATTGACTCTGCATTCAAAGATATATTTGTGGATCTACCTCAGAACTCCAGAAGTAAGTACCTGTATTACTTTTTGCCTCTTGACTATATATTAGTTTTTCATTATGTCACCAGAAAGGGGTGACATATTGTTATGGTCTCCGTTTTTTTAGACGGAGGTTGGCGATCAGCGTCTGTAACAAATTCTTACAACTTTGAATAACTTAACAAATACTGTTTAGACTGACTTCAATTGTTTTCAAAATCATCTACAAGTTTCCGGAAGTTCAAATCTGACTTTATATTTAGGATTTAACCTTTTCATGACCTTTTTTAACTTACTTCAAATTGAGCAATTTTTTTTTCAAAATTATCTACAAGTTATCAGAAGTTCAAATCTGACTTTAGATTTGAGATTTGACCTTAAGTGACCTTCTCATGGTCAAAAAATGTCAAAATGACTGACTTCAATTGTTTTCAAAATCATCTACAAGTTTCCGGAAGTTCAAATCTGACTTTATATTTAGGATTTAACCTTTTCATGACCTTTTTTAACTTACTTCAAATTGAGCAATTTTTTTTTCAAAATTATCTACAAGTTATCAGAAGTTCAAATCTGACTTTAGATTTGAGATTTGACCTTAAGTGACCTTCTCATGGTCAAAAAATGTCAAAATGGTCTTTTTTAAACTTGCTTCAAATTGACCAATTTCTTTTTTCAAAATCATCTACAAGTTATCAGAAGTTCAAATCTGACTTTAGATTTGAGATTGGACCTTCAATGACCTTACCAAGGTCAAAAAAGGTCTTTTTTCAACTTCCTTCAAATTTACCAATCTTTTTTTCAAAATCATCTACAAGTTTTCAACAGTTCAAATGTGACTATATATTTGACATTCAATGATATTCTCAAGGTCAAAAAAAGATTTGACCTTCAATGACATTCTCAAGGTCAAAAAGGTCTTTTTTCATCTTGCTTCAAATTGACCAACTTTTTTTTCAAAATCATCTTCAAGTTCTCAGAAGTCCAAATCTTACTTTAGATTTGAGATTCCACCTTCAATGACCTTTTCAGTGTCAAGAAAGGTATTTTTACAACTTGCTTCAAATTGCCCAATTCATTTTTTCAAAATCATCTACAAGTTCTAGGAAATTCAAATCTGACTAAGATTGAACTCCTAATATTGTGAGCAACAAGGTGGTGACATTTTGTCATGTTAATGCCTTGTTTTAAAATTGTTATGTATACTTGTTCATGACTTAACATTGGTTGTAATTTTAGGTCGTGAGTACCAGCACATCTTTGTGAGCACAATTGACTCACTCTCAAATACCGCCATATCACCTCTCAGAAAAGATAGGAAATTGTTGAATACCACATTTGGAAGGGCAGAACAGTCTATTTATGTATGTGGGGATGCTGAGGCACTCCAGTCTGCTTCCCCTTGTCAAACAATATGGACAACTTTTATTGAAAGATGTTCAGAAAAGTCTGACAGTGAAGATGATAGAATATCAACAGTAAGTGATGCTCCTTCAAGGGATGATGAAAATGAATGGCTTCAAGTAGATGACATCGTTGAGGATTTAAAGAAAGACAAAGAAAGAGAAAATATTGTCACTGGAAACCTTAAAAACCAATCTGTGGTAGATATTGCAGAAACTGTTGTTAGCTGTGATACTGTCTATGATCGAGAGGATGATTATAAAGAAAAAAGAAACCTTAGAAGTGGTTATGATGCTGAAATTGATAACAGCACTAGATGTGATGAAAGAGAGTATGATTTCCCACAATATTATCCAGAGGAAGTGGAGCTAATGATGAAAGCTACAGAGAGAGGAAGTTCCTTTGAAGAATGTTACATCTCTATTGAAGGTGGTGTGTTTGCCCGTTGTACACCAATAAATCCATACAAGGCAAAATATACCATAGAAATATATGGAAGAAGGAATTGTGGACAGACTCAGACTGGTGATAAAGTATTAGTAGAGATCCTGAATAGAAAGAAGGATGATCTGATAATCAATGATGCAATACCAAGAAGAGGAAGAGTTATCAAAATTCTTAAGCAGTGCCGCAATCTCATTGGATCAAGATTTGTTTGCACCATTCAAAAACAGTCAAGCTATGACAGAGCAGTACATATGAAACCACTGAGTAAATGTCTACCTGGTATCAACATATATGAGCCAAAAGAACAAAAAGGGTTCATAGACAAAAAGATCCATGTTTGTAAGATAGAATCAAGGAGGTTGAAACATCTGAAGAAAATCAAACATGATCCAAATAAGAATAAATTATATGTTGTACAGATCCTGAATTGGAACAATCATTTCCCCTATCCTTTAGGAACAGTTGTTGAAATAAAGAATGGAGGGGATGCATTAGTGAGAGGCACTAACATTTTGAAAATGGAATATATTTCACCACCTTCTCATGAAGAAAGTGGGATCACAAGCTATAAAGAACGGAGCTACAGCAAGCAGCGGAAGAGAAAGAGGAAAGATGGTCTACGTAGAATTTTTACCTTTACAATTGACCCAGCAGATGCAAATGAGAGGGATGATGCCATTAGCATGGAGGATTTAGATGATGGAGGATATAGGATTGGAATCCATATATCAGATGTTTCTGATGTTATACCGATAGGGTCTAGGATTGACAATGCTGCAAAAGAGAAGGGATTTACACATTATGCATATGGCCATGATCAAGTGGTAGAAATGCTACCTCAGTATATCACAGAAGGATGCAGCTTGGAAGAAGGAGAAGATAGAGATGTCGTTTCTCTGCTTTTTGAAGTTGATCAAAATTTCTGTCTTAAAGAGAAAAGTTGTGAATTCAAATGTAGTACAATCAGAGTTGACAAGAAGTTTTCCTATGATGAGGTCGAGCAGATTCTAGATGGAGAAGCTGACAGTGAGCATCAAACGGAACTCAGAGATCTTCATCAGATCACTGTAAAGATGTCTATAGTTAGGACAAAGGGTGTTTCTTACATGGACTACATCAGTATTGACAATAAAAAGGCATGCAAGATGATTGAAGAACTAATGACATATATGAACAATAGAGCTGGAAATGAACTTTTGTTAAAGTACCCAGAAAGTGTCCCACTGAGACATCAGTTTACAGCTGATGAAGAGGATAAAGAAAAGTGGATTGAAGAAAATAGAGGAACAGTCCAATACCTGGCATCTCTGAAACATTGCATTGAATGTGAATGGAATGATGTTCAGTACCTCAGCATAAAATCACTGCATGTGACTGGTATCAGAAATGGTACTCTAAAAGCTGAGAGAGTATTTTCCTCTGAAGAGAGTATACCACAACTTCTTGCTTCAAAAGTGAATTGGTACAAACTTCAAGCTTTTGCTAATTACATATCATCAGGGTGTCTTGAGAAAGATGAAAGAGGTCATTCCTCTCTAAACTATGAATGCTATGTCCAAATGACATCACCCATACGACGGTATTTGGACATTGTATCACAAAGGATGCTCAAAGCAGCTATTGATGGAAGTGATTCTCCATACAGTGTAGAGCAGATGGAAGAACTGTGTGAAGACATCAACCTGAAAAAGACACAGGAAAAGGAGTTTCATCGAAGGAGTGAAGCTTTATTGCGTGGAACATTTTTGAAGCACAACCCTGTCCAAATATTAGCTACTGTCACAGCTGTTACAGACAAATGTATAGAGCTTGGATCCCATGGAGACTGGTTGAAACTTCCTAAATCAAGGACGGTGCAATTCTCACATTTATCTCTGCAGAGTGCACCAATAGCAGATGGAAATAACTTTCCACTTCAGTGGGCAAAACGTGTGTTTGACAAAACAACTGATGAGTTCAAAAAGGATTGGAGTATAAATACAAATAAATATGAATCACAGGAGTTTCAATTAGAAGACACACGTTTTGTGAAAAAGTATAATGCATATCAAAGTTATATCCCTAGAGAGAGTCACTTTATGAAAGTTCTGGAGAATATGGATAATAGAGGTACAGCAGATGACAGAAGACCAAGGAAACCTATTGTCAAACCAGATGTCCTTACAACGGAAGGATATGATTCAAGGTTCCAGTTAAGGGTCAAGAAAGGATCTGTCCTCAAGGTTCAACTGGGGTCAACCATCCATCAGGGAATGGCCATTCCCAACATAGAGCTCATAAACCTGACAGAAACTTACAACTTATGCATTCAGCACAATAAAGATCCCATATCATGCTTCTCAAGAATTGCAGTTGAAAGTACAAAAGAGGAATATAACAATATTGAAGAGTATCAAAATGTTTATAAGCCTCTGCTCTCTATGGAAAGTGTTACATCAACAATCAATGAGGGTGAAAGTGACACAATTAAGAACTGTGCAGTTCAGTGGGTTACTCCTAATACAGGACGTATTGAGTTCCGTAAAGATTTTTGTCTTAAAAGAAATATATTTCTAAATAGTCAAGATCTTACAAAGGAACCACTAGAAGAGATGGATGCTACCCAGTTCTACATATGCCTTGTCAGTCCCCTCCTTAACCAAGATGAATTGATAACAAATGAATTAAAGTCTCTAAATGAAGTTGACACAGTATTGGATCAAACATACAAGGATGTGAAAAAAGAAAGGGATTTTGTAAATAAAGTGGTTAAGCAGAAGAAACCCAAACACTGGATTGGACATGGAGTGGTGACTGGTGTAGAAAAATTGGAAGAAATTTCAGATATGGTGAAGTTCAGAATTCAATCATCAAATTTTTCTCTCCCTGATGAATTACGGGAAAATGAGGAATCTGATGAGGAAGTTGTTGAAGATGATGAGGATGATGTGATAGATATCAACAGCCCAGTTTTCAAGGTAAAGAAATTCAAACCCCCACACCACCCTTACACAGTTGAGATACTGCCAGTTGGCTTCTCCATGAGGTACGTATTTTACGGTTTATCTTATCAAGACAATACATTATATTATTCAAAAAGTAGTTAATGACAAAGAACCCTTAAAGGTTATAACCACTTTAGTGATCTCTGATAATTTTGAACAAAATATGTTGAAATATCTTTAACAGAATGAAATACAGTAGTTAAATATTTTCCAAATTTATCATGGGGCCATGCAAGCCATTCTGATATTGTATTTAACATTTCAGAAAAATGGAATGTGCATTGGGAAACTTAGGGAAGTCTACTCCTCTCATCAAAAAGATAGTCTTAAGAACTGATATCAACTCGAGGATAAAAGGTAAAGCAAATATTAATATCAGTAATCATGTATAGGAACATGCATTAATGATTGTTGTTTTATTATCACCGAGTCTAACGAACTGAATTTTCCTTCTATGTGCTTTTCTTGGAGAAAATACATGATAATAACCAAAATGACATAAATATTTTCATATCATGGTTAACATGACAAAAAGATTTATGCTTTCATATTTTACAGTGGAATCATATGAGGAGATAGAAGATCTTCCTGCTAAGTACATGCAAGGCCATAAAATAAATGATCCACAAAAGGAGGCTATTGAAGCTGCCCTCGAACAGGATTTTTCTTTAATTCAGGGTCCTCCAGGTATGTCAAAAAACATTGAACATTGTATTATTCACACAAGTAAAAACACATTACAGTAAAACCTGTCTTAGTGAACACCTCTCTCTAGTGAACACCTGTCCCTAGTGGACACCCTTCCTACGCTCATAGTCCACTGACTTCTGTATAAATTACCCTCTCTCTAGTGAACACCTACCTACAGTGAACGTTTTTTCTTGGCAAAAAAATGTTCACTATACACAAGTTTTACTGTATATCTTTGATTGGTTCTGTAGAAACTCTGAAGGATCTAGTGTCATGTTCAAATTCAGTGTTGAACTAGTTACATACAGTAATTTTAATTCCATTTTTATGCCACACTGTATCAAAAAGTGGCCTCCATTTCAGTGACTTGTATCTGGTGGATCCTTCTTGGGTGGGCCCCAAACACATTTTGTAGGGGGTCAAAAATGGGCCTTTTGGGCATACCTTTTTTAAGAAAGGGCCTTACATTTTCAGAATTTGCCCCCCCCCCTTGTAAGCTTCTGGATCCGGCAGTGATTGTAGTTGAGCATCTGTTTTTATTGTTTTGCTTTTTATTTGCAATTGCAACTTAATGGGCAGATGCTGTAATGATGATCATAAATAACCACAAAATGTTATATAATATTATGAGAATTAAGCTTGCATCTAAAAACATCACAAAATGGACATAAAAGGTCATTCTTTGTGTCATATCACATAGAAATGAAATAAAGATCTGAGAATATAACAATTTAATTAGTACACACTTTACTGTGAAGACATACATTGCCATGTTATGAGTCTTGAGTATTGAGTATGGTATTGTAATATCTGCTATCATGTAACCGAATGATACCATCTATAGAACTTCTTTAGCAATAACTTAAGAATTAGTGTTCATGTACACATTAACAGTAAAAACTTATACTTGTAGATATATTTTTGAAGTCTATCTCTTCCACCATGGAAGAATTTGTTATGTTTCAATGACTTCAGTCCAGAATAAACTTGAGGACATGGAGCTAGAGGTTGTTGGGAGACTTGAAGCTCTGATACACTATAAATATGTGCAAGCATGTGAAAACTTTCCTATGTTTATGCCTTCTTTATTTATCAGGAACTGGAAAGACTGAAACAGCAGTTAGATTGATTCATGCCTTCGGTGCAAGAAATAGGGCTAGAACAACTGAGAAGATTTCAAAGAAAATGCTTTATTGTGGACCATCCAACAAATCAGTGGATGTGATTGCAGGTATATGTTATGTTATGTTATTTTATTTACCATCTACAAGATGAGTACATATACATAAATATGTTACAAAAATAAAAATACGAAAAATACTACAAGTTATAGGTAAGTTAGATGAGCAAAATTAATATGCTCATATGTCAGAGCATGATATTATTTACAAGGATTTTAGAAGGTAATCCTTTCTTTTGTGCATTTCATATATCGTGTCCAGCAATGGAAGCATTATTTCAGGATCATATTTGCTTCCTCCACCGAAAATGAGACATATGAATTCACAAAAGTTGTTGACTCCTAGTTTATATAATTCACTAAATAGATTGTATCTTATATATATACGCTGGGCACAATAGTAAAAAATGCTGTACGTCTTCAGTGACATTTAAATTGCATAGTAAGCATACTCGTTCAGACATTGGTTGTCCGTAATTACATATCCTGTATGTTCCTGATATCATTTTCATTATAACTTTACATTGTGGTAAGCGTCTTGGAAAACGCCTGGCAACTTCCCACCATAAAAATGGTTTTAAAACAGTGAAACATCTCAATATTGGTCTCAGTGTTGGATATAAGGAGCTAAGAACGAAAAAGCTTCTCATCTCAAACGACTTGACAACGTTCATGACTTTTCTCTTCCAGACACATTTGAGTGGTGTCTTAGCAGTAGTTATCATATTCAAAACGTCTCCATGTAGGTCGTATTTCATTGTTGTTTCCCACATTGAGACCAATGGAGATTTACTTGAGCGATAGGTTCCAATGTGGATTATACTCAACAGTCGATAAATGCATACAATTTTATAAATACATTGTACCGGTAACAATAAGACGAACCAGATGAACATAAGGCGATAAAAATAAAAAATATTAAGTGAATTCAAGTTTTTTCCACACCATAGTTATCATTTTTTATCTAGTTACATGTATTATAAAGTTGCAGCTTAGACAACAGGCTTGTGCTTATTCCATTTGCAGGTAAACTTTCAATCCCTCAGATATTCAATAAATTCTAAAAATATACACTCAATTTTTGCTATTTTGGTGTAAACATAAAAAGGGACAATTATTACCATTTCCAAAAATATGTTTTGCAGACTGCTCTAAATTCACAATTCCCTGAATTGCTATTAGTTTTTAGAAATGTATATATGTCAAGGTTTAGGGACAAAAATTTATGTCATTTTAAAGTAAAGCTTTTTTTCTTTACAATGACGAGTTGAGAAATTTAAAAACATCCCACTTATTGAACTTTTAAACTTTTAAGGCATGTATTTTCAAAAAGCTTTACATTGGCGATATTCCATTATATTCTTGGACTTTGATTATTTTACGATTGAAAGTTGTGAACTTTTATATCAGGCATTTCAAATAGCTTTACATTGGACTTATTCCTTTACATTCTTGGACTTACAATATTTTACGATCTGAAGAGGTGAACTTTTACAGCATGCATTTTCAAAAAGCTTTACATTGGCCATATTCCTTTACATTCTTGGACTTAGAATATTTCACGAAGCAAAGTTGTGAACTTTTTATGCAGGCATTTTCAAAAAGCTTTTCATTGGCGAAATTCCATTACATTCTTGGACTTAGATTATTTTGCGATTGAAAGTTGTGAACTTTTATAGCATGCATTTTCAAAAAGCTTTACAATGGCCATTTTCCTTTACATTCTTGGACTAAGATTATTTTACGATATAGAGAACTGAAATTTATGGCATGCATTTTCAAAAAGCTTTACATTGGCCATTTTCCTTTACATCCTTGGACTTAGAATATTTTGCGAGTGAAAGTTGTTAACTTTTAAAGCATGCATTTTCAAAAACCTTTACATTGGCCATATTCCTTTACATTCTTGGACTTAGATTATTTTATGTATAGAAGTGTAATTTATGGCATGCATTTTCAAAAAGCTTTACACCATGGCCATTTTACTTTACATTCTTGGACCTAGAATATTTTGCGATTGAAAGTTGTGAACTTTTATAGCATGCATTTTCAAAAACCTTTACATTGGCGATATTCCTTTACATTCTTGGACTTAGATTATTTCACTATATATACTTGATAACTTTCAAGGCATGTATTTTCAAAAAGCTTAACATTGGCCATATTCCTTTACATTCTTGGAATTAGAATATTTTACGATCTGAAGAGGTGAACTTTTGCAGCATGCATTTTCAAAAAGCTTTACATTGGCCATATTCCTTTACATTCTTGGACTTAGAATATTTCACGAAGCAAAGTTGTGAACTTTTTATGAAGGCATTTTCAAAAAGCTTTACATTGGCCATATTCCTTTACATCCTTGGACTTAGATTATTTTACGATCTATAGAAGTGAAATTTTATGGCATGCATTTTCAAAAAGCTTTGCATTGGCCATTTTCCTTTACATTCTTGGACTTAGTGAACTTTTATGCAGGCATTTTCAAAAAGCTTTACATTGGCGAAATTCCATTACATTCTTGGACTTAGATTATTTTGCGATTGAAATATTTGATGACTTTCAAGGCATGTATTTTCAAAAAGCTTTACATTGGCGAATTCCATTACATTCTTGAACTTAGATTTCTTTGCGATTGAAAGTTGTGAACTTTTATAGCATGCATTTTCAAAAAGCTTTACAATGGCAATTTTCCTTTACATTCTTGGACTTAAAATATTTTAAGATCTATAAAAGTGAAATTTTATGGCATGCATTTTCAAAAAGCTTTACATTGGCCATTTTCCATTACATTTTTGGACTTAGATTATTTTACGATCTACATGTATAGAAGTGAAATTTTATGGCATGCATTTTCAAAAAGCTTTACATTGGCCATTTTCCTTTACATTCTTGGACTTTGAATATTTCACGAAGCAAAGTTGTGAACTTTTTATGCAGGCATTTTCAAAAAGCTTTACATTTGCGAAATTCCATTACATTCTTGGACCTGAGACTATTAGAGTATTAATTAGTCTCAGCTTGGACTTAGATTATTTTGCGATTGAAAGTTGTGAACTTTTATAGCATGCATTTTCAAAAAGCTATACAATGGCCATTTTCCTTTACATTCTTGGACTTGGATTATTTTACGATCTATAAGTATAAAGTGAAATTTATGGCATGCATTTTCAAAAACCTTTACATTGGCCATTTTCCTTTACATTCTTGGACTTAGATTATTTTACGATGTAAACTTGAAAAATTTTAAGATATGTATTTTCAAAAAGCTTTACATTGGCCATATTCCTTTACATTCTTGGACTTAGATTATTTTACGATATATTATGATAACTCTTATAGGCATGTATTTTCAAAAAGCTTTACATTGGCCATTTTCCTTTACATTCTTGGACTTAAAATATTTCACGAAACAAAGTCATGAACTTTTTATGCAGGCATTTTCAAAAAGCTTTACATTGGCGTAATTCCATTACATTCTTGGACTTAGATTATTTTGCGATTGAAAGTTGTGAACTTTCAAACATGCATTTTCAAAAAGCTTTACATTGGCCACATTCAAATTTACATTCTTGGACTTAGATTATTTTACGATCTATAGAAGTGAAATTTTATGGCATGCATTTTCAAAAAGCTTTACATTGGCCATTTTCCTTTACATTCTTGGACTTAGGATATTTTGCGATTGAAAGTTGTGAACTTTTATAGCATGCATTTTCAAAAACCTTTACATTGGCGATATTCCTTTACATTCTTGGACTTAGATTATTTAACGATATTTACTTGATAACTTTCAAGGCATGTATTTTCAAAAAGCTTTACATTGGCCATATTCCTTTACATTCCTGGACTTAGAATATTTCCCAAAGCAAAGTTGGGAAATTTTTATGCAGGCATTTTCAAAACGTAAAGGCTAGAGTACCGACAATTGTCGGTACTCTAGACTCTGATGTGGTGGCACGCTAGAGGACCGACAAATAAATTGTCGGTACGGGAGATATGCTGTGTTTACACGCTAGAGGACCGACAAATATTGATTTTCGAATTTTCTGGCGCATGTGCAGAATGCGCAATGCGCGGGGGGATATTTCAGATATCATACGGATATTTCGGGAACAAGTGCAAAACCCGGGGAGGGCATTAGCCCCGGTTACCCGGGGATTACCAAACCCAGTCAAAAAATGGTAGCCCGGGAACAGGGAATGGTAGTAAACGTTGAAAACCCAATAAAAAACATGAACAAGTAAGACGTTAGAGAGCTATTAATGCAGAGTAAACGGCTATATATATTCTAAACAGACAGGATATTTCTCCTGAGCCGATCAGGCGTAGAAAGGGGCGTTTGCTACCCATTAGATAGAAGAAAATAGCTAGAATGTTTTTTATTTTAAGCTTATGGTATGAGGTTCCATATCCATCCGCCAAAAGGTATGACCCCTATATAGTCCATTTAAAAACCTGTGGTATCATACTAAATAACCCATAGTTGGCTTCTAGGGTACCTAGTATGCCACTATTTGGTACCAAAATAAAGAGGAGTTCAACTTTCATTTGAATTACGAAAATAGCGATGTAGGTGAAAATAGTTCCGAACGTGAGCATGTTTACTACGCGTTTGCCCGTCATATCAGAATTGAGGAAGTGGTAGCAAACGCAACTTACAATAAACGGACGCTGATATCTCAAAAAGTAACCTGACTCCCTATAATTTGATGTAGGTCAATCGAACCCCTATATGGACAGGTGCATTTTGATATATAACACTATGGGGGGTAAGCGTTTCATAGTTGGTCACGAACGCCATATGTGCAAAGTATTGTTATGAATTTTCGAATTTGGTGTTGGATTACGGTACTCATACCTTATAGCACAATTTTTGATGGAAGTTGCATTTGGCTCCCTTAGTTAATGGCCACGATTCCATCTCGCATGAGAGAGCTACCAAACGCAAAGTAAACAGTGATATATTCCAAATGAGATATTTCTCCTGTGCCATGGCGTAGTAAGGGTAGAGAGCGACGGGGGCGAAAGCATCCCCTCCCCTAACTGTATATATCGACCATTAGATAGAATAAGAAAAGAGCTTCAAAATGTTTTTTAATTGAAGCTTGTAGGACAATTTTGATGGAAGTTGAATCAATTTTTGTCGAAATAAATTATGGCTCACTACAAGTTAATGCCTGTACGATTCCATACTGCAAAAGAAGCACTATGCCCCCCCCCCTTAAATGAAAAAATAGGTCCTGCCCGGATTCGAACTCGGGACCGAGTGTGTTCGAGTCCTGCTCCCTAACCACTAGGCTACCAGTGATGAGGTTATTCCAAAAGTAAAAATAGTGGATTTATTCATATAATTGTCGGCTCTCTAGCAAAAACACGTAGCAGCCACTTGCGTACCGACAATTGTCGGTTCTCTATCTGGCACTACTAGGTGACGATAGAGTGCTGACAATTGTCGGTACCCCAGCAAATACCCCTGGACAGTCTCCAGTACCGACAATTGTCGGTCCTGGAGCCACTCCGTTTTCAAAAAGCTATACATTGGCGAAATTCCATTACATTCTTGGACTTAGATTATTTTGCAATTGAAAGTTGTGAACTTTTATAGCATGCATTTTCAAAAAGCTCTACAATGGCCATTTTCCTTTACATTCTTGGACTTAAATTATTTTACAATCTATAGAAGTGAAATTTTATGGCATGCATTTTCAAAAAAGCTTTACATTGGCCATTTTCCTTTACATTCATTGACTTAGATTATTTTACGATCTACATGTATAGAAGTGAAATTTTATGGCATGCATTTTCAAAAAGCTTTACATTGGCCATATTCCTTTACATTCTTGGACTTAGAATATTTTACGATCTAATGAGGTGAAATTTTATGGCATGCATTTTCAAAAAGCTTTACATTGGCCATTTTCCTTTACATTCTTGGACTTAGAATATTTTACGATATATACTTGATAACTTTTAAGGCATGTATTTTCAAAAAGCTTTACATTGGCCATATTTCTTTACATTCTTGGACTTATAATATTTCACGAAACAAAGTCATGAACTTTTTATGCAGGCATTTTCAAAAAGCTTTACATTGGCCATTTTCCTTTACATTCTTAGACATAGATTATTTTACGATCTAACGAGGTGAAATTTTATGGCATGCATTTTCAAAAAGCTTTACATTGGCCATATTCCTTTACATTCTTGGACTTAGATTATTTCATAGATTATTTTACGATCTAACGAGGTGAAATTTTATGGCATGCATTTTCAAAAAGCTTTACATTGGCCATTTTCCTTTACATTCTTGGACATAGATTATTTTACAATCTACATGTATAGAAGTGAATTGAAAGTTGTGAATTTTTATAGTACACTGTATGCATTTTCAAAAAGCTTTACAATGGCCATTTTCCTTTACATTCTTGGACTCGGATTATTTTACGATGTAAACCTTGACTTGTTCTTCACCTTACATGTACCTACGTGTACTTCTGAGTAATTTGTAATTAACAATCAAATCAACAAATATTCACATATCATATTAGCAGATGTCTGGCGAAATTACATTACAATAAGATATTCTGATCGATAGTATTTGGTTATAAATCCGGAAGTGTTTTCTCTGAGGTCGGCGCGTCAAATTCCATATATGTATTCTACCTTCGATATTAGTATTGGCCGGTACATCCTCCCGATTAATATCTATCATTGGGTGCTTTCAACACCATGTATTTCTAATGTTATCGCAAAATAGTCCATAAAATGAAGGAAATGTTTCAAACTTAGAAATTTGATCGGCATTTTACCAAAAGAGCTTCTGCGCATGAGTTCTGCGCATGTCAAAAGCCCGTCAAACTTTCTCATTTCTTTTAACATTTCTCGCCTTTTACACGACTTTCCCACCTGGAATCATACTCTATAATCAAATTAGAAATATAAGGCATAACTTTAGATCAATTTCCAACCATCTCTTGTGAAAGTATTGAAGATGATCGGGGAAAACAATCCCGTCTATTCGAGGGGCTCTCTTGGGGATTTCTTCGATCACTATCAATACTATTGTCTATGCAAGTTCATTTCTATATTTAGCGATCTTTACTGTATTCTCTCCAATGAGATATGGTTTTTACAATTCTACATGTACTGTACGTCGTGAAAGAACAGAATCCAACAAATACCAAATCTAAAAGTCAAAATAACAGGCTAAAGGAAAGGGGACAGTAAAGCGTCATGTACAGCATTCTATGAGAGTTCACAACTTAAATCGTAAAATGAGCTAAGTCCAGGAATGTAAAGGAATTTGGCCAATGTAAACCTTTTTGAAAATACATATAATAATAGTTTACAACTTTAAATCTTGAAATAATCTAAGTCCAAAAATGTAATGGAATATGGCCAATGTAAAGCTTTTTGAAAATGGATGCCATAAATTTTCACTTCTATAGATCGTAAAATATTCTAAGTCCAAGAATGTAAAGGAAAATGGCCATTGTAAAGCTTTTTGAAAATGCCTGAATTAAAAGTTATCTACTTTACATCGTAAAATAATCTAAGTCCAAGAATGTAATGGAATTTTGCCAATGTAAAGCTTTTTAAAAACGCCTGCATAAAAAGTTCACAACTTTGTTTCGTGAAATATTCTAAGTCCAAGAATGTAAAGGAATATGGCCAATGTAAAGCTTTTTGAAAATACATGCCTTAAAAGTTAGCAAGTATATATATATATAGTATATATCCCTTCTATATATCATAAAATAATGTAAGTCCAAGAATGTAAAGGAAAATGGCCAATGTAAAGCTTTTTGAAAATGCATGCCATAAATTTTACTTCTATAGATCGTAAAATAATCTAAGTCCAAGAATGTAAAGGAAAATGGCCAATGTAAAGCTTTTTGAAAATGCATGCTGTAAAATTTCACTTCTATAGATCGTAAAATAATCTAAGTCCAAGAATGTAAAGGAATATGGCCAATGTAAAGCTTTTTGAAAATGCATGCTATAAAAATTCACAACTTTCAATCACAAAATAATCTAAGTTCATGAATGCAATGGAATTTCGCCAATGTAAAGCTTTTTGAAAATGCCTGCATAAAAAGTTCACAATTTTGCTTCGTGAAATATTCTAAGTCCAAGAATGTAAAGGAATATGGCCAATGTAAAGCTTTTTGAAAATACATGCCTTAAAAGTTATCAAGTATATATCGTAAAATATTCTAAGTCCAAGAATGTAAAGGAAAATGGCCAATGTAAAGCTTTTTGAAAATGCATGCCATAAAATTTCACCTCATTAGATCATAAAATAATCTAAGTCCAAGAATGTAAAGGAATATGGCCAATGTAAAGCTTTTTGAAAATGCATGCTGTAAAATTTCACCTCGTTAGATCGTAAAATATTCTAAGTCCAAGAATGTAAAGGAATATGGCCAATGTAAAGCTTTTTGAAAATGCATGCCATAAAATTCACTTCTATATGATAAAATATTCTAAGTCTAAGAATGTAAGGGAAATGGCCAATGTAAAGCTTTTTGAAAATGCATGCCATAGATTACACTTCTATATATCATAAAATATTCTAAGTCCAAGAATGTAAAGGAATATGGCCAATGTAAAGCTTTTTGAAAATGCCTGCATTAAAAGTTCACAACGTTGCTTCGTGAAATATTCAAAGTCCAAGAATGTAAAGGAAAATGGCCAATGTAAAGCTTTTTGAAAATGCATGCCATAAAATTTCACTTCTATACATGTAGATCGTAAAATAATCTAAGTCCAAAAATGTAATGGAAAATGGCCAATGTAAAGCTTTTTGAAAATGCCTGCATTAAAAGTTCACAACTTTCAATCGTAAAATAATCAAAGTCCAAGAATGTAATGGAATATCGCCAATGTAAAGCTTTTTGAAAATACATGCCTTAAAAGTTCAGTAAGCGGGGTGTTTTTAAATTTCTCAACTCGTCATTGTAAAGAAAAAAAGCTTTACTTAAAAATGACAAATTCTTGTCCCTAAATCTTGACACTGATGTAGAAATGTCTAAGGCCATATTTCTTGAATTACAGCTATTGCAAGGCTTCTGAATTATATCTTGTAGGACTTTTAAAGAAATCATTAATGCCTCGTGGAAGCAAGTCCATTTGTCCAAGGATACTTAGGGTGTATAGTTCCACCATCGTTACAAAGGATTATCCAGTGCCAGGTGTGCCCCAAAGAGGAACAAAAGGTTCAGAAGATTCAAAGGCAGATCCAAATCACAAAGATGTGACTCTACATCACATCTTGCATGGTGAAAAAAGAAGGAATCCCTTCACAGAACGTATTGTTGAAGCATATGCAATGATACGAAGTGATAAATGGGTTGGTAACTATAACGACATTAAGAGATATCAACTACTGTTGAAATGTGGAGAACTGTTTGAACTTCACACATGTGAAGTAATCCTTTGCACATGTGCACACAGTGCTAAGGTTCTGCAAAAACTTAGCATGACCCTCATGGATCTTGAACTATTGATACTAGCCGATAACAAAAACCCAAAAGGTGTTGAATGTGCTAAGACACAAGATAAGACAGAGCAAAGTGGTGAAACAAAAAAGACATCCTGTATTAAGCCAGTCAGTGAAGAAGAAAAGAATAAATTAGCCGAAGTGATGTGCGATACTAAAATTGGCCAGTTAATCATTGATGAGGCAGCTATGTGCACAGAGCCTGAAGCTTTGATTGCAATGGTTGCGACAAAGGCACCCCAGATAGTACTTATAGGGGATCATAAGCAGTTAAGACCAATAGTTACCAACCGCATTGCTGAAAATCTAGGATTTGACAGTACCTTCTTTCAGCGGTACGAAGAAAGTGCAAAAATGTTGCAAATCCAATACAGAATGGTAAGTGAATAAATTATCCAGTAAATATCAGCAATATGAGTTTTAAAACACGTTATGCGCTCCATGTTAATAAGTAATAGACTTCAAAATTCATAGAACTTGTAGTTTAGTATTCATATACACTTATACAGGATGGTTTGAAAAATCATTCACACTTAATAATGTACCATTTTCTATTGACTCGAAAATTTCGCAAATTCATTTACTTGTATGTTTCATTTAGCACCCAAGCATATGCCAATTTCCATCAAATCAATTCTATGATGGCCTGTTGCAAGCAGATGTGAGTCAAAGTGAAGAGGCTTTAACAAGCCGTGACATTCTGAAAGGGTATTGGCAAGGTGGTGACGATCAAAGGACAGTTTTCCTGAATGTTTGTGGCGAGGAAAAGATACTCACTGTCGGGACCAGTGAGGGAAATGTATCATCCACCAGTAACGAGCAAGAAATGGATCATGCTGTAATTAATGATCTTTATTTTAATTAAATAATTATTGATGGTAAAGGATGATGTAGGATATGGTGAAGGACAATGTTGTGATCTTAGAATAATTATTGTAAATAATACAATATTTTATTAGACTTAAGTTTTGCATTGGCACTTTTCACATTTTGAGAAAAAGTATCCAAATATATAACAGACATTTCAGTCAAGATCTATGGTACAGATATCAACATTTTATATATGAACAGATATACAGACTATTTTAAAAAATTTTCTCATGATTGTACAATGAGTTTCAAAATATGATATCTTGATATGTATATTGAATCTATTTCCTTGCTATCATTTTATCATGTTATATAGTACTTCTTTATCTCTATAATGGTTTAAGGTGAGGATATACCGCTGTCTCTTGCACAAATTGTACAAGAATGAGGATGCCTTCAAAAACATTGCAGTGCTATCACAGTATCGAGCACAATGTGCCTTAATACATAAGGAGATTGACAAGTATCTTGAGCTGAGACATGAAGCAACATCTGTCAACACAGTTGTCAAAAGCCAAGGTATTAAAGGACAACTGAAATAACTTTTCTCAACTTGCAGCTACAAAAACGTGGTTTTCTCCATTGTAAGCCCAACGTAGACTTAGATTATGTTCTTGCGATAGCCATTATAAAATAAATGTTAGATAACTGCTAACGGTCATAGATAACGAAATAAAACTAACTGATTAATAAAATTGGCCCCCACGTGATTAGTAACGTCATATACAACATATAGCTTTGGTTTATTGGTTTCTTAGTAATCACAACGTCACGACAACCATAGGATTGTTGTGTAAACTAATAACAAAACATTTCGGCATTATGACGTCATGATCCAATGGACCAAAACGGGCCATGTGGGGACCAGTGAGAGATCACGTGGAGGCCAATGACGTCACAACCAATTCGAATATTGCTTATTAAGCAGCTAATAACGATCGTTAGAGTAAAATAATTTCCACACTACTGATGAGAAAACATGTCCAAATACATCTATCAAAAAATTATATTGATTCCTTTTAGGTTAAAAATACCATTTCATATCTGCTTTAAGTATTCTTATTAATACACATTTCAGTTGTCTTCAGCTGTCTATATATTTTGAATTTTTGCAGTTCTACAGTGCATGTACATTTCTGATTTATGCACAGGGTGTCTAAAAAACAGGACTGAAGTAAAAATTGATTAATCTTCTAAATTGATTAATTCTACCATGAAATTTCAGAATTATTTAGTTCATGCAATTTTGTTGTGAAAGTTTGATGATAATCTGCCTATTGAGTCAAAAGTGCAAAACAAACTCCCAAGTGGGCACCTCTACTCTCTATTTTTTCAATTTTTCTTCAACATGTATTGTAATGACTTCAGTATGAATGAAATGTCCCTTGGTGTTCTGGTCCTGGATTGTGATATTGGTTCTCGATTGGAGGGGGGAGGGGGATGTTAGACATTGTTTCTTTTCACGTTAGATTATGGTTTTGGGATATATAGGGTCTACTTTTCTTATGACAGATTTACACTTACAGTTTGCTTTTCTTGTTGGGTTTCTTTAAAGTTAGTCACCCTTCAATTTGGCATTTGTGCTTATATATATTTAATTGTGCAGAAAGGAAAACAAAAATTACAATACTGTATAAATATTTTAGGTGGAGAATGGGAATATGTCATTCTATCTACTGTTCGCTCAATGCAATCTGAGGCCATTCCAGAGGACATCACTCAGAAATGGAAGTCCAAGCATTTGGGCTTCATCATTGATGAAAACCAGATCAATGTTGCTCTCACAAGAGCAAGATTTGGACTCATTATTATAGGTATAATCTTTAATGTTAATGTCATAAATTGTCATTGTTAGCTATGATTAAACGATAATAAGGTTCATATAAAATATGTTTGCAAACCCATGTAGTTTTCTGAAATAACATGGTACTTGCTGAATACCTCTTTACCTGTGTTAACATGTTTATTTGACTTTTAGAGATAGTACTTTGGAGTACACGGGAATATGTGTGAATAGTAACTTTTTTACTTTATCATTGTCACTATTGTTTGGAATGGGACTGGTATTATGAATATAAGCATGTACATTATATTAGTATAGTACTGGTATATTGGTTCTAGGGTGTAAGGGTAATTCTTTGAATTAGGGAAATGCATACAATCATTATATATTTTTATATTATTTGTGTATAATTATTATTTGTTGGTTTTGGATTCTGTTATACAACATTACATAGTTTGCCTTTCAATTACTGTTCTGATGTATTATTGATCGTTAGCACTCTGGATCATTAGACCATTTTCACCTGTGGTCTGTCACTTTTCAGTATGTTGTCCTTTTGATGAATTATCTGCTCAATGGATCAAATTGAAAGTTAAAATATATAATATAATTCAGACTGAAGTTTTTCATCAAGAAGATGATACAATGTACATTATATCAGCAACATTGTCATATATATTTTTGAAAAAGTTGTATAAGAATAAAAAGTATAAAATGCTTTTGACTGGAATTGCAAGTCAAATTATGTTTTCTTTTTAGGTTAATGTTGTTTGTATTTCTATGATTTTGTCATATTGCGTGGTGGAAGGAAACACTTTCTTTTGTTTTATTTTGGTCTTCGTTTGTTAAATTAAGTCATGATCTCCTGTGTGTTGCAGATTAAGCTTACTAAATTGAAATATATCTGATATCCTCAGTAAATATATATAAAGGGTACCCTATGTTTTGTTAGACTAGAGGCAGGCTCATCTAGATATTAAAAGTACATGTATTGTGAAATAATTTTGTATAATGTTTTACTTCATTGAACTCAACTAGGTGCTTTTTATCATCACTAATAATGCATTAAAATATTTATGAAATTTAATAGGAACACTGTCATGTTTCTGGAAAGCCCATGGTAAAACTTTTGGATTACATTTTAGGCAATGCAGATCTGTTGAGTTGTGATCCTATGTGGAAGGAATTGATTGAAGACTACAAGGACAGGGATTGTTTCATAGAGGCCACTGATTTCCTCACTGACTTGAGCAAAGGCCTCCCAGGAATGCCTGAGGGTAAGGTTACCTATATTGATTTGTTTGACGTTGTCATTTCACCAACCTTATAACATTGCAAATAGGGAGAAGATACCAACTTGCATATAGTTCTTGCTAAAAAGCGGATATATTGATGTATATCCACAAACATAATCAATTTAGGAGGGGGAGATGGGTTACTCTTAAATGAAATTAATCATGTTTCAGATAAGATTGAAATATTGACTTGGTCCTAATGACACCCGTTTTTCACCCATTTCATTATTGTTCATACATACTGAAAGACTATGGTATTTCCAAATTGTGGCTTGACATGGCATATTTAATGAGTTAAGTGTATATACACAAGGTTTGAAGAAGATCTGTTTGTTAAAAAATTGTTTTGTTGGTGATCTAACATAAGTAGACTCATACAAGCTAATAGCTCCTTTCTTCATGAATCAGACAAAATATTAGAGGACAAGAACATGATGATGCTTCTCAAATGGAAAAGGATCTCAAACTTTTAGAGCAAACTGCTGAAAGTGGGGGTAGATTCTGGATATTTACTGCCATTAAGATTATGATTGAGGCTAGATAAAGACAATGGTTACATCAAATGTTCGACAGTCTTTGAGATTATAATATATATCTGTGTATTTCAGATTGGGATCAGAAATATGATGCGTATGATATTAATGAGGAACAGAGAGCCCCAAGGCTGAGTAGAGAAGCATCAAAAGATTGCCTCAGGAAAATAAAGGTTGTTATTATCTCATTTTTCTTCTCAAGTCACCTTTTAAATATAATTATAAAGTACCTATGATTTTCTATTTAAATTAATTGATTGATTTATTCATTTTTGTGTTCAACGATGAAGGTACTTAAAAGTAAGTGTCTGAAATATCTACATCTGAATAGTTCCGTTCTTATCCTCTGTAAGAGGCATTTAGAAAGACATTGACAGATAACAGTGATAATTAATCACTTTCTGAAAAAATTGCATGATTAAAAATAATGGGTCTCACTTGTTGCCTTCCTTTTATTTGGTTCTATATTTTTATACTCAAAACTCTTTAACAAAGAAAAAGAAAAAATGCCATGGTTTACAGAGATGCGTTTGTTCTAATTAAGTTGGATAAAATCCAACTTAACAATCATATTTTCTCATAACAGGCAGATACCATGTTGATTGAGTGTGAATGGCTGCTACGAGAAGCATTGTCAGGTGTTCTTAGGATGAGAGATCTCCCAGAAACTGAAAACAGGTAACCAAATGGCACAAGGGGAAACACAAATGTAAAAATATAATATCACATGGCAATGACATGCCTTTGCAGAATCTATTAATTATCATTATTAATACTGTTTTTTTGCAATCGAATATAATTCAGAAATGAGAGAATCTAGGGATTGTGCATTTATACTGATAACCTTGTCAACAATATTGTTGTTGTTTTTTATTAAGGCGTTGGAACGAAAGATTTGAGTCATTCTTTGCCAGAACTAGTTATGATGGAACCAAAAGGCCACGTTGGACTGAAACCAAAGGTATATATCTACACAAATGTTACATAAGTAAATAATCAGGTTGAGCTCAGGTATAATGTACTTTGATGTTGTGTATACATTATGATATGATATTCTACTGTTACGTCAATGAAGTTGAACACATTATTACTTAAGTCATTGTTATTGTTTAAATGTCTGATAGTTCACGTTTGTTTTTAACCATTTTATTTCATTTCAGATTATCTAAAGCAAGTCGGCCCTATCCTGCATAATGGACATGAATTATTAGCTGAATTTGGTAGAAAATCAAGGTAAATGTTGAATTTTACATTTCAACTACTCAAATTATTGAGGACTATATTGTCTCCGATCCAATCTAACTACAATCTGATCTAATCTAGATCCTCCATGATTAATTTTATGGATTTAGATACTTGAAAACTGTTATAAGAAACACAATAGCCTTTAAAAACCTATCCATTCAACTTTGAATATAACAGATAAGTTGGGAGAATTTTCACTTGTTTTGGACATCATTTTGACCATTGAATTTTTTGTTTCAGCTTTAAGGATCGCTTTGTTGTTCCTCTGAAAAGGCTTCGAAATATGTGGTCTCAATGGAATCACATACAAGATCCAAATCTGTCCATCTCTGAGCTAAAGATTCTACTTAAACAGGTATACATGTAAATCTACAATTTTATGCAATTGTCAATTTTGTTATGTCCCCACCACATAGTGTGGGGCCATATTGTCGGCCTAGGCGCATACATGTATGTCTGTCTGTCAGTCCGTCTGTATGTCCGACAGTTTTCTCCAAAACCACTACAGGTAGCATCTTCAAATTTTCAGGGATAACTTATGAGTACATGCAGATGTGGTACAGATGTGGTACAGATGTGGTAATATCGTCTCGATGCCTACTTCCTGTCAGCCATTTTGAAGTCAAATGCTAAAATCCTTGTCTGCAAACTTGAAGAAAAATGGCTTCTCGGTTACTTTTAAAACTGTAACATCTTCTTTAACTCACTTCATTCTACATCTGATTAGGTTTTGGACATGTTGGCTCAGACATGGCAGCCATTTTGAATGTCTTCAGAAAAGTCAGCGAGCGATAATACTCTGTATCATGTTACAAGCTGTTTTTGAGTTGTACATAATTTTTTAGTTTTTCAAATTGTTTCAGGTGCCCTGTATTGTAAGAATACATGCCACTCTTCACAGTATTATGTGATAATTTTGTTCAAAATATCGGCAAAAATTTATCTCTGCTTTTTTTATTGTCGGACATCTTGGTGTTTTTCTGTTGTGAAATCTTGTCTGTCAAGTTTTGTCTACACATTTCCAGGCAAACCAGTTCACGGATTGATTTCAAATTTTCAGGGATGATTCTTTGTATTAGAATCTCGAACTGATTGGCATTCTGGGTAAATGTTAGGGCAGCCATTTTGGATTTGTCCTGTCCTAAAGTCTTGTCTACGCGTTTTCAGGCAACTTGTTTTATGGATCAATTTCAAATTTTCAGGGATGATTTTATGTATGAGAATCTGGAACTGATTAGATTTTGAGTGTTCTTCATAAACTTTGAATTGGCCATTTTGGATTTTCCATCCTAAAATCTTGTCTGTAAGTCTTGTCTACACATTTTTAGACGAACCACTTGACAGATCAATTCCAAGTTTTCAGGGATGATTCATAGTATGAAAATCTGGAACTGATTAGGTTTTGGCTTAAATGTTAAGGTGGCCATTTTGGATTTTCCGTCCTAAAATTGTGTCTGTAATTCTCTCTTTAACTGATTTGTGTTGGGCACTGAGGATGAACAGTTACAGGATAAACCATTGGTGGGACATGTACACTTTTGTGTCCTATAATTTGTCTTTGCAGTTTGATTTCAAAATGTACAATATACATATAGTTCCAGTCAAACAGCGTAAGTTATTTTGTTATGTTTTTTGTAAGGAAGGCTGAATAGATTATAGAATAAGGAATCTTACTAATAGACAGATACTTGTAATGTTCTTGATCGAATATTCAGAATTAAGTCAGTGATATCATGTTTGAAATACAGGTACAAATTCACATTTAAAATGTGTTCATTGTGCCTTGTTATTTTATATGGTTTGTTTTTATGATATTTTATTGCACTTGAAAAGTTGCCATGTTCATGTACCACTATTAAATAGTCTATCTAACTGCTCATCAAATTCAGTTCAAATTCTACAGCTGATTAACTGGGCATTCATCTTGAATTTTAAAACACATACATACAAAAGTTGATATCTGAAACTAATCAATTTTTGGCTGGTATCTTGAATTGTGAGACCACCATTTCTTGTCATCATTGGTCTTAACTATAATTTAATTTTATTATCATAAATTAAAATACAATAGATCTACAATATCCAGACCAACAAGATGATATATTACATTTGAATCTAAATACATGTATAATAATTATATATATAATCCAACCTATAATATAAAGTTTTGAACTGTCATGATTAGGTGGTGTGTGTTTCTGGATTTCTTGGTGAGGTAATTTAATATACATTTAATTTTTAATTGGATCATGTTATAGTTATTCCTTTACCATGCGGATGTTTTGCTCAAGTCCAATATTAACACAGTGTGTCTTGTTGATCGACACTCGTTCAATTTCAGATGGAAATCCTTGACATGCCTCGAATGACACACAAGAAAGTTTATCTGAAGAAAATGAAAGAAGAACATTTGAAATGTCTGGAGAAATTGGAGGAGATTCATCATAAAATGGTTGAGTACAATGAAAATCATAGAGGTAAGATTATTTGTACATGTATATTACAACTTTTCATAAGCTTAGTTCTGATATATCGGGTGTCCCCAAATAAATGAGGCACTTTTTGAAAAGTATTTTCTTGGCAACCAATGAACCAAATTTTTTGAAAATATGTACAAAGTAGCCCAGGAGTAACGTTAGTAAGGTACAGAAATATGAAAAGATCAGGTAAATGTTATGTGAGTACTAAGAAGTTCAAGATAGCATGTCAAAATATCCTATAAAGGAGCAATGCAATGAGAATTTCATAGCATTTGTGCCAAAAATGGGAAGCAATTTGACAAGTAATTTCTAAGCAATAGATAAGTCAAATTATTTGAAAACTTTACTTAAGGCACTTTAGGGTATCTTCTGCTACAACTTGCTAATGATACTCTTAGGCTGCTTTGTACACATTTTAGGTTAATTTGTTGTAACAGTTGCCGAGAAAATACTTGGAAAAAAGTGTCTCATTTTTTTGGGACTCCCGATATAAGGTGTATTAGATCACTGGGTAAGACCTTTGTTTCCTTTAAACCCGTCATACTCTCTGTTTTGAACATTTTGACCAGAGATTCCATATAATTGATATTGCTATTTATTTGCATATTAACAACATCCTTACTAATATACATGTAAGTAAGAAGAGGTAGTTCCTAGAGCTACAAACTAAATCTTGTTCCAAATTTCAGACATGTACAAAGAGACTGGCGCTGACTACTTCAAGACCCGACTCAGAAACTATGGTATCATCAGAGGCATGCCAAACTCTAGCCGTCTGCGTAGTTTCAGGACACCTGCTGAACATGACGACTTGCATCCACTCAACAATGACGAGGTGGATGATGCTGATGCTGAAAGTATAATCCAAATTGAAGAAATATCAGATGATGAGACAGTTTCTGAGGGTGAATCAACCCAAGCTGATGAACCATACATAAACAGTGAGACCAAAACCATGCATGGACAATCTCAATCAAGACACACTTCAGGGACACTCAGGAATGTAGATTCAGGTGATGCAAGACAATCCATTGTATCTCTCAATGTAAGTGCTGATTTAGTCCCTCCAAGCTTATGTGCTGAGATCTTATACATGGTGGATGATGATGGGTCCACAAATACAGGATCAAATATTGCCATAGATAGAGACAAAACATTGAGGAAATCCAAAGATCCAAATATGGTTGATGATATTAATGCCTCTGTTGATCAGCTATCGCACTCTCAAAGTGAACCAAATGGGGATGCCAATGAGGAAAACCTGATTGAACAAGAAGCTGGAGAAGCAGGAAGTAAACAGGCATCTTCCAAAAAGAAGAAGTCAAAAAGGAAGAGAAAAAAACATTAGACTTCTTAAATACATAGGTACAATCACAATATTCATCTAGAATGGATTGATATTGTTAGGCTAATGAGACAGGCGAGACAAAAACAATGGCAATCATAATAATTAGAACACTACTGTAGTTAGTCTTTATCAAGTGCCTGGTTTATTTTTGACTTTAGCCGATCTGAAGAATGCACTAAGAATTTTCACTAAAATCTTCAGAAAAAGAAATATCTGACAGTATATATTACAGGGTGTTCAAAAAAAAACGCAACCCAAGGAAATCGCTATATCTTGGAAAATACTCATCCAATTATGTTCATATTTTCAGGAAAGAAAGAGGAGACTGTGTATGTATAGCCCCTGTTGTTAGTTAGTTGTAAAACATGATGTCTTGGACACTTGGTCAAAAGACAGTTGTACTAGCAAAATACGAAAAACGTGAATGGAAAATCACAATATCTTGGAAAATATTAATTCAATTAAGTTTATTTTTTCAGGAAAAGAAAGAAGAGACTGTGTATGTATAGCTCCTGTTGTCAGTAAGTTGTAAAACATGATGCCTTGGACACCTACTCAAATGACAGTTGTTCTAGGAAAACATGAAAACGCAGTCAGAGGTGACTGCCACAGCAATAAAACCAAATGACTTTCTAACCATGGTGTTTTGGCACTTCAGATTTGGCACAAATTATCCTCATTCAATGTGTGGTGAATTTGTGGAGTTTCATCAAAATCACTCCAGGGACTTTACAGTCATGGTCAAAATGCCTTCTTAAGTCTCCCTGAACCAGGGCGTTTGACTGTGATTTGAAACCATTTCAACCATGACTGTAAAGTCCCTGAAGTGATTTTGATTTCACTTTACAGATTTACCATACAGTGAATGAAGATGATTTGTGCCAAATTTGAAGAGCCAAAACACTATGGTAAGAAAGTTATTTAATTTTTTTGAGGTTGCAGTCACCCTTGACTGCGTTTTTCGTATTTTCCTAGTGCAACTGTCTTTTGAGCAGGTGTCCAAGGCATCATGTTTTACAACTAACCATTTACAGGAGCTATGCATGCACAGTCTCTTCTTTATTTCCTAAAAATTTGAACATAATTGAACCAGTATTTTTCAAGATATAGCGATTTCTTTGGGTTGCGTTTTTTTTTGAACACCCTGTATTTCAATTATTATTATACAGACTGTCAAGGAGTTTGATCATGGCCTTAACATTTCCATGTCATTGTAATTGACGCATACAGAATTATATATACAAGAAATATTGTTCATCTTATTTATCCATTAAGTGTTATATATGTACAGGTTGAAAAAATACTTATGTGTACGCTGCTGGGAAGCATGGCTTCAATGGATGTTAAATGAAATATTCACAATGAATAAATATGATATCCAAAAAATCATGGTATATTCTCCACATTTTTTACCATAATGATACACTATTTTTAAAATGTAACAATGAAAAATCACACTGTTGAAAAAAGCTGAAAAATGTACATACTTTTTGTTCAAAAAACAGTATGAATTCTATTATTTTGTAAATGCTATACTTGTATATATAAATGTGCCATTCTGAGTTAAATGCTTTTGAATATATATGTTTAGAATTAAAATATCAATGCTCTTTTTATTTATCATGCTTATTTTTTACACAAATGTATATATCGGGTGTCTCATATTTTGGGACAATATAAAGTAAGAGCCTGTAAGGTTCGGCCATCTTGGAGACAATATGTAAATATATTTGTCTATGATGTAAAACAGGAACATATGAAAAAAATGTTTAAAAGATGTAAATATATCTCATATTGACAAAAATGTGCCTAGTAAATGAAAAATGTACAATCTTTCAAAAGGTTTCATGTTTAAGAATAAAATAAAAGTGTACATTATATACAATAAGATTATATTTAGTCATGGTTTTATTAATATAATATTCAGACTGATTCACAACCTTGAGAAAATTAGCTGATTAATTGATTTGATTGGATGATCAATTGACTGATTTGATTGGTTGATCAATTGATTGATTTGATTGGTTGATTGATTGAGGTTTACTGACTTGAGGCTGAGAATAAGACTGTAGAAATGACTGTATATTTTTATACTGTAAAACCTGTCTAAAAATGTTTCAACATTGAGAGAGCTTCAGAGAGGTAGTTGTTTGATTTTACTGCATATACAGGTTTTATTGTATATATGACAGGAATCATGTACAATAACCCGTATTGTGAGTGATATTTTATTTATTTTAATGAGATTGTTGTAGACTGAATTGTAATGTAAATAGTCATGTTATTATCCTGTTATATGTTATGTTATTATCATGTATTACTATATAAATCAATACAGAATAAAATGCCATCAGCTCCTCTCCTTGCTCCGGTTCTTAGCAATGCCAAAGGTTCTAGTATAAATGCTGTCTAATGCAGCCATACACTAGCAAATGGTGTGAATGGGACAGCTATGGTGTAAATGGGACATTTTAGCTTTACTAATTAACACACAGTCCCAGTCCCAGTGCAAACTTAATAAACTTACAGAGGTTTGAAACCTTACTGTTTTGTACATATTCTTGTATGTCATATTATTATGTACATGTACTGTATAAATGTATTGTACCATTATTTATATACTTATTTTAGCCATTTTATAGTGCAAATGCAAATGTAGATCAATCAGGCTAGGAAAATGTAAATGTATCCACTACAGGGCGACAAGAAATTATTTTTCACAGTACATATTCTGTATAGAGAGATTATTAATATTCATATATAGCTCAAACTATTTCTTTATATTTAGTACTCAATAAAATATGAACCTGTTAATTTGAGGGATATGCTTATATTTGACATCCTGTATATTTTCCTTAATTACATATTGTTGTGCACAATCATTTTGACACCACAGTAGTTGGAACAAAGGTCACATATTCTATGTTCTGTTTTGAAAATACAAGTATTTTACAGATTTGTACAGTACTTCAAATTTTGAAGATTGAATGTTTTACTTGAAGGCTACTGTAGAATGTCAAGGATCTGATATATTTATAATTACTAGTCCAAACAAAAAGAAACAATTTTATGTTTTTTATTTCATGGATGTGCTGCTACTTAAAGGGGCAGCAAAGACTGGAATGTAAAATGTTGCAAGCAATCTTTTTTCAAGTCACACCAATGTTTGCCTTACAATACCAGTTTTATTTTTGAAAAATCTTTATTTTCTGAAATATCTGAAGTATTTGAATAAGATGCAGACACTAACTTGCCCCTAGTTTTTGCTGCTCCTTTAAAATCTTAACTTGAAATGGAATATCTTAAATATTGTTTTGTGATATAATTATTTTCATGTTTATGCATGTTTACAAACATACACTTGCCAATGAAAACCAGTGAATTTTTATTTAAACTGCTTTCAATAATATGAACAAATATAAATTTATATCCAAGTATTTACTACAAGTAAGTAATCATGCTTATTAGTATTATATATTGTAGGTTTATTATATTGTGCCATGTATTTTAAATTAAAAACTATTGTAGTCTGATATTATTAAGTTTGATAAAGTCTGACTTATTTTTGCCTCAAATAAGCTTGGCATTTTTAACACAGAAAGATCAAGGCATTATTCCATTGCATACATGTTATGAAATGGTTAAGAAGCCTTTAAGTATTTATTCATTTACATGTAGACGTGATTTAACACAAGAAGTTTTGTTGAAATATTTTTTGATTTATTCATTTTACATTAATTTAATGAATGGTGTTAAAGCATTCTTACAAATACAATGTTTATTTATGAAGTTTTGACATCAAAATAAATATTTTTAAAAAATTGACAATAAATAGGAGATTGTTGAATAAAATGCACCCAGTGTGTTTTCTTATTTCTTATACTCCTACTAAGGGGTTAACAACAGAAACTTTTGAAAGAATTTTTAAATTCATTGCTGTGACAGTTTTGTTAAAAGGTTGCAATATCCATGGTTACAACAACTGATTTACAAATTCTTAACTTTAAAAGTTTTCTGTGACCCCAATTGAGTTTGTGCTGACAGTGCTTTGGTTTTAGGGGCATCATTAAAAAACAGAAAAAATACATTGAGCAGTTGATTCAATATTTTCAACTTCAATCACAGCATTATAATCAGGCCTATTGAATTCAGTTTTTACATTTTTCACAGAGCTAAATTGCAGGTGTAGTGATCGCATATTCACACATAGCTAGGCAAGGTATGTCCTATTCCAGCCAATCTGGGGACACTATTTCACATAACTGCATTCCATTATATAACCAATAATGAAATAATAAGGTCACTAGTTAATCAGTGGTCTCTTCAGTTTGAAAAAATTGATAACTTGACCCTTGCAAAAGGTTTCATTGAAAATATGTTATTTCAGTGATTTCCTATCTTTTTGGATGATTTCAAACTATTTTGCAAAGTGTGAAAATAATTTAAGCCAAGACTCAATGCATCTTGTGCAAGTTTTGGAAAGCAACGCCTTCAAAGAATGGTCATTCTACTTTGCACTGAGTCCAGGGCTTAAATCCTTAAACAATAAATCTGGTTAAAAATAGCAACAGTATGTTATACATTAAAGGGGCAACAAAGACTAGAGATCAGTTGAGGGAATCTCAATTTTCCCTTAATTTTTCCTCACAACCTTGAATGGCATGCCCATTTTCCCAAAAGTAGGGAAGTGCATATTATCCACATGAGATCAGATCTGGATTCTTTTCCAGATAATGAGACAATGAGTGGCATACTTTAAGAAAAGATGGATACCAAGATTTTACATTCTCTATTCTATGTTGCCACCTAATTTAATGGATTTCTTTAGTAGTGAATATCTAAGCCAAATGGCTTTAAAACATACAACTTGACCATTAATTCACATATTTAAACTTGGAATGATAGGATAGATTTCTTTCAATATTCAAAGCATGTTAAGACACTTAACTAGTGGACATGCACCTTAACAAACATCTTAGTGCATATGTGCCTTAAGAACATGTACATCACTCTTCAAAAAACAAAAAGGAATGTCTTCAATATAAATTAAAAATGTAAGAAATACATCAGCATTGGTGTAGTGGAGCAGTTGTATAGGAATTAGGAATGTGTTTAGCCTTGTGGGTCTACAGGTTTTAAGTGCTTCTATAAGGCAATTATTGTTCTTTGAGAATTCCTAAGAGGCAGAATTTCCATGGTGGCAGTGTAGTGACCAATATAATACGATGCAATGATTATAGTTACAGCAGTATCATAGTTGTTGGCAAGTTATTGCAAATGATTAAAAAGGTGTTGCAATTTTTCACAGATGGCAAATGGTGACACCAAACTCTAGTCACAGAAAATGGTAATACTATAACAATATGTTACTGTTTTTAGATGGTGGTGATATATATAATCTAAGAAATCCACTGGTTTCTCCTTAGTGACCACAATATTCAAATTCAATTTAAGGCCTTTTTAAAAATGTAAGTAACATTTTCATTTTTACTGAATGATGCTAAACGCTTACTTTACACTCGGACATACACATATGTTATATGTGTAACTTTACTTTTTCTGAAATTAGTACAAAAATAAATCAATAACATAACATGTTTTAACATATAAGACATTATGCTGAAATGTCAGACATTTTTGGCAGGAATTTGCATATAAGTTACTCCACCCTGTATGACCATATATCCTAGTTGCGACACATTTCAGGATCAATGCACTTTTACCGCAGTTTCAAAGAGTAAAAAATCTGCCGTTTTGAATTTCTCTATAAAAAGTGTGATATTTATCACTGTGGGGCTTGTTTCCTTGTTTCCTTTACCCTCATCCATTTTAATGCTATCTTATATATATATACTCGTATGTATACAACTTAGACCCTGGGTCCTATTAGCTGAGTAGAATAACTAACCTCTGGTAATAACATGATGAATCCTGGCAATTTTAAATGTAACTTTTCTGGAAGTTTTGATTGTAAATGGTCTGAGGTCTCCCACACTGCTTGCACATCACAACTAGGATAATATGTCTAACAGGGTTATCATATATCGCTATAAAATTATACTCTTTTCCTTGGTTAATATATCAAATGTCTGTCTGCTTACTGATTTCAATGCATAGGTGGGAATGTTTGTTGAGTATAAAATAAATAAACTATAGTGGTTAATTGTCAGAGCGTAACATTTATGACTAGTTGAGCAGAGGTAGATATCTAATGCGGAATGGTTTGTAGGGGTTTGAACTGTAGCATCTGCACCTGGAAAAGTACAAGATAAAAATGTTTTAAAAACATTGAATGATTTAAATCTGGAGAATATGGCGAAAATTAACTCATTTAATAAATATATTAGATTCAATAAACTACAAGATGTTCATAAAGTCTCTTTACAATTACAATTCAAAATCTGTGTAAAGTGTGAGAAGACTTTATGGGACACCCTGTACCTTCATCACAGTCACATAGAATGATTGGGAAATGAACTCAGAAAACCTTCAACCAAATAATCTAAATGCTATATATGAGAAGAAATTCAGTAAAAACATACTGGAGAAGCATAAATTTTGTACAATATAAATTTAAAATCAAACCAAACCGAAAACATTTCTACAATATTTCTCAATTCTGACTCGAGATTATCCTACAAACACGTAGGCCTACAGTAAAACCACTTTGGTAGCTAAAAGTATTATTTCACTCGTGGGGTGTGCCACTTATGCCATCCCTGTACATTGAATTAATGGGTAATGAACATGGAGGTGTTCTACTTTACAGTTCTTACATCATTTTATCATATCGTATTGTAAAACTTGATTATTGAATATTTTTGAAATAAATTAAGCTGTGTACCTTGATTGTCCTGTTCTGACTGATTTGTTTGATTTAGAAATGACTCCCAGGTGTATTGATAGAATGACCTCAGTAATGCTTTCCTCTTGGCTGTACTTGGAATATTGCCTACAAATACATATACAGTGTACAGTATGTATGATACATCCATGTATTAATAATATTGCTATAATCATATTTATATAAACATATTCGATAAGTTTTTTTTACAGAATCTTCAAAGCATGGTCATAAAAACTGAAATCTGAAACATAGGATCAAATTCTATGCTCAGGGCTGATGTGAAAAAGTCACTACACTTTGGTGGAATCAAAACCACAAGCTCCCTATTACACACTGGATGCTCTACCACTTGAGCTATGAAGTGAACTAACCAACTTTCATCAACATTGCATTATGGCATCACAGCCATGACTTACAATAAGGTTTCTAAATGCATTTTTAAATTTTGATTTGAATTCATCAAATGGGTGTTTTTGATCCAAGACTCTTCAAATAAATGGCATAATCACAGTAAAACCTCTGGGTCCTCATGGACCAGACAGAAGTGTTCGGATTAGTGTTCCAAGGTGTTATTATATAAACTCCATCTCTACAATGTGAGTCAGACCAGCTTAAGATTACAATGCTGTACCTTGTGTTGTGTTTTCCTGTGTTGAGGGCTGCACTGTACATAAGCATCTGTGAGTTTCTGTATTTAGAAGAGCAAATCTGCAAAGCAATAAAAGCAAAAATGAATGTGAGCCAATTGGTGTAAGTGTACCCAACAAAAAGTGTTACAAAACATACAGATAGAAGTAATGAATGTGAGCCTTGTTGTAAGGGTACCCAACAAAAAGTATTATCATCTAATGATAATTTAATAAACAATTTTCTAATGTTCAAAGAAACAATGTCTTACAACCCTATTCAGCAGTATGTTCCTGTACTAAAAGAAGACAATGATTTTGGCAAATTAATTCTTGTCATCTTACTTTTTGGCATAAGCGATAATATTTCATCCTGGCGAATTAGCCACTTCGGCCTTACAGTAATCTTTTAATTGTTACTCTGAGCAGACTGGGTTATGAACACAAAGAGTGGTTGGTATAATCCATTCATATTACATGTATTTTAATGTCTGTATCAAATGAATGTTACACATGACAAGGTTAATACCAGAAGAGTTGCTGTATAACAAGAGTGCCTGAAATTGATTAAGAGAAAGAAAACTGACTGAGAGATCCTATACAGTAATCTCCTTATCATCGAAGCAAGTTGTACTGCAAACATTTAGAATTACAGTCAGTTGAAAATCTATGATGATCCTGTTGGGAATTTAGAAATTATGAATAAGTAGGGTATGCTGACCAATTTTGTTCATTTTTAAACAGAATGCTTATTAGAAAGTTAGAGTTTTGCATAAAAGGGGATCACATGACGAGTTAAATGATATAAAACATTGGCACTTACCCTAAAATATTTTGATCTAGGTTAATAGTAGATGGGAAATTGCGTGGGATGGCTCTCGATACAGCTGCGAGACAATCATAAGAATTACGCCAAAATCGCTCAACCTCTCTTTCAAGTTCAGCTAGACTAGGCGATGGCCCACAAATGACGCACACCTCCACTCCTTGTACTAATTGAAAAGTGAGCAATCTGTGTGGCACCTGAAATTCATTGCAAATGTTTACATTTCAAGTTAAATTTGATAATGTTGAAATGTAAAATAAAGAACTGCGAGGAGTAACCATGTATATATATACAAAATTTATAGAATGTGAACTTTAACTTACTTTGTCAATTTCAGCAATAATTTACCATATTCAGGCCTTATAGCATGGCTCAGTTAAAATGGAATTTTCCATATTATTTGATCAAAAAATGATCAAAAATTGAGCAATTGCTAATTAGCTAATATTTATAAATAATATCTGTATCTCCCGAGTATTAGGGCAACCAGGTCCTTCGCCCTGTTATAAATCTAGAAATGGCGCCCTGTTTAAAATCTGTACGCTGTCAAAGGGATGAAACATTGAGATAGGCAAGTAAAATGAGAATTTAGCACCCAATGAGAAAAATACTGGGGTAACTCTAAACAGAATATCTTAGTACCTTGGGGCTGCCATGGGGCAGAAAAACAGGAATATCCCGACTAGAGCACCTTGGTAGGGTATTCACCAGCATGGACAATAAGACCAGCTCATTGGCTGTTAAATCCCACCATTTTGTAGTTGCCACGGCAACCTTTCCTAGCACCAATAAACAACCATATGGGCTGTCAGCAGTTTGCACAAAGGATTCAAGGTAATTCTAAAAGTAGAGTAAATACACATGTATTGTCAGTTTAGGGAAGTTTAGACTGTAGAACAATGTGAATGTTGGTGAACATATAGGAGTGTAATACACAGCAATGGAACATTGTCTATGTGAAGCAACTAGAGAGGGGTCTATTTACAAACATATACCCCATTCTGAAGTATATAGCTATTATACAAGTATAATGACTAGGAAAACTATTAGATGAAAATAAAAAAATGAATTGAAATCAGATTTATAAATATGTTATATACTGTAGAGAATCTATTCTCAATTTACCCATCCAAGCCTTCATTTAGTCTATGGGATGTTTATACTAACATGTTATACCTATTTAATTAGTCTATATAGATAAATAGATGAATCATAATTGTCTCTTTTCATCAACTTTAAACCAAAATCGGATCTAAAGTCTATCAGAGAATGAACACTACATAAATATGAATTAAATCTGTGCATTATGACATAACCATTTTTAAATATAGCTTAATAAAAACAAAGCAAAATGCTTAAATCTATTTTCATTCAAAAATTGATGTTATATGAAATGTCTAGACAATACAAGATCAATATGACCATATAGCATACAATAAACTACTATATACCTGTAATTAAACATAATATATTTGCCTACCTGTAAAATTGCATTTTCAGGAACATGAATGGTATCTACTGTTAAGGTGATATCTGCCATGTAAGAAACATTATAATGAGGACTCCTGTAAAGTAAATTGTCCAGTAAGTTGAAGCACACCTGAAAAACAAGATTTTAAAATCAAATCAAAGTTAATTTTAGAGATTTCAAAAAGGCATTTGGAGTATATGTATTAGTAAGTAGATACAAAGAAATTGAAACAATAGAAAAGGAAACAGGAAAACAGGGAGAAAGCCAAAAAGGTAAACGCATCAAATCACAGAGTTAATACTCAAAAATGCTTGGAATTAATCAATATTTTAAAAATCTAAATCATGTTTATTTTGTAAAGAACATAAACTACTTGGATTTGTTTCATCTTTGAATCAACAACTTGTTCTGGGTGCTAATTCTTAAAGTAGAACTGCATCATTATATCTGTATTAACTGTTTTATTTGACAGGTAAATAAATTACGGTATATCAAATACTGTACATACAACAGAGGTGGCTAGGATTCTCAGATGTACAGTTGTCAGAAAGAACATCTCAAATACAAGACCTCAGATAGCCTTTCCCAAGTCTGTATTTTTTTACTCTGATCTTGAATTATTACCGCCTTGTACAATCTAATGCATCATCGCTGATATTATGATAAGTTATTCAGCGGTTTCGAGATTTCCATAATTCCTAAGCTGTCAGGGGTATTGCGAAACCTTATTGATTGACAAGATCGCGTGGACACGATGTGTGACTTCAGGCTGATTGACCAATCAAAACGTTTTCAGGTTTACCCGCATAAACAAAGCAAACTACCCATCTACGACTTGAAATTCAATGATCTGATCAAGTATTTCTTCAGAGTTACAATATATTATGTAATTAAATGTACATTGGAATGTAAGCAGTCATTAATATAAATTTAATCATGCGATTCAATGTTGATTTAAAACTGAATTTGCGATGAAAATGCACGAAGACCTAGTCACTGTAGTCATCGATCTAATTCAGTGATTGATCTGAATCTCAGCCTAGATCTTGCTAATATGTTTGACAATTTCAGCGATCTTTTCAACGTTTCTTGTTGAAATCTTCTCACCTGTGGGTATCCGATCGATGCTCTGGCATCCACTAAACTCTGATTGATATTTATCTGATAAAATATTTGTATTTTCATGATGAATTGTGAGAGATTTGGGGGAGGATTTGTTCGTGAAGTGTACTTGTTTTGACCGTGCATAATATGAGCTAACGCTGCAGGCCTGCGGGCCGTTGTTGATTGGTCCAATTTACCGACATAAACATTAGGTCAATTAAGCACGTGGCTTTCTCATTGGTACAAGGTGGTCATAATAGAAAATCATAATCATAATAGAAATCAAGATAAGTAAAAGTGACTGACTTGGACAAGGCTAGACCTCAGAGATTGATTTGCTATCTAAGTGTAATCATTTCAATCAACATGTCTTCAACATAATGCTTAGATGAATTCCAGTGAAAATGTTTTTTGAAGGATTTGAAACTCAGCCCAATATAATCAAACAGAACAGTATGTTTTAACATTGTTTTCTAACATTTTGAGCTTATGGACAAATTAGAATGTACAGCTAACAGAAATCAGTGTTTTGAAAGCTGGAATTACATGTACCTTGATTTCTCTTTTAAATCGTTCATTGTTTTTTATGTTCATGAGGTCCTCTAGTCCATATAGCAGAACCATAGCCTGGAAAAGTAGCTCCATGTGCTGTTTGAGGAAGACAGTACCATGTGAACCTTCTTTTTCACGTACCAGAATCAGTGTTAAACTGCAATAAAAGATACAAAACACTTAAAGGAATATTCCTTGCCAAACCATCTCTCTCCTCATATGGTAGCTATAACCATATATATGCTTGCCATGTTTAGCAAAACACGCAAAAATGTTTTGATATGGTCAAATTTGATCACTTAGAAATGTGATGCTCAATTCCAGTAAGCTGCCATCTTTTAAAATTTCAGTTATGAGTACAGCATAGGAACACATCTCTAATCCGAACACCTCTCAATGTGAACACTTTTTTATCCCAATTTCTTAATCTGCCAAAGATCATCATGTCAATAAACTCGGAAAACAAACCCCTGTCAATCCAAACACTTTTATCCAGCTCGAGCGGGATTTGGACGAGACAGGTTTTACAGTAAAACCCCTCAAAGGCAAACACTTTGGGCTGAGCAAAGTTTTTAGTATGTCAAATGCAGACAAACCTTTACCAATGTTTCAAGTTTAGAGATATTTTATTTTAAAACATAAGTTGCCCATGAAAGGATAAAGGTAGCGCTCATGAATATTGCTCATATTTCAGATGTGCTCACCTTAATAGGATGTTCAATGTATTTAAGTATGAACACATGAAATTGAATGGCTAATGACAGAAAAACACTTAGATTCCTAGATATCCAGCTACAGAACTTTAATGATAGTGGCATCAATGTAAATAGATACACTACCAATAGAAAAATTGCTATATTATATTCTGTTATCTTTATAAGTACAGTACTACAGTACAATGAATAAGTTATAATTCAGTTATAAATGTCTAAGTCTAAGTAAACTACATCATTTTCTAGAAAATATTGATTGAACAATTATAAGCTTCAAATAAAAATAACAGTCAAGGCAGATTTAGGAGATCATGTACTACAATAAACTAAGACCTTTATTTATACATACAACATCAATAATTCAAAATAAAAACAGCTTAAAGTACAATTACAGAGATGAGTATATACTTATATGGAAATCATCCTCTGATAAAAGTTATGATGATCTTTTGAGTAGCTATAATCAATTTTCTGTCTGTGTTTTTTTTTAATTATTATCATTATTTAGAAGTTACAGTATCTCTAACATTTGTCCTTTAATTGTACTAATAATGCTGATGGTAATTCAAGATTCAACTCTTTTCTTGAAAATCATCACGATAAAACATGTCATCTCATATTCTTGTATTGGTTTTGAGATGTTTCTACACAACAACACAGAAAGATGCGAGGATTCTCAGAATGTTGAAATTACATTTAATTTATCAGCATCAAAATTGAGATATTCTAGGTCTGTTGAACTTCAAAGATGATTATTCAAATAACTCCATAAAATCAAAAACCTTTAGTTTTATTAGTAGAATACAAATGAATATTTTAAGTACTTCATGTACTATTATTTATACAAGAGTACACAAATTCGAGCATTTCAGAACCAGTTATTAGTTCTTATCACAATAAATTCTCCTATTTATTTGGACAGAGGCTACCACATTGAGAAGTGACAAGACATCCTGAGAACATAGGTTAGAACAATTTGTATAATTTAGACACTGATTCAGTCAAATATTTTACTGAAAATAGGTCACATAGATATTGCACTTTTCATTGAAAAATTCAAAATGGACTTCCCCTATCTATTTCTCTACTATGGACTTGAGAGGGGGAGGGGGCACAATGGCTTTGCAAGATGAGGTTATAGTCAATGATTTCAATCTTTCATTCATGTGACCTCCTTGAAATAAAGAACAATTACAGAATTTCTTACCTATTATGAAAGACTTTCCATACTAAGTGAGTATTATCTGTGCTAGCAGATTGTAGGTCGACGTCATGTGTATTTGCAAACATATGGACCCCATTAAGAGAACCTATTATGGGGAATGAGAGCTGAAAGAACAAAAAAGCAAAACTGTAAAACTATCAAGACATGGATGCTTTCAAGAAGAAGGTGGATAGTTCCAGGGAGAGGAAACATGATGCTATAGTTTTCACTGGCGGATCTGGGGGGCATGGGTCCGTTATGAAGTGATCAATTTGATTAATACTAGGTAACAATTCTATTCAAAAGTATCTTATTTAATTTGGGTGTTTTACCTTAGAAGAAATATAAAAACCATTTGTTTTTACTTCATCATGATAACTGTATATTATCATATTGCCATTTAGTCATGCAGAGTATGATGTCATTGTGGATCCCCAGTGACATTATGACAGAACGCTACTTGATCCATTTCAGTTGAACAAACAAATATGACATCAATTCAAAATTGCTGTAATACCAACACCTGCTCTTATGCCATCTTGCATGCTTATGACATCACATAAATATAAAGATGGATTACAAATATGTACTTTTATCATTGCAACTACAAATGTGATTTCATTGAATGAAAGTTGAAGAAACCCATTGTGACTATTTCTGCCTTGCAATGAATGCCTTCTAGGAAAGAACTGCATGTAATAGAAGACTGTGACCTCTCAGAAGTCAGAATGGAATATTTCGTTTGGCATAAATGTAAATAAACCTCTGACGAATTAATAGATTTATACCTTCCAGGTAAATTGTTTGAGATTATATTTTGACTATCAGGTTAACTTCAATAAGATTGTATCTGATCACCATTTCTGTTCATGTAGTATACTGTAGGGTAGCCTATATTCGGAGAGCATTAATGCACCATATACGAAGATGGCTGAGCGAAATGCCCAATTCTTATTTACTCTGTGCACAGTCTAGTTAAAACCTACCCTCTGCCTAGTAAAAACCATATTACAGCTATGTAGCCCTGCCCCCACGACCTATAACCATGACAGCCTGAATCATCAATCTTTTCAAACCTACCACGCTTATCTTTTCTCAATCATTCAGTGAGCTGGAAGGAACACGCTAAATGCGTGCTAATAACGATGTGATGACGTCAGAGGTACTAATTATCATAATATAAAGAAAGTCCTCCATATTTTGACGACAAACTCTGAATGGCTCGGCGAGTTCAGAGATTTATTGTAAACTGATAGTGACAGTGAAGACGTAATTTTTTTAAGAAGCAAAGTTGAAAAAATGCAAAGGGTAATTCTTCTTTAGGGTTATGGTCAAAATATTGTAATGACCTTCGAAAGCAAGTCGCTACTACAGTCTCAGCCGTAGTGGCTAGCCTTTATGGCTCAGGGGTAGAACATCTGACTCTGAGAGCGGAAGGTCCTGGGTTCGATTCCCGTACGGAGTATTGAATTTAGCACATTGATTCTCTTTCGAGTCTAGTATCTTTCTCGGTACACTAAGACTTACTACCCCGACGAGTGTACCCAAGGGTCGTTATATTGGTGTCATAAGTGGGATTGCCCTTGTGAATCAGTTACGACGGGACGTAATGACCTTCGATAGAAAGTCGCTACTACAGTCTCAGCTGTAGTGGCTAGCCTTTATGGCTCAGGGGTAGAGCGTCTGACTCTGAGAGCGGAAGGTCCTGGGTTCGATTCCAGTACGGGGCATTGAATTTAGCACATTCTCTTTCGAGTCTAGTATCTGGCTTGGTACACTACAGCTCCCTGACAAGTGTGCCCAAGGGTCGTTACAATATCTTCAGCCATTTTCAGTTGCGGTATAAAATTGTTACCCTACCTTCCTCGTGAAATCAGGTAAGGCAAATTGTATTGATCATTACTATAGTTAAGAAACTGAGGAGCCATTCTGACAGGAACTGCATCAGATCTCACTTGCCAGTGTCATTTTATTGAAGATGCATCAACTGTTGACAAAATAACTCCAGGGACCATTGTTTACATTACCAATTATATGATTAAAATATTAGATGCTTTCGAGTTTTCATGTCATTCAAAATAAACATAAGCTGTAGCTGCAATTTTCAGGTGTTCAATTTTTCATTTTTTGAATGCTTTTTTCAAAAAAAAAATCATAAAATCAATGTTTACAAATTTCAAATGCTGTTTTCATACTTGTCTGGTAAATCGATGATATAAAATGAAGATCAATATTTTCTACGTGGTGAATTTTGGAATACTAACAATACTTACTTGTTTTGAATCTTCTTTTGACCTATAAAACAGCGGAACACCGCCACCAGCGGTCAGGCAGAGAAAATATTCAGCCATTTTGAATTTGACCTACATAATTTATTCAACGGCGTCTAGATTCACGAATTCACTTATCGATGTAAAATAAAAGTGCAAACAAATGACTTATCGGAATTTTTATTAACTTTGATGTTGCAGTAAACTTCATTCTACCTATTTCTAGCATTTTCAATTGCTCAAAGCAACTTATAATGGCGTGTAATTAAAATTCATCAATTCGTTAATTGATTCACTCCAAGACATTATTCCAGTCGCCGCTGATATATTTGCATTTTGAAGAAAGATGTGATATTTTTCGTGAGATTTATATGAAATACATCGTAGATGTATCCGAGGTAAGTGCACGATTGTGTCTGATAATACTAATAGTATGCCATGGGGAAGATTGTTTCAGTCTTTGAGGACGAGTATAAAGGGAACGGCGGGCATTATGTCAGATTTATTTCCAGATCATATTATCGCCCGTCTGTAAAATAAACAAAATGCAAATGATATGTTTTCATATATATGAGTCGGCTTATCTGGGAATGGCAGAAGAACAAAAGAAATTCAGTACAGATTTTTGTGGGTTCTCAAATATTTAAAGGTTATATACTAACCTTAGTAGTAAGTAACTAATAGTAATACGTCTAAAAGTTTGACAGTTGTTGTTTGACAGTTGGAAAGTAGACTTTATATGAGTATTTTAGAAAGAGCAGTTAGATAGCAGTGTACTGGTTGACCTGTGGTTTGGTTAAGCACATATTGTATGTGGACTTTACTTGCTCTTCTTTGTTATGCAGCATGTAGTGAAGACTTAACTAAAGTGGGATGTCTGAATATGGTGAACATTTAGAAACACAAGGCGCAACAATGGATCTCTCAAAGTCATCGACAGAAACTCAAATCTCTGTGCATCAAGGAGGATATTCACCGACCTCTTCAGAAATGATGTCATCACCTCAACCTTCATATAATACGCCACCAGTAAAAAAAAGATCAAGTGGAGAAATAGGATCGGTTTTGAGATGTACAAAATGCCCATACAGCACACGTTACTATGGAAATATATATGTCCATATCAGAAAACATACAGGTAAGGCAGTAATGTTTTATGAATGTAATCAATTAATTGTCTTAATAAATACTGTCCATTTTATTGGCATGTAAGATCAACAGAAATATTTGCTTTATTATGAAACAAGTATATACAGATGGGCGCTACTACTATTACAGTATTACTTTATATCTAAAATTAATCCAGGATATATAAAGAATGGTCGTTTATCCTATCACTGTTTAATGTAGCATATATAATTGGTTGCATCACATTAATAAATCATACTTGGTAATATTAATAGACACTGTCATGATCATTTAAAATGAATCCTGTTTATTTTGTTAAGGTCATCGTGACATAAATACATTATATTCCAGACATGATGCTTTGAAGATCAATATATGAAACAATCATATCGAGCTGAAAGTTCATTTTGTAATAGAATATTACTAATTTAGTATCACTGAGTTATGATATCCTCTCTCTATAGTTTGCAGTGACTTAATTATTTGCTATCCATATGGAAAAAAATATTAATGTCAGAGATTTCTTTTAAATAATAGTCATGAATTGTGAATTCTTAAAATGATTATTCCTGATTTGTTTTTGTTTTGTTGAGATGCTTTTCTTTAAAAGTTTGAAAAATGATAAATATAGTGACATTGATGCATTTTGAAAGTTTTATCATTACTGTAAATCATTTTGGTTTTCACTTAATATTACAATGGAATAATACTGCATGCTATTGCTAAGAAAGAATCTTAATTAATTAATTGCTTTGTCATATATATTCAGATTAAAAATCTAATATTTCATTTAACTTAACGAACTTAGCAACAAATTCCAACATTTTCTTGTAAAATCCTGTGATTTTCTTTCAAATGATCATTTAACTGTATGTCCAGTTCTTTACTTCATTCTAACAATATTCATAACTTTATCATGAGTTGTATATTTCATATTTGTTTACTATAGTAAATGAGGCAATTACAAACAACATTTATATGTCAGTCTTATGCAAGTTTTTTTAAATTGATTTAAAATATAAACTTTTGATATCATTACAGTTGAAGCATCTAGAAATTTATGCTTATGTCATTTCACTCAAATCTGAATTAAGTATGTTTTTGATATTAATTATTCTTGATATTAATATGATCAATTACATTTTTCAATTGATTTTCCCATGATTATTGACAAATCATATAATGCCTATGTACACTGTGTCTTTGGAACACAAATTTGAAAGATAATCTCTGTATAAATCAGTGATAGGAATAGATGAAGTAATTAGCCTAATATAAACTAAAATATTGTAATAAACCATGCAAAAATATTTGTTTTGCCTCCTTAAAATAGTCCTTTTCGGCTACTCAGGCAAATACTGCCTAGTATATTTCTTTCTCCATTTAATTGCTTTATTTTTTGAGTTAACTAACATAATGCCAAATCAAAACAAAATCCATATTATTTTTTGACATAAAAATTTGACATTTTTAACAAAATATTGTTTTGAACTAATTTTATGTCTCTTGAACATAGACACATATCATGTCGTTATTATTTTGATTTCGTCCTTGTAGTATCTTTAATGTTAGATTTTTTGACTATCAAATGACTAAAAAATATATTTTCCCTGTAAGGTTTAAGTGCTATTGTTTAATATATTTCTGCCATCAACTTAAATTAAATCAACTTTGTTAAAGCTTTCTTCAAGTATATTATTGGAAGAAAATTTTAAGATGCCCTAAGGATAGATATCTGGTTAATAATACAAATGTGGGTGGAATTTTTCTGATATGTAACAGACATCTGTATTGTGATTGTTATTGAAAAATCTACTTTCATCAGATATTCGTAATGCACCTGCGCTGTAATAATATGTATTTGTTGAATTATTTAAGTGCTTAAATATAATCAATATTGTTAGCAGAAACTCTTGGAATGGAATCTTTTTAGTATCATATATTTGTTCACTTCAACGTCAATGGTTTTTTCAATGAATGTGGTTATTAAATATGCAGGTGGAGTGTGGAAATAGGAAAAAGCCTAAATTCTTTTTGAATTCTTCTCCAAGAATCTATTTCACCACAAGTTAATCTGATATTTTATTACATTATTCATGGAAAAGTTCATGCCTACAAATTATATTCTCACACAAAAGTATAAAATAATGCTGTAGCGTCATACTGTATCTGCATAAATCGCTATGCCCTACTCTCAAAATTTAGAAAAGAGTTGATTTTTTAAATTGATCTGCCATGCCCCACACTTTCAATCATAAAAATGACCAATAATTTAAATTTTATTAGTCTATGATAGTCAGAATTTTATATTTCAAAACGCCCAAGAATGCTTCAAATGCAATCTCATTTTCAAATGAAACCTCCCCAAACACCCTCAAAGCATGTTCGTTTTGCTCACTCGTGGCGTACACTCACAAAATACTCACGCTACGCCACCTTCAAATATTATATATTGTAATTATTAAAATTGTTTTTTATTTTACATAGGTGAGAAACCATATTGGTGCGGAGCCTGTATGATGACGTTTAGTCAAGGTCCAATGTTAAAACAGCATATCGCAAAATACCATAATGGCGAAAAGAGCTACTACCATGTCACAAAGAGTGAAACACGTCGGGATATGTCTGCTTATTACGTACGTATAAAAGATGAAGATCTACCAAAATATGAAGACACTTTAAATAAACAACATTTTCTTGACCAAGACACATTCTCTGCAGAGAAGTCAATGAAGCCTAGTACATCTGTGATGCAGTCGAATGCTGCTATTGCTGCAGCTAACATGGCAATGGCAAAAGCTGCAGCTGCAAATTGTAATCTGAGTAACATGACAATGTTCCCAATGGCAGATGATCTCTTGAAAAGTGAGTCAGATAAAACCGAGACAGCAACGAGCCAAATTGGTAAGACCATGCTACCGAGTATCGGTTTGTTACCAGGGATGATGCCGGGGTTGTTACCGATGTGTCTTCCGTTGACGATCCCAAAACCAAGCCACCCGGTCACAACGCACAGTTCAATCCACATAAACCAGAACACCAAGACAGAGCCACCAAAGAGAGATGATGAGACCACGAATGGTGATGAAGATGGTGACATCGACACAACAAAAACCGACATCAATTACAACCCAAATCGCACCATGTTGAAGCCATCACAGTACAAAGGGAAGAACACACTTTTGAATGCTGAAAGGGATCGTTCTAATGGGACCCCCACAAAACCTGGAGAGGTTGACGAAGAGGCAGAAGATCTGGTCCAAACGCTGCTTCAGCTTGCACAGTCAGAGCTGAAAGCTAGTAAAGATAGTGTTATTAACCAGGCTGATGGTAAGCTACCCCAGCGTCCAATGTCCAATGACTACAGTCCCCCGGCTAAACGAATCCGGTCAGAATCTCACGAAAGGGACAGCAACACCCACCCTACTGATTATCCCCACACCCAACAAGGGAATCTCAACGGTGCTTTGCCGAGCAACGGGATCCACAATTCTGCGTGCCACAATCCTACCGTGGAATGTGAGCACAGTGTAAAATTGGAAGCTCTGAGACGTAACGTAATGCGTCTTATACAAACTTTGGTGCCAGATATGAACATCGCTACGATGGACATACAAGGAGACAACATAGACTCTCTCCTTCAAGACATGTTAGTTAAGGGTGCTGCCCATGGTGTCCTTTAACATTTACATCATGTTACTCCATTTATTACATTTTGCCATGGTAACAACAATATGTTGCCATAGTTACATTGAATAACAGTTCATACTCCACCATAAAACAATTGGGTGCTGAAGATCCACGTGGAGATCTGACAAAAGGTTTGTGACAAATAGGAGGAAATGTGAACTCTAGTGAACTATAAAGAGGTCCAAGAATCCAAGAAGGAGTCATCGAGCGAAATAAAAGGAATGATTCAGTCACTGAAAGTAAAATGTGCTTATACATTATAAATGCATGAAATTATACTATAAGCACAAACCATATAATTATAAGTAGCCCATATTATAACCTAACATAGACTAGGTAGAGTATAGAGTTAGTGCCATAAATGAACAGACATAGCTTCCATACTTATTACTATAGCTAGCCAAAATATATCATTTGTATATATATGTTGTGTGGTCAGTCATTTTAAGAGATCTTTATTGCCAACAGTTTTAACAACTCTCCCACTAATAATACTCTAAGAGCAGTATAGCACCACATCTGTCAAATTAAATGTAAGCAAATACTTAAAGCAATATCGTTGATAGGTGAATATTCATTTTTGAGATTAATATTTAATTATCATATATATCCATTCAGAAGCGGGATTTTATGATGACATGTGGCTTATGCTTTGATTAAACACGAATCAAGGATTGATTAACATGTTCAATATCACAGTATCAGTGTATATCTAATTGCGTGGTCAATTATTCAATCATAGTTGATATATGTTGAATCGAATGACAAATCCTTTCTTCCACTATCATTGTGATAAAAACTCATTGTATTCATTGTTTGACATTGTAAATTTTATACAATTTTTATTATTTTTAATGATCTATCAAAAATAATGTTGCATAGTTGCAATACATGAGCATGTCCAAATATTCTAAACCAGTTTTTGATAAACAGGGATCTCATGCATTTGTTTTTGGAAATGGTCAAATGTAGTCTATTGTGTTGTCACAAGACATGTGGTCACAACTCTGATTGCCATTTCATATGAATTATTTTTTGAATAATCAGTAAAGAATTTGAGATTCTTATCTGTACTTATGCTTGTGAATGGGATAGCCAAGAAGAATGTTGTATCTGATGATTCAATCTTTTGAAATTTAAACTTCATTTACATTTACTGTAGATTGGGTTAATTTGGCGCTACTTAATTTGGCGATTTTGCCAATTTTTGGCATATTGGCGGCTATTTAATTTGGCGGATATGCGAAAAAAATTTAATACAATGTTATACTTGCGCGCTGTTAGCGAATTACTATGTAAATGGGCATGTTCATTTTTTAAAAGTCCTCAAAAGTTGAGGACCACTGGCGATATTCACCACGTTTGTACATTTTTGTGAGATCATCCTTTACATTTTGCACCTCGATCGATGCTGCTACTATACATCACCTTTTCCCTGAGTATTAATGAGTGACTGACCAGTTCTAAGCCAATTTAGGAGAGACATTTTTTCATATTTTTGGAAAAAACTTAACCGGAAGTGACTTAAATACATATGTACACTGGACGAAATACCCTAGATAATTCCCGGGGATTCATTCTAAATTTTGGCGAAGATTTATATTGGCGAATTTTTCAATTTCGCCAAATTCGCCAAATTAAAGCGGGCGCCAAATTAACCCAATCTACAGTATCTCGATAAAATTAAATACAACACAGCCAAATTTTTAAATAAGAGGTATGAATGATTTTTGTATCTTACAGGGAAAGCTTTTAAGGAATCTTGAGGTTTCCCTCTCTTGAGATCAATTGGATTTTTTCCCTCAGGGAGATTGTCTTCTCCTTGAGATCATTAAGATGCTTCTCCATAAGGAGATAGCAGGAGCAGGGATGTATCTCCCACGAGGAAATGTAAATACCAGATTTGTGGTTACCTGAAATTATAAATAAAAAAACCTAAAATGTAACTCATATGACATATATTCTACTTGGGTATCCTATTCCATATTGCTACATACTCCATTGCTTAATCCTGGCTTAATGACTTAATTCAACTTAATTACTAAATGTAAACTATATTTAAGAGATATTTGTTGATCTTTTTCGACTAACTGCGATTTTTTGACTGAAATCTTTTGATTCTAAAATGCTTCCACATAATATATATTTTAGATTAACAAATATAAACAGATCTTCCAGATTTTATAATACAGCGTCAGGTGAAAATGCTAGATGTGTGTGATCCATTTGTTTTATGAATTATATTTCATGTTTTTCAGTCACTTTGACCTGGCATTTATCCGATTGATTATAAATCATGTTTATATCAATTACATAAACTGTTTATAAATTTATGTATGTTATCATATCTTATCCAATAACATGTTTTAGTTTAATTATGGTATATATAATATTATTATGTACTTGCTATTGTGTTATAATCATAGCATTGTTGTAACATGTATCAGTGTTATATACTATACATGTACATGTAGATATTTAAACAAAAGTAATTAGCAATTGATTCTCTATGAAGGCCTACATCTCTGATGAAACAACAATTTCAAAGTTGATAAGCAATAATTTAAGTGAACGTTGAAGGTATCTCAAAGACGAGAATCTTCATCTTTATGGCCATTATAAAACTTGAGACTTTGTGAAAGTTGATATTTATCGTGTTTTTGTGTAGTTAAAAAGGTATAATAACCACTACATGCAGACATCGTAATAGCCTTAAGATACATATACATGATTGAGGTTACGGTATCTTTTCATATAATATTTATATGAAAGCATATGTGAGTATTAAGATTCTATTGACCTCATATATCTCAAGAGTAAAGTACACAATATAAACTACATATGAACACACAAACACAAAAGTGCAAACAACTTTTCTCACCATATGTCGTTTTTATCTGATTCAAACTTTTAACGGTTTACATAAAATTTATTTCAGAATTTCAGTTATAAGTTTACAATAGCGAAGTAATCTCATATACCATCACCTTTTTAAAGCATTTATTGTTTACACATATTTTACACATATTTAAGTCTGAAATGTTTTCTGTTCAAAAGATCTGTCTGTCTGTAACTTTCAAAGATTCTGTAGATATCTTTGCGGTACCTCTTATTAAAGATTTCTACACATTTGAACTTTTTATAGAGTCATTTTGACATTCCCTTTATCTATATATATTCTGGGAATAGCGTTGTTTTGCCATATGGTCTAAACTTAAACATAGAATGCAAGCGTACATGAGTAATATGGCTAATAAGTAGATGCTAGGGGTCTTTATAGAGAGTCGACTGTTTCTTTTAATATATTATAGTGAATCACATAATCAATAAAAATCATGAATTCCATCCATTTTCGCTGTATGTAGTTGCATTACAATCTTAGTAAAAGATCAATTATGTGCCTGCCATATAACCAAGCAATGCAAGCATGTATAATATCACCATAGAACCCTTCCAGATTCCCCTATTGTCACAATTTTATGAGTCAAATTACAAGGAATCACAATGGGTGTGTAATGGAATAACAGTAATTAAAAAAATCACATATGTCCTATTATGTTTATTAAAATTAAATGCAAAATTGTTTAAGAATGCAAGAATTTTTTTTGTTTCAGAGACAATTTGTAAAGTTGTATGACCATTGGGCATATGTAAGGGATTATTGTATGTGTACGAAGCACTTAATAGTCATCTGCATATTCTTTGTTCTCTTTTACTTATGTAGAACAATGAAATGAAATTGTTTTTCAATGTAGAATTTTTTTAATATACTCATGCACAACCAAGCAGAACGACTTTATGTATACAATACAATAAAATGTGTAGATTCACATTTCTTTATGTATGAATTTATGATCCTTCTTTAATTCTGGAAAGAACTGTATGCCATATTTTGATTTGTTAAAGGTCACAAAATGATAATCACTATGATGGATTGATATATCCTTTGTTGCTAATTCCTGATTGAACTCTTCACTTTCAACATCAGTTACTCTTTTCAACAATAGATATTTTAAACTTATTTATTCAATTGTTTCTTCTCTAAAATTGTATAACTCAACTGATTTAAAAATATGTTTTGAAATTGTAATAGAAACTCAAATTTAGCCGAAGTTAGTTTGATCAGGATTGGGTTTAGCTTAGATATTTTGGCAACTGTGTATACACGGATTGTATGTAACCTGGTATCCTTGTATACAGTTATATGTGTAAGAAGCATGTATTTCACATATGTTATATTTACAGTAAGGTCTTAAGTACACAATGTCATTGCAGAAGGTTGAATATATAAAACAGCTTGTGTATATGGCTAGTTAGTGAGTAATACCTACCCTCTTGTTAGTCATGTAATATACACATTTACTCTTGGAAAAATATGAAGAACTTTTGTGACAAAATCATCGAACTGAAGGTACCATTCCTCATGTGCATGCATGTATTGCAGCATCTTTGGTAATTCCTTGTTATTAATGTTTTTTGCAAGAAAAGCAGTTTGAGTAATATGACATTTTTATTAGAGGGAATTGGAGAATGAGAAGAGCAGGCTACAATGTTATTAATAGGTCTTAGAATTATGCATATAATCTGTGTTCTGTGTACATGTAGTCCTGAGCATATACACCTTCATGATCTGTATGGCAGTTAACATTTTTAAGTTTAAGGTTGTGCATCATTATGAATTATATTAGTTCAGCAACCTTATAAGGGTGCAGATTTAACCGTTCGTGTTAATCAAAATTCAACTGAAATACCTTTTAACACCTAAAATTATTGCATTGAAATTGATATGTTAGATTGAATATGTCATGCTTGGGGGAACTTCATTCCACATTTATAATGTAAACGATGAAACTATTTCTTGTTATATATTTTTAACTGTTTAAAGAGATAATATTTCAGGTGTTTTGAAGATTGTAAAGTAACATGTTCACACATTTATATGTAAATGACAGTCTTTTCAACACGTCTCATGTCTCACATAGAATTTCATCTTCAGATATGAGGAATGTTTAATTGTAAAACACCACTTATTAAATTTTATCAAACAAGAAATCTTTATTCCATAAACTAAGAATAAGAAGAATAAGTGGATTCTTTGTCAGTAAACCTCCTTTGTCCTCAGTTTTATGTTTGAACACAATGCCTATATACACGGATACCACTGATACATGTTGAGTACCTATGATATAAATAGAGGTCAAAAGTTGAAAGTTCATAAAATTTCTGTGAAATGAATCTTTAATATTATGCATATGTGGATGGTTTGTAGTTCTGTTATAAACATTTAAACTGACTTTGTTCTCAGTGTTTACATATGAGTGGGGAAACTCACCTCTACATAAAATTTCACTTTATAACTATTGTGGTGCTTTGATTTTAAGCTTTACATATATCTTCAATTTATTGTCAGTTAGGAACCAGGAAATATTACTTCAATGGGTGCTATGTATAACTGAGGTGTATATACTGAAACTATGTATCTTAGTTCTTAATTGTAACCTGCTTAAATGGTTTAAAGGGGCATTGGCTGATTTCTGAATTCCTACCATTTTCAGGATATTAGAAATCAGAATGTTACTCTTTACCAATTTAATATTCTCATCACAATGTGGATGTATGATATCTAGTATTTTATTAAAGTATGGTTTACACATTATTGTAATTACTTGATTTATGTCTGAGATTTTTCGCAATCTATCTTTCTTTGCTATGATGTGATGTATCTGACTATCTGAATCTATCTCTTTGCAGAGGAGTGGGTGAAAATGCCAATAAATCAGTGTTTCATCAGTCAATCATATAGAAAAACTGAGAATGAAAATAGATTATTGAAACACTGTGAAAGGATGCATCGTAAATCATTCCATCTCACATTTCAAACAAAGCAACTATTGCAGTTATTGGATAGTCCTTACAGACATGTTTCCACATTTTCTCATAAAATTATGAAATATATGTTAGGAAAATCAGAAAAGTCATTCGTTTTATAAACTGTCAAGAATTCATTTGGAAGTTTCATATGTTAAAAGGGAGGAATTTATAATTTGTTCGATATTGGTTAAATTATAGCGAGGAATGCTGGTGGAAGAAATCTCGCAATCATCTTAAAAGGTGTACGATGTCATATAATCTGAATTACATTATTAGCAACACCCCTGCAAATATTAATGTTTTTCTGCAATGCGTCTCAGAAATCCAAGTAATATCAGAGAGATTTGAATTAGTAGTAATAAATGTGATGTAAACTTACTGACGAGCTGTAAAGATTGATCATTTTATTGTTCTGGAAGAAGGGAAATTTGGTCGATTCTTTTATCACACTTTATGGTTGCGTAATTTGAAGGAGGGGTATATGGTTATAGTAGTGATTGAATTGAAAAAACATGTAGGATTGTTTGAACGGTGAAATTATCATACTATATAATCAATAGCTATACATTCAATAGAATAATATGACATAGTCATGCCGAAGTCTTGTACATGCTGACTATGGAACATCATATTTCATCATCATTTAAGGTGCGCTATATTTGATGTTGAATTCTGATCTGTCAGGAGTTCTAACTTTTTTACAACTACAAGGAATTATGTCATTTATTCTATATGGTTTTCAGAGGTTTGATCAGTGTCCTTTCTAGGATTAAGAATACAGTGCATTTATGATTGCCTTTTTTGTTAGACCTAATCCTGCAATTCTGATTTCCAAAGGTCACCTTCATTATCATGGTTGGGCATTCAGTCACTGGCATTATATAATCTATCAAAATTGTTTTAGCTGTATCTTGCTCTCTGTTTAAAAAGTCGTCGCATTTCATTTTACTTGAAAGAGTTAAATGAAAATGGAAGGAACACACAGGGAGTTCAAACATTTATTGGCAAAAGTCTGTGAGTTGATTACCTTGTGATAAATAAAACAAAACAAGGCCAGATTCATCTTTCAAATGTCTGAACTGTTTCCTTTATCCCATTATTGAAGTCATGGTGGCCCGTGTTATGTGTCTTGCAATTAGAAGAGTATGGAATAATTTGGAATTACCTGAGGAAATGGGAAAAAAACTTATTTTTATGTATTCATCAATTGAATCTATTGTTAAATAGACATGTCCAAACAGATGTTTGTGAATTACCACTACTGAAATCTCATGAAAGGAGTTGATCTGTTTCATTTTTTATTTTATTTTAGATTGCATTTTGTCAAAGGTCCATCTTGTATTTGGGAACACAAAATATGTCTTCTTTTTTAGTAGCATTTTTACAGTGAAAAAAAAAACAACACCTGAAATTGTGGCTTGTAATAAGTTTAATTAAGAAAATCTAATGCCTGTACATATTGCTGTAATTTATGTAACTTTTCTTATTCTTTGTTTTGTATAGATTAAGTTTACTTTAATTAGTGTATATTATCAAATGTATAGGATATTTTTGTTTATATTTAGATTATGCTTTTTAAAGAAATTGTAAAATATTTAGTTTTATATTTTAGTTGATTTTTCTGACTAAGTGGCAGACATAGATTTTTATTTATGAATATTCAATATTTTTGACAAGCATTAGCAAAACAATTGGCATATGTTTTTAAACAACATATCGTTTTATATAAATTGTTTTGTTACTTAGATTTTTTGTCTAATATAAATGTTTATAACCAGAAAGTAAATCTTGGAATGTTGACCGATTTCTGTAAAACACAGAAATTTTATGTTTATAAAATATTCTTTGAAAATGTATAGAAATGATAAACATGATGTACTTAAGACACGTATGAAAGATATTTATTATTTGCATGTTTGAGAAAACAACATATAAAGACCAAATTGTGAAACAGATTTACATTGATTTTTACTTCAAGAGATTCCAATTTTGTCTATTCTTGTATTGTAAGCTGAAATCCAATTGTACACTCGAAGTAGTCAATATTAGAAAAGGGTCAGCGCCATACGCCATACGTGATATTCCAATAGACATTTATATTATACACTATATGTAGAAAATGCGAGATTGGGTATTGATTTTATTTAGAGACTCCGTAAATGTATTAAGGCTATATTAGATTGAATAAATAGAAGCTTCAGTATAACAGCAGAACCTAGTGCTTAATTTATGTATTCCCCTGTAATTAAATGCCATAGGTATTATTCTATGGTATCATATTAACCGTTATAGTCTTGATAATCACAGTATTTTATTGGAAAGGTTTGTATTCTACCGCAGTGTTGCCTTTGTTCACTAGATCGAGTATGTATGCAGACCACATGTCTCATATATATCAAGAATTCTCGTTGAATGGGACAATAGAAGAAAGAAAATACTGGTCGTCAATATAAATCAGTGCATATTATTAAGTTTATTAATTTTGATTCACATATGGCATTGAGAGATGATTTCCTCGCTATTGTTCAATTTGTATGAATTCAAATATTAAATGAGGCGAAAGTTTACATTTAGAGCCACTTTTCAGTGCTATTTAGCTGTCATAAATCCATTCATATTTGAACTTACAGCTTTTACCCACATGTTTCATGTATCATTATATTTCAGTTAGTAATAGTATGATTTTTATGTCCCCTTGTAATTGCAATTGAAGTATTACATCATAAAACACTATTGTTTTCCTCTGAATACTCTGGTTGGGGTCCTATACATTAGAATGTGAAGGGGGTTATTCTCTATTTATTGAAATAATGCACCCTTCAAAAATTTGCATGATATTCTCCTCATAAGCGGGAGGATCTGTAATTTGACACACAGTATTGTCCAAGTTGATGGAATTTTGATACAGTAATTCTTCTGGGAGTAGGGACTTTTGAAATGCATATTCCCAGTAATCTAAATTTTGAGGATGCTCAACGAGTTATTATTGCCTGATTAGTGCTCCCAGGGTGGGGAAATTGATTCACTAGGTTGTGCCCAGAATTTTTTCAAATTCCTCATCCCTTCCCACATGTGGGATCTCACGCAAACGTTTATTATTTATTTGAATAGTGTGCAATATGAGCACACTACAAGTTAGTTATTCTGATTCTTTTCAATTTTAAATAACTATGCACATTGTGAGGCCATGTTCAAAGGCATCGATTGTTCATATTTTCTCAGTACTATCATGGCTTTTCAAAAGTATTTTCTATCCTTTTATATTGTATTGTTTAAATTAATCTGAACATATAATCATTTTTTTAGAGTTGAGAGTCGCATGCCTGCATGCAGAGAACTTTGAGAAAAGTTTGGGAAATCTCAGCCCTTTCAAATCCTCCAACCCCATCTATTGAATACAAAATGTTTTAATGCACCACGCCATCTTTTTATGTTAATTCAATAATTCACTGTTATTCCAACTCTCCAAAATGATTCCAAAGATAAGTGTAAGCCCTGGAGTGTAAAAATAAAAAACTGCTGCATGAAGAATCTGTTGTCTCATGTAAAAATTCATAATTTCTCCTAATTCTTTCTGTGGACGTTTACTTGGTAATAGCAATCTTATAAAGTTATTGGAGTTTATTCAATGGTTAATCCGACTATGAACTCTATTATTACAGTAAAACCTGTCTTAATGAACACCTCTCTCTAGTGAACACCTGTCCCTAGTGGACACCCTTCTTACGCACATAGTCCACTGACTTCTGTATAAATTACCCTCTCTCTAGTGAACCCCTACCTACAGTGAACGTTTTTTCTTGGCAAAAAAATGTTCACTATACACAAGTTTTACTGTACAACTCTAATGGCTTTACTAAGTAATTGCTTCTCAGTATAATTAATGGTATTGTTCATTTATTCACAATCATTAATTATTTCATGGACCTTCTATTGTCCCAAATATAAAATTTCAAAAGAAATCCTTGATACATTTTTATGTAATGGTTTTGCTATTGAGATAAAAGATTTAGATTTTTTAAGAATAAAGGATTGGTATCGATATGGAGAACTGAATTCAACAATGTTTTTCTCTTAAACCAATCATTGAAAACATTCTGTAAAAAAAACACGATATTTTATGTAATGTTGACTGACTGACAACAATTTAATGCACAAATTATTAAGAAATGTTTTATATAACTGTTTTTGTTAACATTTTTTGTTTTTTTAGTACAATTGTTTTTGCTCCTTTCTACCAATTCTTGAGAATGAAATAAAATGTCTTTCCGAAACTTGTTGGAACAAAATAGCATATACAACATGTTTTTAGGCCTCTTAATATTATAGTTATACAAAGGAATTTTTGGTTGATTTCAAAAAAGTATGCAAAAAATTAGAACAAAAGCCCCCCATAAAAATCAAGATAAACCTTTTATTTCATTAACAAGATACTTTTTTAAAATCAACCAAAATTTCCTTTGTACAATTACAATATTGAGAGACCTAAACATGTTGTGTTTATGTCGTATTGTTCCAATGTATTGTATTGTATTCTTTATTTACCTCTTATATAAGAGAGTTACAATTGTACATTAATTGGGAGTTAATACATAAATAAGAAAATAGATAAATGAGGTTCGGAAAGATGTTTCATTTCACTCTGGAAACATGATACCAAGAACAAAACAAGTGTTTGAAGTGTTTTCTAAAACAATATAGATAAAAGTATATATTTATATTTCAAATCATATTGTTACTATTCAAAAGATGACCATTAAATTGACGATGTGTTAAATTTTTAGATTTTTTTCATGACTGGTTTAAGAGAAACGGGTGTTCAAAAAGTTCTCCATATCGATACCACTCCTTTCTTACTGCAGTTGGACTCACTCAAAAGATATTTCAACAATATCAATTTAATCTATTCACCAAATGCAACTCACTTAGTGAAAATTGCTTGCAATTATTTCACCTCTATGTTATTTGTCCTTTATTAACACATAGCAAGGTGTGTCTAATTCAAGCCAATCCGAACACAGTATTTTTTATAACTGCACTGCATTATATAACCAATAACTCGCCCAAGCTCATCCGTTGAATGGTTGAAAGAGTGACATCTTGACCCTACTGATTGAAATTGATGCTTGTGAACTAGACCCTTGCAAAAAGTTTCATTGGAAATATATTTTATGTTATTTCGAAGAAAATAGTTTGCAATGTGTGAAAAGATAGCCAAAGACATGATGCATTTGCAACAGTTGGAATAACACCTTTTTGAGGAGTGATTTGGTCCACATTGCATTGAGTCCAGGGCTTAAATTAATGTTTGAAAACACAGATGATTAATGGGAACTGAAAGTCATGGAACAAAATTCAACTACTGTGTTTGTTTTGAGTTGACAAGTCTCGCATCATTTAGTCATGCATATCAAGTTTAACCTGTGATACAAAATTACCAGAGGGTAGGTGAATGTGAGATGCCCTTGAAAGGCAATAAACTAAGCAACACAGTGGCAGATCCAGAAATTAACAGGGAGGGGCCCAAATTTAATCTGGAAAAAAAATTTGTAATACAGGGTGTTCAAAAAAAAACGCAACCCAAAGAAATCGCTATATCTTGGAAAATACTTATCCAATTGTGTTCATTTTTTCTGCGTTTTTCGTATCTTTCCAATACTAATGTCTTTTGAGCATTTGTCCAAGGCATCATGTTTTACAGCTAACTAACAACATGAGCTATACATACACAGTCTCTTCTTTCCTTCCTGAAAAAATGAACACAATTGGACTAGTATTTTCCAAGATATAGCGATTTCTTTGGGTTGCGTTTTTTTCGAACACCCTGTACATGTAATAAAGGCCCATTTTTTAAATTGGCCCAAAATATGCCCAAAAAGGCCCATTTTTTGAGGCCCTACAAAATTTTTGGGCCAAAATCTAAACAATTTTTCTGGGTCTACTAAAGGCGGCAAAAAAATTGTGCCCAAAAAAGGCCTTAGGCCCTAAAAAGTGGGTCTCTTTGGTCATTACTGGGCCATTTAAGGCCTTATTTTTAATTTTAGGCCAACTTTTGAAGAAAATGGGCCTCAAATTTTAAAATTTGGCCTATTTTTGGTTTTAGAGGCCCAAATTTTTTCTGCACAAGCACGGAAGCTTTTTTCTCAGACGGGAAATTTGGGCCCCCCTTGTTGGTTCCCAGATCCACCCCTGCCATGCCCCCCCCCTGGATTTGCCACTGCGACCCAGAGGGACAGAGCTGATTATCCAGATTACAGAGTAGTTGGACCCTGGCCTTATATCCACAAGTAAAAATATAATAGTATTTGTTACATTGGATATTTACTCTAGTTTTTACATAGTCTGTCAAACAATTTTTTTAAAATTTCGTTTCACAATATTGAATTGTGCATTCAATTGAGGTTTCAAAACGAGGCAATGACCTAGTTCCACCAAATTTAAAAATAAAAAATTAGAAAAAATTAGAATTTTATTCATTTACGTTTGATTAGGATGAACAATACAATGTTACTGACAGCATATCACGGAGATTTTATACTGAAGAGCTTCACGACTGATGGATTTGAACTAATTTAGTGTAATAAACATTTGATGGGTAATGAAAAAACTGAGATTTTTCAATAAAATTTTTCGAGTCGATTCGCAGACTGCTGTTCGGAATTGAAGCTTAACTATTATCTGAGATCAGTAAGCTTTGTAAACAGCAATAGATTTTGAGCTTCTGACCCAGTACAATGCTTTCATCAACTAGTCGAGTAAGAGGTAAGTCTGTCTATCACTTTCATTGATTCGGATATCAAAAGGGGGGAAAGTAAGCTTATCGCAACATATTTAGAGTCCATTTCACTGCTTCATTTCGTCAGTAGAACAGCAAAAATCAGAAATTGGGAGACCATTGTGCAATAATATATGGAAAAATATATTCATAATGTACATGAATGACATTTGTATATCTTGGATTGCTTCTAGTTTGGCTTATAAAGTGTGTGGCCTCTTATATTTGGATGTTTCTCTGCCATGTTATTTTCAATAAGTTTAACATGGCTGAAATTCTTCAAATTACAAGACAGCACAGCCTTATTGCACAAAAAACTAAAAAATCTGAAATATACAAATGTCATTCATGTACATTATGAATATACTTTTCCATATATTATTGCACAATGGTCTCCCAATTTCTGATTTTTGCCGTTCTACTGACGAATAGAAGCAGTGAAATGGACTCTAGTCTATAATTTTGGACACTCATATGTTGGATTATCTATTTTCTGAGGATTTAAACATGTGCATGTGTTACTTTCATACGACTGAAGAGATAATAAACGCTTAAATATAAATTTGACGTAGATATAAACGTTTTTTAAGCGTAAAATCAAAGCACAACCATTAACTTAAAAAATAAAAAAGACGATGCCGGGATTTGAACCCGGACCGTCAGAGTGACAGGCGAGCACTCTGCCACTGTACTAATCAGAGTGACAGGCGAGCACTCTGCCTCTGTTCTAACCAGGCATTAGTTATACGTGTGCATGGTTTAAGGGTACTTATTTAAACTTCTTTTTAGTTAGTCACGTGACATTCTAAATTTAGAAATCTTTGAAGAAATTTGTTTACCGGCGAACTTCTGAGTAATTGAATGAACAATCGTCAAAATAACATCTTTATCAGAGTATTTCTTCACAGTATTTGCTCCATTTGTTCATTATTGTATATTTTCTCATTAAAGCACAAAATATTACCAGGGACCCCGGGAACAACCTAAGATCTGAAGATTGCGCTTCGGAGAGAGGCGCGACTTTAAATTATTGAACCCCGGCTGGAAATTTTACAATAGTTCACGATGTTCTTGTTTCTCTCTAGCTCTTTGGACCTTTTCTAGATTGTCAATACCCATATTATAACAAGAGATTCCACACACTATTTGAGATACGCATTATGAAAGTTGACCTAATATGTAATGGCCAAATTGCTCTAATTATGTGAAGGTAGTCATGAACTACAGTCCCAATTCAAACCTATCCAAATTTGCAATTGTAAAAAATTAATTGATTTACAATAATTTTGCAATGCTCCAGATTAACTTTTTGGAATGATCAAGTTTTCTATATTTGTGATTTTGAATAGTGAGTAACTCTTACAAAATGTTCTCTAATTCAACCCATATTTGCAACCCATTTTGAAAGGATTCTCCAGTCACTGACTTGCATAATGTTAGGCCAAAAAGTGTAGATTTTGATAAATAGAACAATCTGGTCCCAAGATGTTATAGACTTTAGTTTTTCCCTTTATTTGCTGATTAAAAACATGATCAGTTGAATCTTACTTTCAGACTGTCAACACTCAATATAGTTTGGCCAAATCAAAGAAAATGCTTCTTATAAATTTTTATTTTGCACTTAGTTTCAGAGTTGACTGCTCTGGCAGAAGAGGAAGCCATTCGCATAAGCAACAGGAAAAGTTTCAGAAAGTCTCGAAGGTGTATCTCATCAATCAATGAGGAATCTGAGCCTGAAAATGAGGAGAATGATGAAAATGATATAAATGTAGAAGGTGCTAAAGAACCAACGGATCCAAAAGTTGCTGCCCAACTTGAACGCAAAGCTAAGATTGCGCAGGAATTGATTGATTCAGAGAAAACATACCAACAGCATTTAGAACTTGTTCTTAAGGTAGAATATCATTTTTCTCCATTATCAACCTTCAAATAAGCTGACATAGATGTTTTGAATTTAACTAGTACACTTAAATCAAAAATGTCAATGAAAGATGGTGTTCAGATGGTCTTTGTAACAGTGATAAAGAACTTTTTGACTGCATGTTAAATTCACCAACAGCTTCTTTCCTTCATCATTGTGATTGATGCTACTGGTGAACCAATACATTTTCAATGAATATTATATAGTGTGTTATGGTGATTGCTGCATTATTATACAGCCAAGTTCTTAATAGAAATCCTGTGGAAACCCATTCATTAGTTTTTATGTCACCACCAAAAAGTGACTTATTGTTATGGTCTCCGTTTTTTGTGATGGCGATTGGTGGGTGGCGGTTGGTGATCAGTGGGTCGCAGTTGCCGTCTGTAACAAATTCTTCCAATAACTTATGACTAAATAATAATAGACTGACTTTGACAATTTTTTTCAAAACCATCTACAAGTTTTCAGAAGTTCATGTTTGAATTTATATTCATATTTTCAAGGTCAAAAAAAGGTTAACAAAGGTAAAAAGGGTATTTTTTCAACTTGCTTCAAATTGACCAATTTTTTTTTTAAAAATCATCAGAAGTTCCAATGTGACTTAAGATTTGATAGTTGACCTTCAATGACCTTCTCAAGGTAAAAAAAGGTCAAAATGTATTTTTTCAACTTGCTTCAAATTGACCTTTTTTCAAAATCATCTACAAGTTCTCAAAAGTTCAAATCTGACTATAGATTTGACCTTCAATGACCTTCTCAAGGTCAAAGAGGTCTTTTTTCAACTTGCTTCAAATTGACCAATTTTTTCTCAAAATCATCTACAAGTTCTAAAAATTCAAACCTGACTTAGTCTCAAAAACAATTAGATACATTAATCACTGTTTATTATTTGCTTGCAGTATTTCCAAGAGCCACTTTTGAACAGCAACATGCTTCCAAGAAATGTTGTCAGTGTTATTTTTGGCAACATTGAGCAGATTATTGCTGTAAACCGAGCCCTTCATGTTCACCTGGCCCACTTAGATGTCGGAGAAGCATTCAAGCAATTGATGCCCTTCCTTAAGCTATATTCTATGTATGCAAATGGGCATGAGAGAGCACTGGCAACATTAATGGTAAGTAAGCAATTGATGCCCTTCCTTAAGCTATATTCTATGTATGCAAATGGGCATGAGAGAGCACTGGCAACATTAATGGTAAGTAAGCAATTGATGCCCTTCCTTAAGCTATATTCTATGTATGCAAATGGGCATGAGAGAGCACTGGCAACATTAATGGTAAGTAAGCAATTGATGCCCTTCCTTAAGCTATATTCTATGTATGCAAATGGGCATGAGGGAGCACTGGCAACATTTATGGTAAGTAAGCAGTTGGTGCCCTTCCTTAAGCTATATTCTATGTATGCAAATGGGCATGGGAGAGCACTGGCAACATTAATGGTAAGTAAGCAATTGATGCCCTTCCTTAAGCTATATTCTATGTATGCAAATGGGCATGAGGGAGCACTGGCAACATTAATGGTAAGTAAACAGTTGATGCCCTTCTTTAAGCTATATTCTATGTATGCAAATGGGCATGAGAGAGCACTGGCAACATTAATGGCAAGTAAGCAGTTGATGCCCTTCTTTAAGCTATATTCCATGTATGCAAATGGGCATGAGAGAGCACTGGCAACATTAATGGTAAGTAAGCAGTTGATGCCCTTCTTTAAGCTATATTCCATGTATGCAAATGGGCATGAGAGAGCACTGGCAACATTAATGGTAACTTGGTAAGTAAGCAATTGGTGCCCTTCCTTAAGCTATATTCTATGTATGCAAATGGGCATGAGAGAGCACTGGCAACATTAATGGTAAGTAAGAAGTTGATGCCCTTCCTTAAGCTATATTCTATGTATGCAAATGAGCATGAGAGAGCACTGGCAACATTAATGGTAAGTAAGCAATTGATGCCCTTCCTTAAGCTATATTCTATGTATGCAAATGGGCATGAGAGAGCACTGGCAACATTAATGGCAAGTAAGCAGTTGATGCCCTCTCTTTAGCTCTATTCTATGTTTGAGCATCAATAGCTCTGGCAACATAAATGCCATGGTAGGTTAGCTATTAAATAGTAGTATATAATTCCCCTAAAAGATGCAGCAAAATCAAATTAAATTCTCAATTCTACACAATATTTCAAAATTCCTGCAGTCCTCTACTTGACTGGGCAGTCGGCATTGCCATTGTCTAGAATGTAAAATACATTTACCTATTCTTGTTGATGTTATTCAGGAATGGGACCAGAAAAGTTCAGAATTTGCAGCATTCCGACGTAGACAGGAGGACTTACCTGAAGTGAAAGGATTGAAGTTAAATGCCCTTCTGATAACACCAGTGCAGAGAATACCCAGGTAATCCATGATCTGACATTTGAGGATTTTGTTAAAGTGGCTCAAAGTGTAGTATTGAAATTATTCCATAATGTAAACTTACATATGAAAGCTTAAAAAGACAGTAATTTTGCAAATTTTTCAAGCTTAACCAGGGTACTCAGCTTTGGTATCAGAACTCAGAACATAATGTCACACTTTTGTCCAAAAACGTAAAATAACATGTACAAAAGTCTGGTGATGGTGCATCCTAATAGATTGTTTTTAGTTTTGATATGTTATGATCAGAGATATAGGTCGAGTCCTTTTAACATGTTTAATAGCTATAGGTATGAGTCCCTTTAACATTCATTATTGTCATTCAAGCAGGCAGAAGGTTGAATTGACCAACTATTTTTCTAATATAATCACCCTGCTATTTGCTACAGCAATACTCTATTATTTATATACAAAGTTAATTACTCAATACTCAGTCCAATGACTTGGCTACATCAACTCTTGGCTGTTGTGTAGAATACAGAAATAAGAATATATTTCATTGTTGTGCAACTGACATCTATATAATACAAATACTTTTTTTCTTATGGTTAGTTAAATCTCATCTGTGCATATATTCATTTCCCCAGACAGCCACCAAACGATTTGTTTGTATCGCTACCTACCCTTTCTCATTAAACAATTTTTTTTAACTTAGAAAATATCTTACTTAAGTATGTCAAAATTTTTGTTTTTATTTCCTAATTTAATTGCCTATTTACACAAAGCAAATTTTAGAGTAACTTCAAAAGTTCATTGTATCACTCCCTGTGTTCATTACATATTTGGTATCAGTTAGAGTTATATATTGTCATTTACAGATCTATTCATTTAGAAGTATCCTTATGGCCTTATGTCTACGTATGCAATGGGGACAAAAATATAGAAAGTACATATATTTACCAAGTTCCATGCAGAGTATAAAAGTTTACACAAACAAATAAAATTATTAATTAATAATTATTAATAATTAATTAAAGTGTGTTTGTGATTTAGGTACAAGCTTATGCTGGAGGATCTGTTAAAGTTCACACCGCAAGACAGTGAAGATTACCCTGCAATTAAAGGTATGTGTTGAGCTTATGACTCTGTCATCTGATTGAAGCACTGCAGCCATTAGAAAAGTATATCTTTAGTGGTTGACATGCTTGCTTTTCCCAAAAAGTATAGGCACTGTGTTGACATGTTGTTTTTAGTTCCCATGGCACTAAGTTGTCATGTTTTTTTTAGTTCCCATGGTGAGCTTTTGTTGTTCCTGAAAATAGTTACCAACATATTTTGATTTATTACCTCATTTATTTGTACAGTACACTGTACAAATATAATTTCCAATACCCAAGTTTAAAGAGTGTCATGAGCGACCAAAAAATTATTTACTCTGGATTTCTAGATTGCGGAAAATGGAGGGAAATTTGAAATTTGGCACCTCAAAAGAGATACATTTATACAAGTATAGCTTATGACTCTGTCCCAAAAGGTAAAGGCACTGTGTTGTCATGTTGTTTTTAGTTCCCATGGTGAGCTTTTGTTGTTCCTGACAATAGTTACCAACATATTTTGATTTATTACCTCATTTAATTTGTACTGTACAAATATAATATCTTACTCTACCGAGCTGACAGAAGTTCTTGAAGAGAAAAAATCGAGGCCATTTTGACTAAACACCGTGCTGAGTATAATACGCTATATATTTGAATCAATACATAATTTATTTGTTGTTACCTTATTTTGCTCCTTCAACAGTCTGTTGTAGTAAATCAATATTCTATTAGACAACAAAACTTTTGAATTTAGATTGCAGCCATTTTAGGTCTCGCAAGATCTCGTGACTTTCGAAAGTAAAGGTCTGATACAAAATAGTCACGTGATCTTTTAGCGGCAATGCCCATGCGCATGTAAAGTACAATGTGCATGTGCATGCATGTGCAAAAGTTAAAAAATGGTGCATACCAGGTCTGGAATTTCTCCACTTTTTTTACACAACAAGTGTCACCACACATCATGAAAAGGGCAAGTTATATTCAATTATCTTCTTAAATACCATTACTTATTCCAGCGCGCCTGCTGGAAGTTGGAGAAAACCACCTCACAAAACGGTATATTTGAACGTTCCCTCAGCTAGCTTTTGAGCCAGCTGTGTTCAGTAAATAATTTCTTATGTTGATTTAAACTTGATGATATATACTACAGGGTGGCCCAAAAACCAGTACCCAAGTTTAAAGCGTTTCATGAGCGACCAAAAAATTATTCACTCTGGATTTCTAAATTGCAAAAAATGGAGGGAAATTTGGCACCTTCAAAAGAGGTACATTCATACAAGTATGGTGCATAATTCAGCAATAATACTTATTTATTTTTAATTTAATTAATTATCAACTGTGTATTACTCTTAGATGAATTTATGATGACTCAGTCTATCATTTTAGTGCAGTTGTGACTGCAATATGGAGGGAAAGGAGCATGTGGGTTATCGCAAACAATTTCAGAAGGTTATATCTTGGATTATGACTATTGTGGGAAATTTAGAAATTCCCCACTTTTTGTTATTTTTAAGGCCATTTTTATTCATAATTAGCACTTCATGTGCTGCTAGTAAGTTAAGGAGTAAACTAAGAGTAAGTGCAAATCTCAAAGAGTAACTTAGGAGTAAGCTGGGAGTAAGAGTAAGAGTAACCTTACTCTTTGCTTGTGCAGGAACCCTTGTCCTAGAATTGGTCAACCTGTAGGAGAAATAGGCCACATGGTTATGAGTCATCGGCAATTAAAGGATCTGTGATTGGCATTGTCATGGTGATTTCCCACAATGCATCACCAAATGGAGTAAACACACCAGCTTAGTCCAGCTGTAGCCAATCAGATCGCTTCCTTATGCATCTCATTAGTGGGTTGAGATAGCACATGATCTGAACACCCGATGTTAGTCTGGCTGGAGTAGTTGAAGTGTAAGGACCTGTAGTGTCATTTACAGAAGCTGGCTCAAGAAGTTGATGGAAGATTGTGATTTTCCTGGTGGAATTGATGTCAATTCAAGGAGTGTTGAACTCTCAAAAGGAGGATAGAGTTTAACCAAGTGACGGACGGAGTTTATTGGATTATTTCACACTGTTTGTGGCTGAAACAGACAGTGACACATGGATATTTAGCCATTTGGCCAGAGATGTTATTGGCGTCCAGGGAGAGCTGCTAGGGAGATTGCAGTCTAGAGGCGCTTAGAGGACGTTTGTCAGAGTTTGTGAGTGTTAATCTAGTTTTATAATTCCTTTTTGTGATAGAATTGAAAGGTTTTAACTTGATTCTTTGTAATTCAGCGTTGATGTTGGCGGTTGCATCATACAGTTCCCACAATCCCTTGAAAGCCCGCCATCTTGGATGACTTCCGGTCCACGTGTAATTCCGCCATCTTGGATGACTTCCGGTCCACGTGTAGTTCAAGTCTAATCTCACGTTTACTCCTTTGCCTTACGGTATCTACCAGTGAGCTCAGAGTACTTGTTACTCTAAGCAGAACTACCAGAGAGTAAGGCAAGAGTAATCAGTGAGTTCGGAGAGTAACCTGGACCAGAGGAGTAAATGGCAGTGGCTAGGAGTAAAGAAGAATAGCGGGAGCAAAACCTTAGCAGATGACAGACGACTAAATCACGTTTACTCCTTGGCCTTACGGTATCTACCAGTGAGCTCAGAGTACTTGTTACTCTAAGCAGAACTACCAGAGAGTAAGCTAAGAGTAATCTGTGAGAACGAGGAGTAAAGAACCGTGGTCGGGAGTAAAGAAGAGTAACCCAGGCTGAAGAAGAGTAACCCTGAGTAGAGCAGAGCAGCGAAGAGTAAAGAAGAGTAACCCAGGCTGAAGAAGAGTAACCCTGAGTAGAGCAGAGCGGCGAAGGGTAAAGAAGAGTAACCCAGGCTGAAGAAGAGTAACCCTGAGTAGAGCAGAGCGGCGAAGAGTAAAGAAGAGTAACCCAGGCTGGAGAAGAGTAACCCTGAGTAGAGCAGAGCGGCGAAGAGTAAAGAAGAGTAACCCAGGCTGGAGAAGAGTAACCCTGAGTAGAGCAGAGCGGCGAAGAGTAAAGAAGAGTAACCCAGGCTGAAGAAGAGTAGAACAGAGTAAAGCAGAGCAGAGCGGAATAAAGAGTAACCAGAGCAGAACAGAGTAAAGCAGAGCAGAGCGGAATAAAGAGTAACCAGAGCAGAACAGAGTAAAGCAGAGCAGAGCAGATAGGAGTAAAGAGTAACCAGAGCAGAGAAGATAGGAGTAAAGAGTAAGCAGAGCAGATAGGAGTAAAGAGTAACCAGAGCAGAATCTGAGTAAGCAGAGCAGATAGGAGTAAAGAGTAAACAGAGCAGAGCAGATAGGAGTAGAGAGTAACCAGAGCAGAATCCTGAGTAAGCAGGGCAGGTAGGAGTAAAGAGTAAGCAGAGCAGGGCAGATAGGAGTAAAGAGTAAGCAGAGCAGAATCCTGAGTAAGCAGGACAGATAGGAGTAAAGAGTAAGCAGAGCAGAGCAGATAGGAGTAAAGAGTAAGCAGAACAGAATCCTGAGTAAGCAGGACAGATAGGAGTAAAGAGTAAGCAGAGCAGAGCAGATAGGAGTAAAAAGAGTAAACAGAGCAGAACAGATAGGAGTAAAGAGTAAGCCGAGCAGAACAGATAGGAGTAAAGAGTAAGCAGAGCAGAATTCTGAAGAAGTAGGGAAGATAGGAGTAAAGAGTAAGCATAGCACAGCGGAAAGGAGTAAAGAGTAAGCAGAGCAGAAAGGAATAAAGAGTGAGCAGAGCAGAATAGAGTAAAGCAAAACAGAGTCAAGAGGAAGCAGAACAAACAGAGTCGAACATAAAGCACAGCAAATAGCAGAGACGAAACCAAAACAGAATAGAGAGTAAAGTCGAGTAGAGAACAACGAGAGAAGAGCAACAACACAACTTACATTTGATTATTATATGGACACTTGTGTTTTATTTGTTTAATCATAGCGTTAATAAATTATAAAAAACCTATATATTTGAATTTTGTATATAAATGTGTAACCACCTCCCCTTTCAGTGAAAGCAGTACCACCAAACCAGGTCTGCACCCACATAAAACCAGTGAGAATCCCATATTAAATAAATTGTTCGTGACCCGACCACAACCACACTACCAGAATCTGGCCAGGTCCGACACTATTTTCTGACAATGAAGACAAGTTTATCTTTTAGATCAATTCATTATCTCAATGAAAATTATGCACAGTAATAATAAATTCAAACAAACTCGGAGATATTTAACTAGCAATTAACCCATCAACACACTTTTTACCCCATTTTGAAGATGTTGACCCCATTTTCACCAAAAATGCAATCATATTTTACAATGTTTAATGCATTACTATTCTTTATTTTGATGTATCAAATAGTTCTTGAAAGAAAAACTTAATTGCATTAAGATAAGAGTTCCCCATGTTATTTCTCCATTGAAAAATCTCATGCTATCCATTGGTTTCAGTTCATTTTGGTCATCCAAATTGAATATCTTTAAAGTCCCTGGAGCAATCAAATTTTCCTTTTAGGATATCGAACATGTCTCAAAGCACATTCTAATTATGCATTCAACAATATAATAATAGGTTGCATTTTTGGTGAAAATTAGGTCAACATTTTTGAAAAAGTATGTTGATTGGTCCATTGCCCCTTCAATATCACTTAGGTCTGATTAACTAAATTATCATTATATATACTTTTCTTGAAGATAATGAATGGATCTAAAAGATACACCCATGTTCATGATCAGAAAATATTCATAATTCAAGTTAGAATCGTTTGAAATTGTTTGCGATAACCTACGTGCTCCTTTGGGAATTTTCATATTTTGATTTTTGGTCGCTCATGCACCCATGGTGTCAATTTCAGTCTCTAACTCCAGGAGAAAACAATGGTTTTTAATTAGAAGGAGTCATTTTGTTAGGAAATGATTTATCTTTAAAATGATATATAATACATGGCATGGTTTAACATTATATCATATGAATCATATATCTTTAATCTTGGGATTGTTTTTTTTGGCCCACCCTGTACACGTATATACATGTATATCTTTTATTGACTCAATAATCATGTTATATAAATGGCATATCAGTCACTACAGTGTACAAATACACATTGTTTAAAACTTGCCAAAACTTGCACCATTTTTCAAATAGACTCGTCTTGAATATACTCAGTCGACCTTTAAGAAAATAATCTTAAAAAGAACACTGTTAACATACTCATTTTAAATGCTTGAAATAAGGTATCAAAAGTCAAGCATGGTGTCAAACATTGAGTGCCTAGCTTTGTAATACTTTAATCTTGGAAAGGTTATTATCTCAACTTTTGATTATGGGACAAAAATCCTTATCTGTAGTTTCAGTGTAGTATCAGTGTCTACAAGTGTGTATAAGTAAGTGAAATATATTTTCAGCTCATCAGTTAAAAAATAGTGGTAATAGGTATGACAGGTATAAAGAATGAAAATACTTACTATGTGCCACCAAAATATGTTATATTTTCTGTAAGTTGTAAAAGTATATTACATGTATTAAAGCCATTATGCGCTGTAAGGCAACAGAACTGCATCTGTGGTCATAACAAGAATGTTTCATAATGTGTAGAACTTTTTGGTTTGACAGTGTATATTTATTTTCACTAATTTGAAGGCTATAATTGTTGTCAAAATTTGACACCAAGGTTTCCAATGTCTCAACAATAAGGTAGTAATTCACTGGCAAATTGTAGTTCCATACAATGTTCATGAGCAATGATTTGACAAGTGTTCCCAATTAGAATATATGTTGAATTTCGCAATTGTTTTCTGAAAGTATGGCTATATTATACTGTTCTCAAATTTTTGAGTAGATTACAATTATGGTATTGTTTTTCTGATTTGTGCCTCATAAAATTTAAAATGGCTGCCTAGAGCACAAATGTTTTGATATTACAAATAGTGACTGCCATTGAGGGCAATAGTGTAAATTATTTCCCTGAGGGGATATCCTCTACAATGTACATAGTAGTACATTGTAGAGGATATTCCCAAGAGGAAATCATTTACACTATTGCTCGAAATTAGGCAGTCACTATTTGTTTTATTATATACCCTATACTGACTCTTGTTCCGTTTCCTCTGCGAAGGCCAAAAAGTCTTAGAAAGCCCCCTCCCTGGGTCCATTGTTAGCATTATAAGCTGTGACATCATCAGATGCTCAACAGAAATTTTTGCCTCTGAGACTCTCACTTGACAAATTCAATCGCATTTAACACGCGGAATAGATTATCATAACACTTGAAATTACACAGACGTATTGAGCTTAGGGAATTTTATACACGTTGCTTATATTGTATCGTTCACGCACGTCTGTCATGGTGAACGGAGCTGATTTGTGTTTGTGCTCATCCTCCATTTTTATCGTACCTAACAAAAGGTACGATATTGTAGTCAGCTTGACGGGTGGCGGGCGGGCGGGCGGCGGGCGGGCGGCGTCTCACTTTTCAGCTTGTCTACAGGTTTCCAGCCAAACCATTTGAGGGATTCAACTGAAATTTTCAGGGATGTTTGTACATATCAACGTCAAGAACTGATTAGTTTTTGGGCATTCTGGGTAAATCTTAAGGTGGCCATTTTGGATTTTCCGTCCTAAAATCTTCACTTTCAAGACTTGTCTACAGGTTTCCAGCCAAACCATTTGAGGGATTCATCTGAAATTTTCAGGGATGTTTCTACATATCAACGTCAAGAACTGATCAGTTTTTGGGCATTCTGGGTAAATCTTAAGGTGGCCATTTTGGATTTTCCGTCCTAAAATCGTCACTTTCAAGACTTGTCTACAGGTTTCCAGCCAAACCATTTGAGGGATTCATCTGAAATTTTCAGGGATGTTTCTACATATCAGCGTCAAGAACTGATTAGTTTTTGGGCATTCTGGGTAAATCTTAAGGTGGCCATTTTGGATTTTCCGTCCTAAAATCTTCACTTTCAAGACTTGTCTACAGGTTTCCAGCCAAACTATTTGAGGGATTCATCTGAAATTTTCAGGGATGTTTCTACATATCAACGTCAAGAACTGATTAGTTTTTGGGCATTCTGGGTAAATCTTAAGGTGGCCATTTTGGATTTTCCATCCTAAAATCTTCACTTTCAAGACTTGTCTACAGGTTTCCAGCCAAACCATTTGAGGGATTCATCTGAAATTTTAAGGGATGTTTCTACATATCAACGTCAAGAACTGATTAGTTTTTGGGCATTCTGGGTAAATTTTAAGGTGGCCATTTTGGATTTTCCGTCCTAAAATCTTCACTTTCAATACTTGTCTACAGGTTTTCAGCCAAACCTTTTGAGGGATTCATCTGAAATTTTCAGGGATGTTTCTACATATCAACGTCAAGAACTGATTAGTTTTTGGGCATTCTGGCTAAATTTTAAGGTGGCCATTTTGGATTTTCTGTCCTAAAATCTTCACTTTCAAGACTTGTCAACAGGTTTCAGCCAAACCGTTCAAATTTTTACATATGTTACACAGTGATAAGTTCTAGAGCTGATTAAGTTTTCTGCGGCCATCTTGCTTTCTTGGTCAACAAGACCACAATGCTGTGTTTCAGGTACGATATTGTTCACGTCTGCGCAGTGATGATGTGCAGACGTTTCCAAGGGTAATAGAAGTTGCAATCGTGACATCAGCGGGCAATAGTTCAAATGTATATTCCCGCTGACGTCACATTTGAGGAAATATAACTTTCCGAGGGAAATAGTAAATCACGTGACTAGGTATTGACCAATCAGGATTAGTGTTACATATTGGGTATATAATAAGAAATTATATTCACTTCATCATGAAATATTTTTAGGCCTTTACTGTATTACCACCTTAATTTAACAATAGTAAATGTTTAAAGCTTCATTAATGAACCCTGTGGGAATTAATGGATCACAAATCAATGTATAAGAGAGTAATTTCAATGTTGATACAATATATAAAATGCAGAGAAGTGTTAATTGGTTTTAACAATAACCTTATCTAATTATTTGTATTTAATTAAAATGGCTTCATATTTGATTACTTTTGTTGAGTTTAATCACCGTTACCATGGCATAACTGTGAAGTAACGGTGGATGAAATGCGATTTTTCTAAAGGAAAAATTCCAGAACAAATTTTGAATCTTTTGATTCTTTGAATTTCACATATAAACGAGCTATGTCTGGAAGAAATTGTATTGTATTGTTTGGAATGCTGGGAATGTATATGGTTGCAGTGGAATCAGTGTTGGGTAAGTTTCATTTTACTTATTTTTCACATTTTCATACCTTAGATCTAGGAAAGCATAATTCATATGTGTTCATGTATCATACGATTATCTAAATTAGGTGAAACAATTGTCAGGTAATAGCATTCCGTTCATAGCAAATCAAATTATTTTTTGATATTATTTTGAAAAAATTGATGCATAATTTTTTTCAGTTGAAAGTCTTTTTATTGGATGTTATAAAGATAATCCAGATAATCATCCAAAAAATCGAGATATGCCTGGCCATTGGAGAGTCAGCAACATCGGAGAATGCATCATACTTTGCCATACTAGAGGTATATCAACTCATATTTTGCTCTTGTATTGTAACAATTCTTTTTTTATTGAACAATTCAATTTTATAGAACAGTCAGTGATACATGTATAGATTATTTCGCATTTCTTAAAAAAAAGATTTTTTGTGTAGAATGATTTTCTTGAAAGTGTTTAACTTATTGTGTTTACCTTCATATCATTAGTTTGTTAACAGTCCCACCACCAAAAAGGTAACTCAGGTTAAATAATAATTTGTAAAAATATGAAATTATTGCTTGATGGATAGGTTTAGTTTAACATATCCTCTGAACATTTCTGAGTAATAAATACAAGCTTTATTAAATTAACAAAATTAGATTTTCAATGTTGGTTTACGATCACATTGAATTTTGAATATTTACTCCTGTCTTACACGTTAATGAATTATATATTATAGGACGTAAATATGCTGGACTCCAGTACTTTTGGCAGTGTTTTTGTGGTAATAGCTATGGATTGTATGGAGAAGTTGATGGATGTACAGTGAAATGCGATGGTTGCGCTTCACAAATATGTGGAGGTTATGCAAGAAATTCAATCTACAATTCCACAAATGTAGCAGGTATGTAAAACATTTGTATAGATTTGTGAAGGTGACTTTCACTTCATTGCTATGGATTTCCTTTTCTCTAAATTAAAGAATCACTGTCAATTATATAAAGGAGTAAACCATTTTGGTGTTTTGGAACCATTTTTCTCTTAGATGCACCTTAATGTAAGAGTGCCACTTTAAAAAAATGTATATCTAAATGAACAAATAAATAAATATTGCATTGCTCACATTGGGAAATATAATTTATATTAATTCATATGTATACCAACCACCAGATTTGCTCACTTTTGCCTCATTAAATTAATGGGAGAATCAGACAAAGGAATTGAGAAAATTGCAAGCAATATTCACCTTCCAATGAATCCCTTACCAGCTCAAATATAATATCTCCCAAAAGATAAGTGATATGTTATCAATTGGTGAAGTTATTTAAGATTCTAATATAATATGTGAGGTCACAATGCTAGAACAATTGATTTACTGTTAAAATTCATAAATGCAAATACATGGAGTTGTTTTTCTTGTCTGTTTATCATATAAGAGAGACTATACGATATCAATTTTTAACAATGAACAGAATAAAACTTTCGCCCATATATTGCCCCATAAATCAAAAATCCCGGTCTTTATTCTTTATTACAAAGTTCAAAAATGAAGGGAAACGTTTAAATTCTCCCAAATAATTAAAATGGCAAAAATATATACAGTATAGGCAATTGTTTGCATTATTGTAAAAATCTTTATTTTTCCTCAAATAAAATTTATACTTTGGTATTTTTTAGAAAATAGACAAAACAAGGAATATCCAAAATATGCTATAATTGAAACAATTTTGTCAAGATCATGATGACAATAACGATGGATACTTGTATATTGCTATATCTGATTCTGCGTTTAATCTGATTGAAGTTTGGACAGGAAGTTTGGTATTGGTGAAGTGATGGATTTCTGAATATATTTTGCAGGAATAATTGACCAGTGTCCACCAAAAACCTCACCACCAAGTCAGACAACACCAAAGGATGAAGTAGTCACAACTGAAATGACAACATATGTATCAGAATATAATGTAACAACTGCACTGTATGTGTCAACAGAGACATTGGATGATCTGACAACAATCTCAACTGAAGCAACAGAAGTACAAAATGATGTGACAGCAGTCCTAAATGTAACAGCAGAGGTACTAAATGATGTGACAGCAGTCCAAAATGTAACAACAGACATACCAAATGATGGATCCGAATCTAGCACCTATAAGAGACCAAAGCGTTTAGTCCTAGAACCAACTGAGGCGAAATATGCAGCAGTTTTAGGAATTCCTCCATTTTTTATCATAATAGCTATCATCATAATAGTCGTTAATGCTGATCTTAGAATATTGTATAAGCATACTAGGAAGGGCTTTAATAATATCAAAAAGGGCCTTACAAATTTCAAATAATACAAGTATGATTTGTGCCAAAGATCACCCATTGTACTTTCAAAATAAGCACAAAAAGTGAAACATTGAGAATTTCTAAGAAGTGCATGTGGAGACATTGGTGGACATCTTTCGCCAATTATAAATGGAAAAAAGAGTTCAAAACCATGTAGGAAAGGAAAGATACTCAAGTCTAGGAATCCATTTTATTGTAAACGTCCCATGTAGGTTCTTTGGGCAATGTGCTCTATATTCCATAAACGATGAAAGATATCTTTGAATGATTTCTAGAGCGTGTACCATAAAGGTCACTTAGTCTTAAGTCTTGCAGAAGTTACATGGCATCAACATACATGTTACGACATGGATGATGTCCTTAATCAATGCTCTAGGGGTCTGGATAACTGCTACAATGCGAATGTTGAAGTTGTTCACTGCTCGTTCCAGCATATTTAGGGGTGTTTTGTAATTCTAAAGCATTTTTCTTTATTTTAAGGAAGGAAAAATTGTTCTACACCCCCAATACGATCAACATGGAGTCCCTTTGGATATGTGTGACAATCAAAGTAGATTCCACATGGAATCCACACTATTCCATGTGAATAAACATGGAAAAACTTTCCCAATTTCAAGTTGATCAACTTGCCTAAAATCCAAGCAGATTTCACATGAAATCCATGTGGGTTTCACAAGGATTCTAGGTGGATCCTCGAGGCACAGGTTCCATGTCGATGTAGATGGGCTCTGTATTTAATGTTTTTTGAGCAGTAAACAACTTCAACATTCTCATTACAGCAGTTCTCCAGAACTGTGGAACATGGATTGAGCATATCTTCCATTTATCAGGCATGGCTGTTGATGCCATGTACCTTTTGCAAGACTTAGACTGAGTGACCTTTGTGGTACCCCCAAAAACTTTAGACTTGCCTCTAAAACATATGAGAATATTAGCCCATGAATGCAAGATATAACTGAGATATAGCCAATGTTCCAAGGGTTCACCTTTTGGACCACCCTGTGTATTGTCAATTCTTTGCTTATTTTCCCCAAGTTGAGTAAGGTTTAGAACCTTATTGAAAGAGCTAAATAAAGTTGAACTATTGCTTGGATTGATTCGAAAATTTTCAAATTCTAAAATGATTGGCTGATTATGTTAAAATCGCTTACCAGCATTGATTGAGCTGCTTCTGTGGACAGTGCCGTTTATCCAATTCTTCAAAAATGTTTAAATCATCGTTCAATGGAAACTATACCCCATTGACTCTGTAGATTTGACATGTCCTAACGTAAATGTCATTTATCTAGTTACTTGTAAAGGATGTGGTTAAAACTGAAGACCCTTTTCATGTCTGTATGCCTATGAATGACTTGATTTCATCTATCCCACATATTTTATGAGTACCAGTATCTACAATTATTTTTGATGTCATGTTTACATATTTGAGTAAAGAGAGTATTTTTTGTAAAACATAATGATAAAATTAATTAGGAATGGATGTATAAACAAAATTATTATTTTATTGTCCAATGATTGTACATTTTACTTCAGTTTGCAAAATAAATTATTGTAGCTTTTTTGTACTTTATTTACATTAGACAGACATGGAGAATTGTTATTAATGAATGCAATAACTATGGGGTATCTTGGCTATTTTTTAAATTGAAACACTTGATTCATGTTCTAGGTAGCTTATTTCACAAGCAACAATGAACTTGCCTGCATTTTTTTCCGATGATTGACAATTTTCAATGACATCTTATAACATGTTACATAAACATCATCCCCTCTTCCTTCCTCCCTCCCTCTTCCACTTTTTGCATTTTGCCTCTGTTTACCAATCAGGGTGCCCCTCCTAATCTTAAACTAGGAATCTGCCCCTGAATAAACAAACACTGAAAAACAGCCTTATGCTATGGCTCTGATATAAATTGTATCGAGTTTATTAAGTAGTGTTTAATCTCTGCTAGAATATCTGTGGAGCATCAGTAGGTGACACATGATTTCTGATCAATAAATTCCAAAATAATTTTTAGATATTTTGAATTTTATCTGGAAAACAACAATACTATGTCTGAAGGAAATTTGATTATTATGTTGAGAATGTTAGGAATACACATGATGTATATGGTTATTGCTGAGTCAGTGCAAGGTAAGTTTCATTTGCTTAATTTTGACATTTTTTATGTTGTTGGTGTATTTTTATAAGATTAATTAAGTTGATTACATCAATGAAATGTTACATAATAGCAATTCAAAGTTAGCAATATTGCTAGAATAACAATATTCTAATGTGAAAAATCAATTTTATTTTGTAGCACTTTTAATGTTTTCTTTATTTTAGTTATTTAGAATTGTGATGCCTTCAATTATTTTTTTCAGTTGAAAGTATTTTTATTGGATGTTATAAAGATAATGGAACAGATCATCCAAAATATCGAGATATCAGATATGACTTTTTGAAAGTTAACAACATAGGAGAATGCATCAAAGATTGCCATTTTAAAGGTAAATTATTGACCTTGTATTTTTGTTATTATAATTTCACAATTTACAGTTGAAAAAAGTTGAAACAACATTATGTAGCACCGATCATGTCCATGTTCAGGGAGCAAGGTTCATGCATCCCAAATATTTTAAACAAATAAAAATGTTCAGAAAAGTAAAACTTTATGTTCAACATAGATTGGTCAGAAAATTGGATTGCTTCTTAATTTATCTTTATTCTCCATTTTAATGCAATGGAATGCATATTTAAACATTTTTTAAATGGTTGAGTCAACCAATTAATCAAAAAACCAAATCATGATAAGCATAAGTTTAGAATAGCAAAAATAAAACCAAATCAGCTTATCTTTTATATTCTGTGGTATTAGAGAATTTGAGATATAATAAAAAGGAGTAAAATGATAACATCACATCCTGCTGAAAATATTTTATTTTGTTCATTAATTTGATTAAATTACATCTCTATATATTTTTATGTCACCCCTGAATAGCTACTGTGTTTACAGATGATTCAATTTAGAAATTGATGATTATACAAAATGCTATGTTATGAATAATTTAATGATTGGTATTTTACCTATTTTTATAGACCCATGTAGGAGCATAATGTAAAACTACATATAGTAGTTTTTTGATTAATTATAACTACAACGCAGATGTCACTGAGTTCTAATGAATAAAATATTTCAACGGATACCTCATGTTAAGCGGAGATAAAGTCAAATTGACATGACAAAAGCATATTTCATCAGGAATAAAATAGGAAATACATGTACATCATAGAAATAATTCATATTCTTTGATTTAATATTTCTGATTCCTTGTCCTTCTCTTGTATGTTCTTAATGTCCATCACATCATGCTTTAACATTTATTGGGTATAAACTTTAGTAATGATACCACCTATAACATATATATGTGTTCATTGCATACTAATGCTGAATGATAAATTGAATTGAATAAAGTGAGGAACATTGTTCAGTTACTGCTTAACTACAAACAACTCAAAATGCTAGTTAGGTAGTGATTACACACATTTTAGAAGCAGGTTTTTGTGTATGTATTTTTAAATAACCAATCTATGGTTGTCAGTATTATGTGTATACACATATTCAGCAATGTTACCAATCCATACCCTGCAAATATAATTCATGTATAATTTACAGTGAAGATGAGATATATGTGCACATGTATTTTACAAATATTTAATTCTGCTGAGGTGGATACCTGTGTATCTTTCACAAGTGATATTCCAGGAGGCCTGAAGGGCTAGTGAAATATCATGTGAAAGTATTACAAGTATTCATCGAAGACACAATGGAATATTTGTTTAATTGTTGATTATTCACTGCTATATTCCTCACTCACATTAATGGAATAGCTATTGATGTCTAATTAATCATAACAATGTACTGCCGGGTATATATAAAATTATAATTACACTGGACTAAATTGGACTGGTGAATATCCTTTCATATTCAAAGGAAGTCATGTGACTTCAGGTGAACACCTCTATTTAATTTTTAGTCATGTGTAGGACATATTTTTAGTCATGTGTAGGGCCTATCAAAGAGTGAGGAATATGACAGTGATATAATAGTAATAGTAATTATTCATTTTTGATAACAGTACAACCTCCATTGACAGCTCCAAGAGCTGTATAAATCTCAAAGCAAGTAAAATTACATGTACTTTCTCAGTCAAATTTTATACAATATTTACAATCAATTTTCATATTTAATTATTATACAAAGCATTGCTATCTCATTCATGTTGTCAATCCTTTATTTATAGGGTATAAATATGCTGGCCTCCAGTACCTTTGGCAGTGCTTTTGTGGTGATGACTATGGATCATATGGAGAAGGTGATGGATGTAATTTGAAATGCGATGGTTGCGCTTCACAAATATGTGGAGGTTATGAAAGAAATTCCATCTACAACTCAACAAATGTAACAGGTATGTAAAACTGACTGTCTTCCCTTTATTGCCATGCATCCAAATTTTACTTGACTGATACTCAAACTTTGAATTGTATTGTTAGCATATTTTTTGTTCTTGATTAGACTGGTATATTGTTTATTATTATGATCTAAATATGGGATTTATTATGATAGATTATGTACAATAAAGCATTTTGAATTTATATTGTTGGACTAAAACTGTATTTTATATGAATAGATTCTTAAATCAATGCACATTGCTATTTTTAAATGATGTTTTTAAATATTTTACAGGAATAATTAACGAGTGTCCACCAATAATTCATCCAGGTTTGATAACACCAAATGATGAAGAAATCACAACTGAAATGACAGCATATGTAACTGTAGACACATTGGATAATAAAACAACAATTTCAAATGTAGCTGCAGAAGAACTAGATGTTATAACAACAACTCCAAATGTAACTGCAGAAGAACTGAATGTTATAACAACAATCCCAAATGTAACTGCAGAAGAACTGAATGTTATAACAACAACCCCAAATGTAAATGCAGAAGAACTGAATGTTATAACAACAACCCTAAATGTAACTGCAGAAGAACTGAATGTTATAACAACAACCCCAAATGTAACTGCAGAAGAACTAAATAATATGTCAGCAACAGCAAATGTAAAAATGACAATAACTGAAAATGTAACTGTAGATGCACTGAATGATATAACAACCTCAAATGTAACTGTAGAAGATATGAATGATATTACAGCAACCCCAAATGTAACTGCAGATGTGCCAGATTTCATTGTAGCAACAGGAGCACCAAATTATGAAGCTGAATCTTACACCTATAAGAGACCAAAACGTTTTGAGCCAGAACCATCTGAGGCAGAATATGCAGCTGTTTTAGGAACCCCCTTATTTTGTATCATAATAGCTATTATCTTAGTGTTTGTTAATGCAGATCTCCCTATCTTGTATAGGCACATTAGGAAGGGCTTTAGAAATATCAGAGACGTATTCAACCCAAAGTCTGCACTGAACGCTACCTAGAATTTGCATGGCATTTGTGAAACATTGAGAGTTTTTATAGAATGTGCTTTTGAAAATCCATTAATAACATGATACCTGAAAAACACTAATGTAATATAAAAAAAAAATATGAACATTTATTGTTGTTGTTGTTTTCATTATCAAAGTACATTTACAAAGATTTTTTTCGCAAAGCTTCCGAAGCAAACATTATCGGTAACTATACATATAAACATGCTACAATAAAATTAATACAGTGATTGACAGATTATGACAATACAAAAACATGTATCATGATTGAATTCATCGTTTTTGTCATTACTGCCTGTCTAGTAATACTCTAACCCTACTATCACACCAAACTAGTTCTCACTACATTCTCGAAAACGGGCTCAAACTGTGCACGAACGGATTTGACGTACTAAGAACCAACTATGAACCTTTCGGGATCTGTTTACAAACTTCATGAAACTACTAGAACGAGTAAGTCCTCCAGCATTTAGAGCATGCTCAAAATTTTCTTGTGATCGTCAAAACGTTGCCAAATCAGTTTTAAACTGTGTGCGAACTGAATGAACGTAGCTACAATGTTTTACTGTCTGTTTACGAACTTCATGGACTTTCCCGGACGGGGTATGTGATTTAGAATTTTGAATCAATTCAAAATTCGATGGCGACCATACCGTTCTGTAATCAGGTCATGATAACCTTCTAGACTAAGGGACGGTTTACACTATGTTGCACACCGACGTGATGCGACCTGAACGAACTGCGAATGAGATGGACGTATTGAAGACTGTTTATGAACGAAGTAGCTAATTATTTTAGACATATATCCCAACCGCAGCCAGATTGAGCCCGTTTTATGACATTTTCGTAGGACTGGCAAGAACGGGTAAGAACTAGTTTGGTGTGATAGGGGGGTAAAGCCCCAAAATTACATTATGCTGCATCAGTAAACCATTTAAAAGCTCACTTATAAGTGCATAAGAATTCAATGATACTCCAATGTTGATATGTTGACTGGAAAAGACTCATTTTATTCTATTTTATCTCTTAATCAGTTTTTTGCCCACTGTGACTTTATACTCAGGATGTGGTGTTCCTTTATTGAATGGTTTAATTTTCTGAAAAGTATAGGTCATTGATTTCAAGGTTTCACTCTGTGGGTGGATGTTGACCCTTTTGGTTGCCTGTGGATTTTTGGACTGAATTCTGACTGTCCCACATCATTTGATGTTATGAGTATTGGCTATAAATATTTACTTTCTTGTATTATAATGACTTCCCTTGGTATTCTGGTCCTGGATTGTGATATTGGTTCTCAGTTGGAGGGGGTATTCTGGATATTGTTTTCTTTTCATGTAATACTATATTCAATGATTCGATTGAAATACAGAAAATATTCTTCCCGAGAAGGTCGTATTTCACGATGCGCTAGCAGAGTGAAATACAGACGTTCAAGGGAAGAATATTTTCTGTATTTCACAAGAAATCATTGAATAACGTTTTTATTCCATGATTACTCACTACTCAGATAAAACTCCCCCAAATCAAGTCCATTTCCTTGGCTTGGGACCGGAGAAACAGATCAACCTTCTCACCTCAATAATATTTTACATCGATATTCCTTCTTCAAAATCTTTTCGGCCTTGTTGTTTTGCTTTTATTGTATTATACGATACGTTTGATTTTCTTCAACATTGTTCTTCAATTTCATCAGCTGGAACAGTGTAACGAAACGTTTTTTCGACTTTCGTCTGCTATATTCGATTTTTACTAGTTCATGAAAACAATGTGCATGCTTCATACTGATTTTTTATAATTACAGATGAGTGCTTTTTATCCTAAAATAATAAATTGTGGTGATCACTGTATCATTTCCTGATATTCAAATCAGATATTTCTAGCAAAATGCAAATATTAGCATGCGTTGGTGTTAACAGATCGCCATTGATTTTTTCAGTAATAGTCATATCCTGGATGGAAATCTGGGGCGTTGGGATACTGGACCGTATCCCAACGCTGACGTCATTTTCAATCTGTATTCAATGCTAAGTGGAAAGTGTGTGTAAATACAGGATATATTTAAGTCACATGGACCAATCAGATTGCGGGGAATTTCACCATCATGGAATAAATGTACATACATATGTTAATAACATGTTTTTATATACTGTATTGTATAGAGAAAGTGTAGTGTAGTTAGATGTATTTCTGTACTGACTAATTTATCATGCCATGACATCTAAAGAGTCAATAAAAGATATGCTAATTATATATCCATGTAAGTGTGTAGTTATTTATATCAAACCAATTCATGTTTTTTTATCATTTCTCATACTTTCCTTAATATTATATCTAAGGAACTGTATCCAAATGTTGAAAGTTTTGAAAAACTAGTTATTTTATTTCATTACAATTCACCACATATTGCTATACAACAAACTTTAGAAATGTTGATTTGGAATTTTCTTGAATTACAAAATCACAATTCTTAACTAATGAGATGACATTCAGAGAAACAAATTGTCATTACCCACAAAAAATTATTGGTATGACTTCACAAACATAGCTCTCGCCTCTTTTTTATATGATAGTACAGTGTAATTATCAAAAAAAAATGATGTATTTGTGTTCCACAAATCTCACAAACGTTTTGTTTCCTTCTTTGAAGATGCAGCTGGGGAGATGCAAAAGGTGGCGCTACATATCAATGAACATGTTCGCCAGCATGAAAACTTTCAAAAGATGTTAGCAATCCAGCGTAATCTGGCAGGGGAGGCAGCTCCGAAGATTCTTGCTCCTGGCAGAGTGTTTCTAAAGGAAGGGAACCTTATGAAGGTGGGATATATGTACATAGTTTCTAAATATTGTTTGCACTGATTCATTTGCATAGTTCAGGATTGTAGTTCAATGGGCTTACCTAGATTTCAACGCCTAGTTTGCAAACCTTAAGTTTGCTGTGATATATTTAGAACTTTCTATTTTTGAAAAAGTTCAATTTCTAATATGTTTGTATCATTCATCCCAGGAAAACAGACCTTAGAATTCTTTTGTTTTCCCATTTTCAGATACCCAGGAAGGGCTATGGTAAACCTCAGGAGAGAAAGTTTTACCTTTTCTCAGACATGTTGATGTATGCCAAGCCCCGCCTGCTAGAGAATGACCACAGGTCTCTAACATGTTGCTGTGTATTACCTTTGAAATACTGCGCTGTGGAGAGAACTCTAGGAGAGAAACTTTTCAAGGTATGTTCTTTGTTTTACAATGAATTATATTTAATTGACTGCTTTTTATGTAGGCATCAATGTAGGAACAATATTACTGCATGTCAAACAAAGAGTGAATATTATTATATAAGATCATATACCAAGTATTCACTCAATTGTACTTGCAGATTAGTATGATTGGATGATTCTTGTGTGTAGTTTATGGGAGTTTATAGATTTAAGATAGTGCCCAAATATATACTGAATACCATTACAGTATACCAGTGCCTAAATATATACAGTATACCATATACCAGTGCATAAATATATACAGTATACCATTACAGTATATACCTTGTGTGCCACACTTTATTTATTTGGTTGTATTAATTACAATTTTCTTTCCGCTCATTCAAACCAAAGCATTGTGAATAACACTGGTACTCCACTCAATTACGGCAGTTACCGAAACAAAATGTCAGAACCTCAAAAGTATAATTTTTCTTTGTTCCTAATTTAACGCGTTGTAGGCAGAATTCCAATGACATTTTTATCACAGACGTGTGGCAGTATACAAATAGTTCAGAAGACAACAGAATCATCTATTTAATACCTCACTATTGTAACGTAAACGGAATGGGTTAGAAGTGCAGATCTTAACTGTTTTTGAAGTACTTTCTTTTTAAGGTTTAGTTTTATTTCTTTGCATAATTTTATATAACAATATTTAACATACTACTTGTAGGAAGGCCGAGGTAAAATTACATTGTTGGCCTCCCTTTTTTGAAGTACAGTTTGCTATTATTCTATGTATTCAGGTAACATGCAGAGATGAATGTTTGCTGTTATTCTCTGAAGAGACAAAAGAAGTTGACAACTGGATGTCAGCTCTACAAGATGCCATAAGGTAAAGTTATAGGTGTATTATTTAAGGATTTAAGCCCTGGACATTGTGGACTGAATCATTCCTCTGAAGGTGTTGTTTTCAAATCTTTGCATCACCACACTGCGGGAATGAATCAGCCACAATGCATGAAGTCTTGGGCTTAAATTCTTTTCACATGTTGCAAAATATTTTCTACAAAATCACCTAAAAGATACAAAATCACTAAAAGAACATATTTTCAATAAAAGTTATTGGAAGGATCGAGTTGGCAAAGGATCAAATTCAATCTGTAGAGTCAAGTTGTCACCTTGACAACCATTCAACAAATAACCTTATATTGATTATTATATAATGCTGTGCAGTTATATGAAAAACTGTGTTCGGATTGACTGGAATTAGATAGACCTTGCCTATTGTGAAACATTTATAAGAGATAGATTTGCCACTTCATGTAGTTCGTAAATAATATAAACACCAATATCAAACAGCATTGTCCTGCAATCCACTTCACTTTAAATACACTTCTGAACTGGCTTTTGCATACCTCTATCCCAGAAGAGTCTTGTGGCTATGTGCTTGACAACTTTCCATGATTCATGTCATATTTTGAATTATTTTGAAAATGAGAATTATGCACTTGAGAAAAACAACGAACACTAACAGAACACTGGTATTTAAATGTTTTGAATTGTAATTTTATTATTTTAAGTGAGTTGAAGTGTGGCAGACAAACATTGAGGAGGTCCAGTAGCAGAGTTGAACCTATGAGGAGGCATGGATTTGTAAAACAAAAGCGCATGGACAAAAGAAAAAGCCCAAAGGTTAGAAAATAGTATAGTAGTTTTGGTGGATAGACTGATAAGACCTTGATGTGCTTTTAATTGTAACGGCTATGAGAAATTCAAGGAAATTCTACAAAATCACCTTAAAGAATCAAAATCACTAAAAGAACATATTTTAATGAAGCTTTTTGCTAAGGTCAAGTTGGCAAAGCATCAATTTCAATCCTGAGAGTCAAGTTGTCATTTTGACAACCATTCAACAATTTTCTTAAAGTCCCCGTCTAAAGTTTGAAAATATTTTTTTAAGATTCATTTACTATTTGTCAGGACTTAAAAAGTGATTTTAGAGATTTTTGAACAAAAAATTTTTTTGAAAAAAAAGTTGTGAGCATTTCATTTCTCAAATATTCAAATTTCCCGCCATTTTTCAAAAAAAGTTGAAATTTCTTAATCATCAAATATTTCTTAATGCATTTCAAAAAAGATTATATTTTTAACACCAATGCAAAGATTGAACAAAAGACACACTATTTCAATAATAAAATGTCATATTTAATGGGCCACTTCAATGTTTTAGCTTATCAAAAATATTTTGAAACATTAGTGATGTCACTAAGGTAACAAAAACTTTTTGAAAAAAATTGAATTTTTTTTTTTCGATGTCAATCTTTTCTAAATATGCTAGACTTTCATAAAAAACCAATGTTGATTGTCTAACCAAGTTAAAAGGAAGAATAAATTATGTTTTAGATATCATTGTACCATTGGTTTCTATGTGAACTAAAATTTTGAAATGCATTTTTCTCAGAACCATTTTCATGCACTGATAAGTTCATTTCTCGCTTGTTTATCAACCGATTTTCTTAATTTTTTCGGCAAAAACAATGGGAGGATGTATGTTATGCATTGGTATGAATTGTGGCTAATTAGAAGATATGAGTGACCTCTAAAAGTTGGTTTTAAATAAATTCACAAATTTTGGAACAAAAAGTCTATCAAAAACCACTTTTTGAAATTAAAAAAAAAAGTTTCACATATCACACTTTGATAACATTGGGTAAGACTACAATATAAGCCAAAGTGGTTTAAACTTTACATGGGGCCTTTAACGATTTTCTGAACTTTGGCCAAAAATTAAGTCTTCAAACAGTCAGACAGTTTCCATAATAACACTTTGTTGATGCATGATATTCATATTTCATATAATCGAAAATCTAAACAATGTTTACAAATATAACATGCTCTTGTTAGTATTATGTTACTTCTAGATCATATAGCATTTCCTCATAGCTTCTGTGCTGGTATAGTTCCAAATGTCCAAATGTATGTGTAAAGACAATTATAAAAGATTCACCATGTTTCAGAAAAAGTATTATATGTTGCTTCTGGATCATATAGCATTTCCTCATAGCTTCTATGCTGGTCTAGTTCCAAATGTATGTGTAAAGACAAATATAAAAGATTCACCATGTTTCAGAAAAAGTATTATGTTGCTTCAGGATCATATAGCATTTCCACATAGCTTCTCTGCTGGTCTAGTTCCAAATGTATGTGTAAAGACAAATATAAAAGATTCGCCATGTTTCAGAAAAAGTATTATGTTGCTTCTGGATCATATAGCATTCCCTCATAGCTTCTCTGCTGGTATAGTTCCAAATGTATGTGTAAAGACAAATATAAAAGATTCACCATGTTTCAGAAAAAGTATTATGTTGCTTCTAGATCATATGGCATTCCCTCATACCTTCTGTGCTGGTATAGTTCCAAATGTATGTGTAAAGACAAATATAAAAGATTCACCATGTTTCAGAAAAAGTATTATGTTGCTTCTAGATCATATAGCATTTCCTCATAGTTTCTCTGCTGACATAGTTCCAAATGTATGTGTAAAGACAATGTATAAAAGATTCACCATGTTTCAGAAAAAGTATTATGTTGCTTCTAGATCATATAGCATTTCCTCATAGCTTCTGTGCTGGTATAGTTCCAAATGTATGTGTAAAGACAAATATAAAAGATTCGCCATGTTTCAGAAAAAGTATTATGTTGCTTCTGGATCATATAGCATTTCCTCATAGCTTCTGTGCTGGTCTAGTTCCAAATGTATGTGTAAAGACAAATATAAAAGATTCACCATGTTTCAGAAAAAGTATTATGTTGCTTCTAGATCATATAACATTTCATCATAGCTTCTGTGCTGTTCAGTTCCAAATGTATGTGTAAAGACAATGTATAAAAGATTCACCATGTTTCAGAAAAAGTATTATGTTGCTTCTAGATCATATAGCATTTCCTCATAGCTTCTGTGCTGGTCTAGTTCCAAATGTATGTGTAAAGACAAATATAAAAGATTTGCCATGTTTCAGAAAAAGTATTATGTTGCTTCTGGATCATATAGCATTTCCTCATAGCTTCTCTGCTGGTCTAGTTCCAAATGTATGTGTAAAGACAAATATAAAAGATTCACCATGTTTCAGAAAAAGTATTATGTTGCTTCTAGATCATATAGCATTTCCTCATAGCTTCTGTGCTGGTCTAGTTCCAAATGTATGTGTAAAGACAAATATAAAAGATTCACCATGTTTCAGAAAAAGTAGTTTGTTGCTTCTAGATCATATGGCATTCCCTCATAGCTTCTGTGCTGGTCTAGTTCCAAATGTTTGTGTAAAGTCAAATATAAAAGATTCACCATGTTTCAGAAAAAGTATTATGTTGCTTCTGGATCATATGGCATTCCCTCATAGCTTCTATGCTGGTCTAGTTCCAAATGTATGTGTAAAGACAAATATAAAAGATTCACCATGTTTCAGAAAAAGTATTATGTTGCTTCTAGATCATATAGCATTCCTCATAGCTTCTGTGCTGGTTTAGTTCCAAATGTATGTGTAAAGACAAATATAAAAGATTCACCATGTTTAAGAAAAAGTATTATGTTGCTTCTGGATCATATGGCATTCCCTCATAGCTTCTATGCTGGTCTAGTTCCAAATGTATGTGTAAAGACAAATATAAAAGATTCACCATGTTTCAGAAAAAGTATTATGTTGCTTCTGGATCATATGGCATTTCCTCATAGCTTCTCGGCTGGTATAGTTCCAAATGTATGTGTAAAGACAAATATAAAAGATTCGCCATGTTTCAGAAAAAGTATTATGTTACTTCTAGATCATATGGCATTTCCTCATAGCTTCTATGCTGGTCTAGTTCCAAATGTATGTGTAAAGACAAATATAAAAGAATCGCCATGTTTCAGAAAAAGTATTATGTTGCTCCTAGATCATATAGCATTTCCTCATAGCTTCTGTGCTGGTCTAGTTCCAAATGTATGTGTAAAGACAAATATAAAAGATTCACCATGTTTCAGAAAAAGTATTATGTTGCTTCTAGATCATATAGCATTCCTCATAGCTTCTGTGCTGGTTTAGTTCCAAATGTATGTGTAAAGACAATATATAAAAGATTCACCATGTTTCAGAAAAAGTATTATGTTGCTTCTAGATCATATAGCATTCCTCATAGCTTCTGTGCTGGTTTAGTTCCAAATGTATGTGTAAAGACAATATATAAAAGATTCACCATGTTTCAGAAAAAGTATTACCGTATTCTCTGTAATTAGCGCCTAGGGCGTTTAGAAAATTGAAAATACATTATTTAGACCATTCTAATAAGCGCCCATGTATGAAAGAAATCAGAAATCCCGAGGAATTTCATGTATGGCAATTTTTCTTGACAAGAATGCATTTTCTTCAACATATTTTTATAATAATATGACAAGTGCTGTTATTGGAGAGAATACGGTAAAGATCGCTTAGACAATATTGACAGTGGTTGAAGACTATGTCTAATTTATTTCCGGCACGCCCACTTTGTCATTATCGCCGATTACCTTCAATATTTCCACTAGAGACTGCTGGATATCGATCTAAAGTTATACATTATTTCTAATTTGATGAGAGATCATCATTATTCGTGCAAAAGTCGTGTAAAAGTCGAGAAACATTAAAAAGAAACCAGAAAGTTCACGACCTTGACATGCGCAGAACATCTGCGCAGTAGCTTTTGAAATTTCTGAATGCCGATAAAGAACAATTCCTTCATTCATTATGGACTATTTGGAGACAATATTAGCATGGTATGGTGTGGGAAGCACCCATCGATAGATATGTATCGAGAGATGCATAGAATTACAAAACGCGTCGTGTTTACAGCAGTTTTAGGGTAAGTACTCTATTATCGCCCGCTCCTGGATTTTGAGAAATATTTTTTTCCTGATATATTCTTCAATTCTTGTTGATTCCACGATGTTTCTTGAACTTTGTGAAGCGGGGTGGGCGCTTATTAGAGAGTGGGCGGTAATTACAGAGAATACGGTATGTTGCTTCTAGATCATATAGCATTTCATTATAGCTTATGTGCTGGTCTAGTTCCAAATGTATGTGTAAAGACAATGTATAAAGGATTCACCATGTTTCAGAAAAAGTACTATGTTGCTTTTAGATCATATAGCATTTCCTCATAGCTTCTGTGCTGGTATAGTTCCAAATGTATGTGTAAAGACAAATATAAAAGATTCGCCATGTTTCAGAAAAAGTATTATGTTGCTTCTAGATCATATAGCATTTCCTCATAGCTTCTGTGCTGGTCTAGTTCCAAATGTATGTGTAAAGACAATGTATAAAAGATTCACCATGTTTCAGAAAAAGTACTATGTTGCTTCTAGATCATATAGCATTTCCTCATAGCTTCTGTGCTGGTCTAGTTCCAAATGTATGTGTAAAGACAAATATAAAAGATTCACCATGTTTCAGAAAAAGTATTATTATGCTTCTAGATCATATAGCATTTCATTATAGCTTATGTGCTGGTCTAGTTCCAAATGTATGTGTAAAGACAATGTATAAAAGATTCACCATGTTTCAGAAAAAGTATTATGTTGCTTCTGGATCATATAGCATTTCCTCATAGCTTCTGTGCTGGTATAGTTCCAAATGTATGTGTAAAGACAAATATAAAAGATTCGCCATGTTTCAGAAAAAGTATTATGTTGCTTCTAGATCATATAGCATTTCCTCATAGCTTCTGTGCTGGAATAGTTCCAAATGTATGTGTAAAGACAATGTATAAAAGATTCACCATGTTTCAGAAAAAGTATTATGTTGCTTCTAGATCATATAGCATTTCCTCATAGCTTCTCTGCTGGTCTAGTTCCAAATGTATGTGTAAAGACAAATATAAAAGATTCGCCATGTTTCAGAAAAAGTATTATGTTGCTTCTAGATCATATAGCATTTCCTCATAGCTTCTGTGCTGGAATAGTTCCAAATGTATGTGTAAAGACAATGTATAAAAGATTCACCATGTTTCAGAAAAAGTACTATGTTGCTTCTAGATCATATAGCATTTCCTCATAGCTTCTGTGCTGGTATAGTTCCAAATGTATGTGTAAAGACAAATATAAAAGATTCACCATGTTTCAGAAAAAGTATTATGTTGCTTTTAGATCATATAGCATTTCCTCATAGCTTCTCTGCTGGTATAGTTCCAAATATATGTGTAAAGACAAATATAAAAGATTCGCCATGTTTCAGAAAAAGTACTATGTTGCTTCTAGATCATATAGCATTTCCTCATAGCTTCTGTGCTGGTCTAGTTCCAAATGTATGTGTAAAGACAAATATAAAAGATTCGCCATGTTTCAGAAAAAGTATTATGTTGCTTCTAGATCATATAGCATTTCCTCATAGCTTCTCTGCTGGTCTAGTTCCAAATGTATGTGTAAAGACAAATATAAAAGATTCGCCATGTTTCAGAAAAAGTATTATGTTGCTTCTGGATCATATAGCATTTCCTCATAGCTTCTGTGCTGGTCTAGTTCCAAATGTATGTGTAAAGACAATTATAAAAGATTCACCATGTTTCAGAAAAAGTATTATGTTGCTTCTAGATCATATAGCATTTCCTCATAGCTTCTCTGCTGGTCTAGTTCCAAATGTATGTGTAAAGACAAATATAAAAGATTTGCCATGTTTCAGAAAAAGTATTATGTTGCTTCTGGATCATATGGCATTCCCTCATACCTTCTGTGCTGGTCTAGTTCCAAATGTATGTGTAAAGACAAATATAAAAGATTCACCATGTTTCAGAAAAAGTATTATGTTGCTTCTAGATCATATAGCATTTCCTCATAGCTTCTCTGCTGGTCTAGTTCCAAATGTATGTGTAAAGACAAATATAAAAGATTCACCATGTTTCAGGAAAAGTATTATGTTGCTTCTAGATCATATGGCATTCCCTCATAGCTTCTGTGCTGGTCTAGTTCCAAATGTATGTGTAAAGACAAATATAAAAGATTCACCATGTTTCAGAAAAGTATTATGTTGCTTCTAGATCATATAGCATTTCCTCATAGCTTCTGTGCTGGTCTAGTTCCAAATGTATGTGTAAAGACAAATATAAAAGATTCGCCATGTTTCAGAAAAAGTATTATGTTGCTTCTAGATCATATAGCATTCCTCATAGCTTCTGTGCTGGTATAGTTCCAAATGTATGTGTAAAGACAAATATAAAAGATTCACCATGTTTCAGAAAAAGTATTATGTTGCTTCTGGATCATATAGCATTTCCTCATAGCTTCTGTGCTGGTCTAGTTCCAAATGTATGTGTAAAGACAAATATAAAAGATTCACCATGTTTCAGGAAAAGTACTATGTTGCTTCTAGATCATATAGCATTTCCTCATAGCTTCTGTGCTGGTCTAGTTCCAAATGTATGTGTAAAGACAAATATAAAAGATTCACCATGTTTCAGGAAAAGTACTATGTTGCTTCTAGATCATATAGCATTTCCTCATAGCTTCTGTGCTGGTCTAGTTCCAAATGTATGTGTAAAGACAAATATAAAAGATTCACCATGTTTCAGGAAAAGTACTATGTTGCTTCTAGATCATATAGCATTCCCTCATACCTTCTGTGCTGGTCTAGTTCCAAATGTATGTGTAAAGACAATGTATAAAAGATTCACCATGTTTCAGAAAAAGTACTATGTTCCTTCTAGATCATATAGCATTTCCTCATAGCTTCTCTGCTGGTATAGTTCCAAATGTATGTGTAAAGACAAATATAAAAGATTCGCCATGTTTCAGAAAAAGTATTATGTTACTTCTAGATCATATAGCATTTCCTCATAGCTTCTGTGCTGGTCTAGTTCCAAATGTATGTGTAAAGACAAATATAAAAGATTCACCATGTTTCAGAAAAAGCTTGGGGTCTCAGAATGCACCAGAAGTCCTCTGACACCAATAAGAAGGCTCATAGCTGATAATCTGACCCCACGGAAAAAGCGTAAATTGGAATCAAAGAAGCCAACTATAGGCAGCCCTATGCAGGTAAACTATTGTTAATGCTGGGAATAAAATAGAATCTATTTTACAAATTAATGGCTGAAGAAAACAATGAAATGTTATACTCACCATGACAAGACACCTTCAACATGCATGTGTTGAGATGTTGATGTATGGTTTCATGCACTGCCATTGCCCATGTCCATCGTGCACGGTTTTTGCTATCCTGAGATGTAACACAGAGAACCAACATATAAGATTATATATTTATGTACAAGATTGACAACCATGTATGAAATATTTTCTGATAAATGTAAATTGTAATTTTAAATGAAGAAACTACATGTTCGAGTAGAAAAAGATTTGAATAAAGAAGTGTGAGAAAAAAGTACAGCCAAATTGATTCTCAGTGATGTGCATGGTGTACTCATTACTCACATGTTATTTCAGGTGTCTCATTTGGCCAGTGGAGCAACAACATTTAATACACCATCAAAATCATTAAGAATAGATTCTCCCTCTAAAAGCACAAACAGTGTGCAGATGGACAACAGCGACTGGAAATACCTCACAGCTGCAGATAGTATGGCAAAGGATACATCAAAGGCAGCTGATCGTGATGATTTTCAAAATTTTGATTTCATTGAATCTGGTCAAGAAAATTTAGGATTTGAGAAGTCTGGGTCACATTCTTGTGACCAGCCACATGGAGATTATAATATTAATGACACACCACATGAAAATATTGTAAGTGGTTCTAACACTACAAATATGTCATTTGATACATCCCAAAATGCCTCTTCTGAATTTGACACCAGTGCCTACACCCAGTCCTATGTCCGCAAAACAAAAACATTGATGCATGAATTTAATTGGACACCTGAGAAATCTGCTGAAAGCGAACATATTGAGAAATTCATTGAAGAAACCAACACACCGAGAAGACGACCTCGTCGTAGCAGTATACATGAGTACATCGACAATTATGTTATCAGTTCTACTCCAACCATGAAGAGCTCTATACCTCCAATTCTCGAGAGTCCACCTCCAATTTTAGAGAGCTCAAATGCAATTTGTCATGATCAACGGGACAACATGAGTGTTGAGTCATATTTGTCAAATGATGGTTACCCAGAACAATACGGTTCCCTCCAAGAATTTTCTGTGAATTTAGGGGATTTCCCTGGTGATATTGGGGAATTCCCAGCAACTGAGATGTACATTGATCCTTCTGAAAGTCATCTATCAGATGATGAAGAATCTTCAACCACAAGCAAGCATGATATGAGCAGGTCAAGAATTGCTAGGTAAGTTTAAATTAAGACTTAAAAGATGTAAGACCAGTGTTTGTGATAGTTATGTCAATTTTTTGTGAAGAGTTCAGTTGCGCTGACCTGATTTAAATATTGGGAGCGATCACTATGACCATGTAATCCTTTCACCCCTATTCTAAAAATATCTGAAAAATATTTTAGTATTTGATCATATATGGAAAAAGAATGATCGAGACAAGACATATAAAAGACATGTCCAAATTCATTAAAATTTTCAGATTACATATTTTCAAAAGAATTTCTGAAATAAAGTTCGAACTCTTGCATTTTTAGAAAATAGGCATGACAAGGAAATGTAAGTTAACAAGATAATGTAATGATAATCTAGTCTTATGTATTGCTGATCAGCTTCAAATGTGGGTTTAATACAGAAATTTTTTGACAAGTTTTCACATGACATCAGGTATTTGCAAGCTTTCTTGTCAACGGCTTGACTAATTTATTATAAGGGGAAAAACCCCAGAATTCAAAAATCTTCATGTAAATTGAACATAGAGGTTCATGAAGATGGGTTGATCTATGAACTCTGGGAATTTTTCTCATCTTATGCAAAGATATGTTGTTCCTCTATGAATTCTGGGAATTTTTCTCATCTTATGCAAAGATATGTTGTTCATCTGTGAATTCTGGGGTATTTTCCCTCTCCAGTAATGCTTAATGCCATGAATTTTTCTGGTGTAACCAAATTACTCATTCTGATCTCCAGCTTTAACCACAAATTGTGCTTAATACTATTTTAATGGTAAAGGAATATAGAAGATATCCTATAATTTTTGAAAAATTTCATTTTGAGTGGAGGCAAGAGTTGAGTAATATTCTGCTGTTGAAAAAAATTTAGCCTCAGAAAATCATAGGATGTCAAATTGCTTTTTGTTTGCTTTTCAGCCCTCATGAAACTTTAAAAGCTTTTTTTTATTATACAATTATAGGATATTTATTTCCTCAATTATACTTGAATTGAACCGATAAAATATGAAATTGTTACATGTTTTTATAATATACCTGTATTTAGACATCATCATTGTGTTACCAAATTCAAAACCTAACAGTAAAAGTATCAGCTTATGTATACATGTTTTATTTACATATGTAAGAACTATTTATTTAATGACCTATATACTTATACTTGCAGTTCAGCAAAGAAAACACTTAACTCGATACGACAAGCCCGCGACACAACGGTTGACCCCAAATTTGTGCCTGGCTATGGGGTCGACCTTTCTACATGCAGCATCTTCTGAAAATGTCAGCAAACAGCATAGTGCATGGCCCTATGTGGACCAGATTGAGCATAATATAAAACAGTTTCCTCAGTTATGTATGGCATGGCCCCATGTGGCCCTGACTGATGATTAAATGTTAATGATTGTAATAGTATTGAAGAGTATATGATCCGACACTCGTAGACCAGACTCTTAAAAAGAATATCCATCCATCCTTTTCATCTTTTTATAGATGGCATATTTGAAGGAACGAGTCCATGACATGACCATATAAAGCAGTAATAATGCATGGGAAAACATGTATCCCCATGTAAATGAATACTGTGTAATATCATGCATTATACACTAAACTGATTGGACAAGCAATACATGCAATAGTTCGTACACTGAACTAATTGTAGAATGATTAAATTATATGAAAATGTCCCTAATCTACAAGAACAATAGATGCTGGTAAATCTCATACACAAGGTGGAATATTTTATTGTCTTTACAGCAACACCCATGGATAGGTATGCTCATTTAGTTTTGCATTTTATGAATGAGATATACTCCACACCAAGCTGCTACGTGGGCATGGAAATTATTTTTTATATATAAAAAAAAAAAATATGTCAGTTTTTTTATCACTTCTTCTTGTATCTATTGATTTTTCAATGTGATATGAAAAAAAACAAAATATAGTGCAAAACCTCAGACGTACCTACGTATATAAATCAAAACATGGATGCAATATATTCATCGTATAAGTTTATACAGTTTGTAATTCTAAGCTTAAGTTTGTAAGCTTAATTGTAATCGGGGTGCACTCTGAATTAAATAAATATTACTTCATCAAGGTAATATGGAATTATATATATTATATCTAGTATGATATTCAGTACATGCATGGAACCTTAATCAAATGAAAATTATAAGTGCAATTAACACATCAATATTTCGAGCTTACATTAACAAAGTACATGTACCGATATATTTATGTCAAGTTCAAACATAACAGATATTTGTATATATGTACATGTAAAACCAATTAATTTATATTGTATATTACCTTTATATATTTTTCTATTAGTGTGTCTGCATTGTATTCATGTATTACATTATTAACTCTCATCATAAATATAACATTGACGGTGAAATCTTAGAGCAGCAATTAAACGGAGCACAGAAAGGGTGCTCTTTTTGGCCAACATGAGAGAAAAAGTTGTTTTTGGAAAAAATTAATGGTACATAGTAAAATGACAATGTATGTGTTGAAATACGCAAATCTAAGTTGAAATACTACATATTCATTTATTGGTAGAGTCACATGTTAGAATACTTGAATGAAATGTTTCCAGAAATAATACGGTTTAAAACAGTGTATATCATTTCAGTTCTTGTACAGAATACAATGCACCAATGTCAGATTGAACTGAGAGCATTTGGAATGCGAGATAATGTATTGTTTGATTTTCAATAAGTCAATCTGAAGAATATGTTTTGGATGTTCAAAAATCTCAGAATGCAATATTCTAGTTTCAAATATGAGTTTCTTTCTCACATGAGGAAACTTTAATTGAGAAAGTGAGATTGACATTGCCATGAGAAATATTAGATCCAGTACTTTAAAAATGAGTAACATGGACTTGTATTCATAATATACACTACTGAGATTATTCTTACTTTTCTTCTCACTTTTTTTATGATATTCATACTCTGTGATGCGGTATAATGTATTTATTGTAACATGTTAGGTTAATAGTTTGTTCAGTATAAAACTGTAATATTAAGAATTGCAGTTAGGATAAGCAGAGTAGAATGCCTTATTAAAAAGATATACAAGTTACAGATAATGTTTTGAAAATATGTGTACTTTGATTGAAACGCTATTCTTGATCATTTTCTGAACGTAAGAGACACATTATCAGGTTCTTTGAAAATACTGTTCAAGATTGTACTTTTCAACCAACCATTGCTATACATGTTCTGTCATCATGTTCAATCATATCCCAAAGTTGAACAATTCTGTCTACCTTAACTGTCTTATTAAGATCATCCAAAATATCTGAGTTAAGTTTCATTGGGAGCTCTATGTGTGATTTGATAATATTGAGTTTAATTTTTATACTTCTTGTTGAGCTGTATACATACATATTTGTAGAACATGTAAATTAATGGTAGAATTTCATGTTTATTTTTATAAAATTTGATGTAAACCATTTTTAGCTGTTATATTGTACTGAAATATTATGTTAACTTTCATACTATAACCTGTTGATAAATCTGACTTTAATTATGCAGGAATCTACAAATGAATATTCCCCAAATGTCTATACATTCCTAAAATAAACCTAAATGCTAATCAAATATTCTATTGTTTTGTAACTATGTTGGCTTGGAATTTAATTTGGGAGACGATTGTCACCTGGTTAGCTTAAGTTAATGTCACCTTAAAGGCTACATTTGAGTCACACTAAAAATGTCACCTTAAAGGTCACATTGATGACATAACAAGCTGAGTGTGACAGTAACTAAATAATGCCAATATTTCTTTCATGAATAGGACTTTTGGGAAATTTAATCTTATTTTAATCTCAAAATGTCAACTTTTAAGCAAACACATCCACATGTAAGTAGAAAATATTGTCAAAAAGAAACATATTGTATTTCATCCTAGAATTTATCAATCAAAGTATTCTTGCAACCGCATTCTCTTGTATAGGGATCTGCAATCATCAAATAAGACAACCATTGGTTTGTATAATAAATTTTATTTTCTTATAATTTTTGTATGACATATGCCAGCCTCATATTAATAATATAGTAATAGATGAACATCGTTGGCTTACAAAATCTACATAACTTAAGCATGCACTTAGGGTGGCCTATATGATGGATGATTTTCAATAATATGATGTCCAGTCAAGACCAACTATAGCTAATTGTATAAGCATTTGGGGGTTTACAACTTCCAAAGAATTCATAATATTTTTACACAATTTATTTATGATTTATATACAGTGCACAAAATGAATGTGATACACATTCTGAATTGCTAATGAAAACTATATCTAAAAGTAGTTGGTGAGACACAAATCTACTTGAACAAGGTTTCGTTTGAGAAAAACTGCAAAGAACCCCAGGCAAAAACTGCAGAATCTAGTGTGACATCATTTCAATAAACATTAAGTTATTCTCTGAACATTCAGGTTTACATGACATGCATGTCATTTAAACCAATGTTTTATATTTGAGACATTTCCAATCATCAAATTTCTTCTGCATTTTGTGTACAATTTTTTCTGCTTACTCTGGTAATGCATTTTCATGCAAAATCTAGGATCTCAGATTCATTTGTGTAAATACACTGTAGTGCATTTGTATCTGAATTCAGCCATAAACTAGAAATCATTTGCACCAATCCCTTTTACTGGTATATATAAGGGTCATGAACAGAAACTGTGTAAAGTTACGAATTCATAAATCAATTGTAACCATGGATATAATGATGTCACACTAAGGGAACAATGGTATCCTTGGTATTAGAAATTACATTTTTATGAAAAATTAAGGCCATTTTGAATTTCAGTGGCCATCTTCATTCGGTGGGATAATAATGTCTAGATAACATGATATGACATATTTGAAAAGATGTTAACCCTAAATGCCCATACATGATAAAATGGTATTGATTGGACATCATACTGTAGGGATCTATATGAATACAAGGCCACTTAACACTCTAAGACAGCATATTTTCTCACAGCTATAGCACAAAGCAACACAAAATTATTATTCAAATCACTAAATATATATTTCCAAATACTTATTTTAATTTGGGTCTCATAATGATATCAATTTGTTAAAGTTCCTGTAATAGTTAACTGAAAGATCTTTGTAAAGAGTGCTTATTTGCATTCAGAGAAAATTAATTTAATAGACAATATATTTTATTAACACTGACTAGATTAACATGTTAACACTGACTACACCAGCATCTTAAAACTGACAGATCATATCCAAAAAAAGAAATTGCCCCAAAAATAATTGTTTGGCATGTTTTCATTTAGAGATGATATTTGATAAAACATTAAATGAAGAATACCTAGAACATGTTCTTGTTCTTATACCAAATTCCTGTTTTATCCCTTATAATATAAGATAATTAATATTGATTTAAGGGATGTATTTACACAAACAAGATAATAATAAGACAAGCATGTAAACACTGACTTGACTAACGTGTGAATACTGACTTGACTAACATGTCCAACACTGAAAGAACCAATATGTTAACACAGACTTAACTTTGACTAAACTAACATTTTAGTTCTGACTTGACTAAAATGGTTAACTATGACAGGACCAATATGTTAACAATGACAAGACCAATATGTTAACAGTCACATGATTAAAACTGTCAGAACTAGTGACTGTTCACAATGACAAGACTAGCATGTTAACACTGACATTGTTATTTGTGACTTTTCTTCACTCACTAGTACTATATATCAGTCTCATTTTCATTAGATATCTACATATTCAGATATAAGTAATCAAGTGATCATTGATATGTCACTTGCAACATCTGTATTATTTGATGATATTCAATATCCCATTGTACATATACAAAATACTCTTAACGTGATCAAGTATAAAATTATCCAACACTTCACTCATTGACATTCTTCAACATATACACTTATAAAGGCGTGAACAATGAACACATATCACTCCTCCCAGTTTTTAATTTACAGAAGCACCCTGACTGGATTTACCTTAGCCCACAGATTTTGTAACATATTAAATTTCTCACAGAATTAATTGACATAATTTATGAAATCATCTGCAAGCGTATGGTTTCAGTTGGTCTATTTTCTGATAGGATCTATTCCTTCAGTGTACAAAGACTACTACTGTAAGTGAGTGGCTGTGCTTTGAGCATTATCAGCCACATTGGGACTTCACCCAAAAAAAGCCTCAAAGATATTTCAATTTGCTTAATGTTATTTTACTTGCTTGATGAGATTACTTCTATGACTGAACAAATGACTTCTACACTATTCTTGCCATATTTGCCTCATTTTCACCTAAGCCTGTAGAGAAATCCTGCAAAATTCATGTGGAATTGGAGTTTCTTCCTTGCAGAATCCATTATTACAACTTGTATGTGGAAAACTGGAGGAGTGATGAAGTCTTAACATCATATTAGTTATTCAGTTCTCTGAGAATTTTATTCTTTGTGATCATTTTTATCATACATTTTTCTCACACTGTTTCATGTTGTAATTCGGTAACCAGTCTATGAACATCCATTTTTTGTCATTTTTATGACTTTTACATCCATTATTGATAATATAGCTTCTATTTCATCCACATAAATGTATATTTTGCGTACAGCATCTTCATATACGTCTGACGTAAGTATAAAGATTTTGTTTTACTTCTCATATTGACATGTCTTACATAACATTGCCACATGTTCTCATTGCACTTTTTTCTCTGGCGTAGTCTTTTCCTCATTGGTGTGTGATGTGTCCTGGTTTATAGACGGTGAGGTCATATTGACCTTGTGGATGTGCCTGTGTAGGTTATCTCCAAGCATGAAGTAATAAGTAAAACTGATGCTGGCAAAAATAAGACGGAGGAACAACCATTTCCAGGAAGTATAGCCATTGCTACCGACTACCAACAGACCCCATATACTCACTGTAAACAGAGAATAAAACACATTTAGATACAGTCACATCATAAACTAATTGTACCCATAATATTTCAAATGCTAATGAAATAAGAATACAAAAACTTAGACTGACAACAGAAATATAAACCACAGATTTCAGTTTTAGTTTCAGCATTATTTTCAACATTAGCACAATTATTCGGATGTCTAGAATTATTCATTATTATTCAATATGACATTATGAATGACTAAAATTGAGTTTTAATAAATTAGTTATCAATTAATAAAAATAAAGAGTATAAAAACAAACAAAAAAACAACAAAAATGGAAAAGTATTTTGACTAAGCAGAGTGCAGCCATATCAAAAAATGTGTGAAGTACCATAATGCAGTCATAAGTGGGCATCTACTAAAATTACAAAAAAAAGAAGGGGCATGCCCAGAAACCCTTGCGTGCACATAACATAGATCCTGCATCCCATTTTTACAGTACATAAAGCTGCATGCGCCTCTTCATTGCAGATTCCATGAGTATATACAGTACATAGTTCTTGGGGTAAAGTAAATTGTGTGCCATAATCATTGGTATGTAATCTTTTAAAATGAATTCTATAACAAGATTCAACTGAAGGGGGGGATGTTCTTTCCTCTGTGTGTTAATGCTATCTAGTGTGCATAATACAATATCGCATGTTAATGTAGTATGTGCCTCATCACTATTTAATAACTTATAATTGCTTATGTGCTTATACATATACCACAGGAATAATGATAAAATACCCATATCCAAGTTAATAAAGGATCAAATGTGCAAAATATGCAGTGTGTAGAGATAAAAAATACAAATGTATAAATTAAATAAATTAAAAAAATAAAAAGTTGAACATCTACTTAATAACAAAAAATGAGTGTTCATTTGGAGTTTATTGATTATTTCAAGGAGGAATTGCAACAAAATGTATCGAACCTTTTTTGAAAATCCTACGATCGATGGGGATGCATTTTTGAAGATAGTATGGGCAAAAAACCTCCCTCCATGGATGTATAGAAATACAACGTAACACATAAGCAACTTAGCCGAACAACCTCACAGATGAGCGCTGTACCATTAAATAGACCGCTGTAAAACGGGCATACTGAAAGGCAAAAGAATCATGGGTAGGATTGCATTATGGGTAATAAGTACTGTATTTACAATTACAATAGAAATGCGTGATGGATAATTTAGTTCACCTGACAAGAGTCGAAAACATGCGAGGAAACAAATTAACAAAACAAGACTGAAGATTTTAACTGAATAGAGAGAAATGAGCGTACAGGACATAAGAATATGTCTCAAATTTCTTCAAATAATTAAATAATTGCTTGAAGGCATACACCTGCCAAAACACATTCTTGGGAGGACAAAGAAACAAAATATGCAAACCTCAGAAAATCATTTATGAGAATAAATTGATAAAGCAAAACTAAAGCATGAAAGATAGAAGGAATTCTAATTGGTTTCCATCTTAAAAAATAAAGTAGTAGTATATCCATATTTATACCACTCTAAGTCCGATTACAGTTGTATAACATTGGTCTATAACAACGATATACAGTGGAGAGTGGTATATCGTCATCGTATACAACTCCTCCGTATACACTCCAGCGTATACCACTGTAGAAGTGCATTCTGGGAACTAATGAATAAAAAAAATCATGAAAATTTTCATGATTTCCTAGAATCAAGTGACGTCATAAATGGTTCGAGATCAACATCAGCATTATTGAGTTGGCTATGGGATATTTTTATGGTTTTTAATCGTTATGATTGTGTTCGAATCAACTGTAATTGAACTTAGAGTGGCATAATAAGATTATATAATGGTTCATTCTGCATATCGTGCATTTTATACTCTCGTGAGAATATAATATATTCACTCGTTCGCTACGCTCACTTGTGAATATATCATATACTCACTCGAGTATAAAAACGATATACAGAAAGAACCATTATATAACCTCATAATATTTCTTTATCAATATGGCTTAAACTTATTATCATAGTTTGGGTTTAAAAATTGTTTTAAAAATGATATAAAAATCTACTAAGGGTGCCATTTTAAATTTTAATGATTCCAAAATGGCCGCCACAATAAACAATGACAGTAATAGAAGAAGACACATGATCTACCATACTTCTTGATGTGGAATCGATTCAATCCTTTCATAATCACATGAAAACTCATCATACATTATTAACTTTAATAATAATAGCAACTAAATGCAATCATTTTCCTACATGTAAGTATGGTATTGTATGATATCTGACATTTGCTTCTATGTCTGTCATGCGAAAGTAAGTTGTTTAATACGCCATTTTGAATTAAAATTACGGCAATATGACATCTTATTTAAGTAAATTGACAAATCCCATAGTGATATTAAAATAACGATATAGCGATATTATATAATAATAATATGTTCAGGAACCACTGACATTTTTACATTTTTTAACATGCAATTTTTACGAATTGTCTATTTACCTCATGAATATTGTGTTACAAGTCTGAGTGTATATTATCTACAGATTTCATACTAAAAACACTAGAGGACTTTTACTCTTTTAAATCAAGTTTCGAGACATCAAATGTTATTATCCCAGCTTACTCCAAAACAGACAGACTATAACCATTTTTTGGGGTCACATGGTAAAAATCTATGCTAATAATCAGCAAGAATGTGATATTCTGACAACAAATGAGCAAATTTCTTCAAATTGTCACAATAACACACTTTAAGTTGAAATCAGGCAGCTACTTGTAACTCTTCACCTAATGGCCCTATATAATCAGCGGTCAACTGTCCAAATTATTAAGTGGTTACTAATGCGTTCAACAGAGCAAGTAGGGCACCTTAAACTTATAAGAAATAAACTTAGAAATCTTTATATAAAAGCAGGTGATTTTTGAAGCGATTAGTAAGTGAATGTAAATTTAGCCTGTTGCTATAGTTACTATGCTAGTTTTATTCTGTTGGCATAATTACTTTTCACCTGTATTCCTTACCCAGAGTCTGCACTGTAAAATAGATGGCACTTGCCAGCAATGACCACCGTATGACATCTTTATCATTTGAATGTAAAGTACTCCAGAATATAACAGATAAACCTGAAAGCAAACAAAATGAATCAATATCAAAACAAAAAGACTAATGATGTTTCAGGAATGTAAACAGCAAGGATACCCCATATCCAAAACCTTCAATCCTCATGTATCCATTGGCAAATAAACATATCGCTAAAACTAAATATACTTGAGGAACATGTTTATAGATCAATAGGGTAGAAAAAAAATTCTATCAACATCTAAAACCAGAACAACGGCAACGCCAAAGCGTAGCGAATCCCATCGAACAGCCATGGATGGCATTTTTACAAACAAAGTATATAGCAAAAATGGCAGCCATTTTTCAAAATGGCCGCCTTCTACCAAAAGTGTCATTAGACCATGTGCCATGCTTATAGTATTAACATACCAAATATGAACAAAATCGCTCCACTACTTTTCAAGTTACAGTAAAATACGTTAAAATGGCAGCCATTTTTCAAATTTTTGCTCCACTACTTTTCGTGTTAAAGTAGAATATGTTAAAATCGAGGCCATTTTTCCAAATTTTTTTCAAAATGGCCGCCTTCTACCAAAAGTGTCATAGGACAGTGTGTCATGCTTATAGTATTCACATACCAAATATGAACAAAATCGCTTCACTACTTTTCGAGTTATAGTAAAATACGTTAAAATGGCGGCCATTTTTCAAATTTTTTTTCAAAATGGTCGCCTTCTACCAAAAGTGTCATAGGACAGTGTGTCATGCTTATAGTATTCACATACCAAATATGAACAAAATCGCTCCACTACTTTTCGAGTTATAGTAAAATACGTTAAAATGGTGGCCATTTTTCAAAATGGCGGCCATTTTTCAAAATGGGCGCCTTCTACCAAAAGTGTCTTTAGACAGTGTGCAATGTTTATAGTATTCATATACCAAATATGAACAAAATCGCTCCACTACTTTTCGAGTTACAGCAAAAATCGTAAAATAACGATTAAAGGCCGCCATTTTTCAAGATGGCTGCCATGTGCTTCTTTAATATCTACATTTCTAGCTTTATTAATGTCCTATATAATTTTTTTACATCTAAAACATATTGCTATTACAGTTTTACATATTGCACCTAAATTACTGTAAATTCGGCTCCAAAATGGCCGCCATTTTGAAGTGAGTGGCCATTTTGAAAATCGGCTTTCGAGCAGAACTTCTACCCCCATAGGGTATATGTGTACAAAATATGAACAAAATCGGGGCAACGGTATTTGAGTTATTGCCCGGACGGACGGACGGACGGACGGAGGGACGTACATACGGTAGTGGTGCAACTCACAAGAAAAATGCTACTCGAGTAGAAAGTGTGAAAATGCCACTGTAATCGAGTACCACTCGCAAAAATGAGGGAAAAATTTAAAAAAATAAAAAACTCACCTAGTCAACTGTTTGAAGACCAAATAGACACAATTTCTTCGTTTCTTCTATATGTTATTGATGTTATATATAGTTTGGAACAATTTAGTGAGAATAAATGTAGTTATTCATGCCATAATTGTGTTTGTTTGTTTGTTTGTTTTTAAATATTTTCATTTTGTTTCCGGAATCGATACTTTGTTTCGTTCAGTGCATCCAAAAATGATCATTCCCGGGGTATGAGATCGTTGTTTGGGAATTCAATGCCTACTCGAGTTTGAAAAAACGTACTCGAGTAACTATCTTGGACAGGTTAAACGAGTGAGTGGCGAGTACTGGCATTCGAGTTGCACCACTAATGTACGGACGGACGGACGGAGGCGTTTCCTATATCCCTCCGAACTTCGTTCGATGGGATAATTAGAAGATATGGGGGCTGATAAAACCATTCACAATTTTCCAAGTAATGTTCTGCTTTTAATTCTAATATGATATCTTATGAAATATATAATATACAGGGTGCCCAGTAAGTATTTTTGCGATTACAATACAACGTCTATGTAAAGTGTAGAGATTTTACTTTATACTATAATATTTTATTACTTTATAATATTCCTGGTTTTGAAAGATCCATCAAAATCTTACATAAAGCCTTGTATTCCTAGGCTGACCTCTCTGAGAGTTATAGAATGGTGAGGGGTTGGCGGTACATTGATTTGAAGCAAGATAACTCAATACTTACTTAGTAATGTTGCACCATAGAGCCTTATAGGTAAAGTTATACCAGTTGTGGCGGATTCTAGTGACAGATCAAATAGGCTGCAGGGAAATATGAGAGCCTACAACAAAAATATGATCAATTTTTCTTCTACAATTACTCAATGAATTGAATGTGATATCCCTATATATGAAACTCAACACTATCATGACAAATATGGAAATGTACTGTAAAAGATATAGGTGTACATATTGAATATATTTTTCATTCTGTAATGATTTATTTTTTGAAATTCACACTTTCTATGTTTTTTCTTGATGTTTCTAACTTTTCATGTTTTGATAGTTAAAATTTCAGGTTCAAAATGTAAAACATTCCTGAAGTAAAATCAAAATTACAAGAACTTATTGTCCTTTATTAGAACTATACTATTGAAGAAAACCATCACACCCACCATACCCTATATTCAGTGCAAAAAACATTATTATTGATTTGTTGACAGATATATAATATTTTTATTCATGATATTTTTGTCTTAATGTTTCAAATGCTTTTCTAAAGAGCTTTTATGTCATAACTATTCCATTTGAATTCTCCCACGAATAAACAAGAGAGGTCCTTACCCATAAGGCAACAAAGGCAAACATGAGACCTGTTACCAACTGCCATATTCTTAGTCCCTTTGGTAATTTAACGTATAATTGTTCACTGTGGCCTAATATCTGACTCAGCTGAAAAACATAGTTAAAAACCCTTTAGTGTCAGTTAAGCAGCCTGGGAAATATGCAGTGAAGTGAATTGATAATAATTTTTATTTCTAATTCAAATCATATTTGACTAGATCTACAGATTTGATTTTCAGCAATGATTTAGTGCCAGTTTAAGCATTGAAACAACGCTGTAAATTATCAGTGGTGACATCACTAAATCAGTGCTCATTTAATTTGTATATCAGTGGAAGGGGTACATAATATACCATATTTGAGGCATATTTAAGGCTCATTCATTCTTTCCTAGGCTGAAGTGAGATGGACATTAGTGGGGGAGGGGGTGTATAATAGGTCATATCTTATATACATATCCTATGCATACCTTAGATCTGTGAACATCTCCATCATCTGTCTCCCCAACACCTAGAAGTTTCCGAGTTTTAAGACGACTGTGTAGATCCCCGCTGCTGTGTTTCCTGGAAGCACATACATAACCACACTTAAACCTTATTACATGTATTATACAAACATCTATTACTTGTCTAATATACAGGGTGTTCAAGTAAAGTCAAGAGACTGGCAATGGCATTTTTGAATATACATCTTTGAGGCCAGTATTTTTACAAAATGTGCATAAAACATTACACAGCTGAAAACTAAAGTATTACAGTGATAGCTTCTGAATGGTTGAAGTTCTAAATACCATAGTAACAACAATCTGTGTAATTGGGGGAGGGGGTACCAAACAGAACTTAGCATATACTATTACTTACTTCATTATGTTTCATGGTACCATTGACAATTCCATTGCATGTGCAGTGTAGGATTAAATAACAGTCATTACGTAATAAATCATTTTTGATGCCTTTTGAAGATGCCTCATCCAAACAAAAACATGCAAACGAAATGTGATACCATTTTCCACATAGTATGTTTACCAATTCTGTTATTTGCAAAGAGCAATCCTCTAAAATTGATGGAAAAATGTTTATCTCACTGTTGTGCTTATGGCCCAGAGTAACAGAGTCAAAGAACCATGTATTTATAGATTTATAGGATGTTTAACTTGCTCCTATAATTCTTATGTTTTGCCACTGGCTGTTTTTGCTTTCCACTAAATGTCAGAATGAAACAGGTAAATAAGATTGTACTACTGCGGTTAAGTACACATATGCTTATAAGTTCTGTGAATTGATGCCATATGGGTGTATGGATATACAACAAACGCTTTCTTGTAAATTAAGATGGATTTTGAATAGAACCTAGAATCAATTACTAACAATAAAAGTACGTTAAGTGATCATAAGTACGAAATGTCTTACCAATTATGCCTTATATTTTTACAATTATTTTAAACATCTCTCTATTACTGATTAGTGAGAGAAATTATATGAAATGCGTCAGATAGAATGGAAAAATGATGACATGCAAGTATTAATAATCTTCAGTTTCTAAATAATGTAGAGACAATGTTAAGTCTACCATTCATAAATAAAATATAAATATATGTCATATGTCATCATTTGTATTTCTACACTGATTAAATCATATGTAAAATTGAAATAGGGCAATAATCAATAGTGACCAAGTCATCGATCACTTTCATAGCATATTGTACATCAAGACCTATATAGATAATTGTTGTTTCCTTATTCATGAAGACATTTAAGTGATATTTACGGCTAAGTACTCTCAGAAATCCTCCCCACTCCACATTCTTGATGATTTATGATGTTTTCTTCAAATTAACCAATAAAGTACATACTGTTGAAGGTTGTTGTCCTAATACAAACCAGATAATGGCAATGCTAAGGTGTTGCAATTCCATTGAACATCCTTTAAGTGTTAGAAATCATTTATTTTCCTCTACTCCCATGTGCAAACTGCAAATGTGCACAACGTTTGTAAATAGTACAGTTTGATGTTGTTTAGAAACAAGACTTCCTATAAATATGATTTTGGAGGAGTCTTTACAAGGATGAATAAAATAGGAACAAATTGCAAATAGAGAATGGTCAAAATTAAAGTAGTTTCTGAGCCTTTTTGGGTGTTTATTGCAGACTGTTTGTATACTTGATCATTCGTTTAGGAATGGTGAGGTTTGTGTCCTACCTCATATTTAGAATGATGAAGCATAAAAGAAAAAACTAGGTCTCAGGAAACAGTAACCAGCTAACTTCCTTAATATGTGTAATGAAATTACCTTATACATGTATATACTTACCAAATCCATGCCGTTATGGACATATCTATTTTGTCGTCAATGATCTGTATAATGTATATTTTTAGTAATCCTTGACTCCTGAATAATCCTCTTAAGTCCTTAATGTAGAGTTCTTTGCCATTGGAATTGCATTGATGAATTGATGACTATCTGGCTTATGCTAAGGTCACAAGCTTATTTTAACTTACTTATGCTTTCAAACTGCAACAGATTTCAATTCTTAATTCCTTGTTTCATGTTATTTTCGGCATGATGCTGAGTCAATAATGGGAGTAAATAGACACATTATAATTATATTCCATTTATCCACTGACACTTCTACTTTGCTATTAATTCCGATTAGAGTCGAGAACTTTACCAATACAGATCAACCAAATTTTGAAGCAATGACCTCTCTCTCTCTACCTTTCTATCCTGGATATACATTACTCATATTAACTCATTTACTTCCATCATTTTTAACCCGATCTTCTAATGATTGATTCCTCTACAGTTTGTTTACTGATTTCCACCTTCACTACATGATTGAACACGTTGCAGAAGAACTCAATGTTTTTACTTCTCCTGGCTGCTTTCAAATTAGTTTTCCATTAGCCATCACTCTATCATTTAAGAAAAACACTTTACATGTACACAAGACGATCCAGAAGGAAATTATGTATGACAGTTTCACATGTAAGAGTTTTCTTTATATTACATCCTGCTTTAAGTGCGGTGTCAGTTCACTTTTCACTTAGATTTTAAAAAAATATTATTTCTGCAAAAAGCAAAAGTTTGCTTTACATTAAGAGTATCTAATGACTCCTTACTGCTCAATTAATTTCATGCAAGTTTTAATATATATTTAGACAATCAAAGTTAGGTATCTAAAGTGACATTAAATGATTAACGAATATTTAAAAGATATTTGCTTTTGGTTTGTTCACCAATTTTGAGTATTTTAATATTAGCAAACGTTTCAAGCAGTTGAAGATCTGCATCATTCCATTTGATAGATTTTACACAGTAAACTATCATTTCCAAGTCTGGCTTCAAAACATATTTCAGTATAAACATCTTCCAGGTTTTTATTGATACACTTTCTCAGCATCCTCATTCACTTTTCTAACTAGAAAAACAGCATCTCCACTGAGTAGCAATACCACAATATAAAATATATTGAAAAAATGGCATTTTGCTTTGAGAGGCCATTTTGAGTAAGAGTGGACAATTAGTACATGTATTGTAGATACACTTAATTTGGCTCTTTTGTCCAATGCACTTCAGAAATTAAACTCCAGGGGCCAAAGGACGATTCTCGGTTTGGAGAACGAAGTTCATAAATCTAAATGACCATTATCCCTGCTTCGGACAAATTTGATTTTTTTTTACATAATATAGATTTGAATGTCTTCTTTTGAATAGTTATAATTTAATTTGGGTAATATTTCTAGATTTTTCTCAAAAAAATATTAGCGCAGTACACTGATGAACTTCTTTCCCTAAATAGAGACTTGTATTTTATTAAAATCGGTCTAATTGAGCGTTATCCCTGCTCCAGACCAATTTGATATTTTTACATCTTGTAGATTTAAATGTCCTCTTTTGAATATTCATAGTTTAATTTGGGTAATATTTCTATATTTTTCATGAGAAAAAATATTAGCCCGGGAGACTGTTCTCTAAACCGAGAATCGTCCTTTCAAAAAATAGCCACCAATATTTGAAATTGAGCAAATCTGTCAAGTTAAGTTGCATCAAAATAAGTGTATCTACAGTACTTGGCATGGAAATGGATTAATAAGCTGATTTATATTAGTAACTGAAATATAAGCGTAATGTATCAATTTTATCATATTTCCACTGTCAGTTTAAATCTAACAGCTCTTTAGCCCATAACCTACTTACTTACATGTACCTCATTTATATTTAAACTTGTATTTCTATTACCCCTGATTCATTTGATAAGATTATCTTACATTCTAAGATGGAAAATAATTTAACATACATGTACATGTAGGATGTAAAGGACGATTCTCAGTTTGGAGAACAGCCTCCTGGGCTAAAAAAAAATTCATGAAAAATATAGAAATATTACCCAAATTAAACTATGAATATTCAAAAGAGGACATTTAAATCTACAAGATGTAAAAAATAACAAATTGGTCTGAAGCAGGGATAATGCTCAAATAGACCGATTCAATCGATTTTGGTGAAAGAAGTTCATCAGTGTACTGCGCTAATATTTTTTTGCGAAAAATCTAGAAATATTACCCAAATTAAATTATGATTATTGAAAAGAAGACATTCAAATCTATATTATGTAAAAAAATCAAATTTGTCCGAAGCAGGGATAATGCTCATTTAGATTGATGAACTTCGTTCTCCAAACCGAGAATCGTCCTTTAGACCCCTAAAACTCATATATAAAATTCAAATGAAATATTTCTCAACAATCTAGTCATAAAGAAAACAAACCATGATGTGACTTAAAAAGAAACAATGTAATAAACAAACTAACACCCCCTCCCTCCCCATCATTGCAATATAACACAGATGCACAATGATATACCTAAAACTCCTTTTTAAAATTCAAATGAAATATTGCTCAGCTATCATGTTGAGGTAATAGAGTAATATAATGAGCATCATACAGCTCCTTATCTGCAGATACCTGACTTAAGTGATGTTTACCTTCCACCTTTCTATCAACTCTCATATCTCATATATCAAATACCTCAACATTAACATATTCAATATCACTAGCAGCTGATACATTATCAAATTGGCATGATGGATTTTTTGTTACTTGTAACTTGATTATTGTATCTAATATTTGAGTGGTGTTGCCCTTCGCTAATAATTGACCAAAGTGGTATAGGTGCATGGTACTGTTTATTTGACGCTGTGTGGTGTTGCCTTTCACTTTTAATTGACCAAAGTAAGGGAAAGTGCCAGGAATCAAAATTGGATATCTCCCCCTGGAATGATCATATGATATCCTAATTAATGGGAAAAATCATCCAGTTAATTAAGCATCTTCCAAGATTTATATCCAGGACCTCTTGATAGCCAGCCGGACATGCCAACATTACACCATATAATCAACATAAGAGCCACTAATCAACCAAGATGTACTGAGTCTGACAAACTAGGTCTAAGTATTACTAAAACCTGTTAGCAAGTTGCATTAATCATTTGATCAATCAACCTCAGTGATATTTTCATGAGTCAAACAAGGCAATAAGATAACAAACTGAAGCATACGGTCAA